GCGATAGGGACGTTGCGCTGAGGATCGGGAATTTCCTCGGCCAAATGTGTAACTGCGTCCACAGGTCCAACGCTGAAAGCTCCGTTAAGCATACCGGCAACAAAGACGAAGCCGTTGGGATATCCAATATCAGCAACCCAATCTTTCCACACAAACGCCGAAGACGCATGCGGAGGTCGTCCACCAGTACCAGGCATGACTGTAACAATAATGATAGTGATGATGAAACCAGCCAGGATGATGAAAACTCCAAACTTGTTCAAGTTGGGCATGGCACTGTTGGCCAAGCAGACACAGGCGCAGGCGATCCACGTGGTGATGATGTATGTGACAAAGACGTGCCACGACTCGGCGACGAAATCGGCATGGTTGAGGGCGTACATCTGAACGAGGGTGTTTGAAAGAATCGAAGACATGCTGGCGCATCCGAGAACCCAGGCGAGATAGTTCCACCACCCAGCAAAGAATCCTATAACTCTACCCCATCTTGGGCCAGGAGTAACAGACGCCCAGTGATAAACTCCGGCAGAAGAAGGGATAGCACTGGCAAGCTCGGCGATGCTAGCAGCAACGGTCCAGTAGAATACTGAAACGACGATGAACTCGTAGAGGACGCCGGGAGGTCCGCCGTTGAAGATGGCAACGAGGATGGAGCCGCCGATGGCTGGCCAGACGTTTCCGACAACGAGGCCGACACCGGCTAGGGATAGGAGGTTGAAGTTTTGCTGGAGCTCTTGGACGTGACCCGAGGCGTTGATGGGAGCTTGCTGATTCGAGATGGACTTGAGGACGGGGACATCGTCATCTCTCTTGGAGGTGCTGTCCCTCTTGGGAGGTAAACTCTCGGCCATTGTAACGATTATCAAACACAACGACAACAATAATTTACAAAGAAGGAATGTCAGATTCCAAAGCGGGAGGTCCGGACTCTTAAGTGCTGAATTGTCTCTATCAAGGCTAAATGGTCGACGCAACCCCCTTGACGCTACGCTCGCCCCTAGCCCCGGCTCGAGTCGCATGTTCCTTCCGAAAGGGGCATGGAGGGAACTCATTCTCCAAACAACCTCCGAAATTTGGGGAATGTGTCGGTTCGTCGCGGGGTTAGGACAAATCTGACCATGTTCCGGATAAGGATTTTGGGAATTCATTACTCGTGAGAGTGGCGATGTTTGGTTGATAACAGTGATTCATGCTTGGAAGGAGTTTGCGACAGGCTACTGTACTTCACCTAGTGTCTTCAAGAGCCGAGACTCAGTCATTTCCCTCTCATCTCGTTGTCAATCATGTGTGAATCATATGGATGAGACCAACGTGAATAGGCAATGTGAAGGCATCACATAAGATCACCAATTGGAGGGCAGATCTTCCGCGACAACGCCAAGTCTAGAACGCGTCTCAAAGCGCGTTCAAACCACTCACCTGAAGTCAAAAACACCAATACCCGACTATCCCGGATTCCCGGATCTCTATTATACATCAAACGCCAATCGCATCGACATGAAGCCATCCTCAAACCCAAGATTCCTCCGCCCGACGGGCAAAAAAAACGACCCCAAAAGCCAAGCCTGGGGCCCGATCGATACCGCATAAACTTGTGCGGGGTAATTTCCATTACTCATAACCCGGGGGTTTTCCGCGATCCAGAAATGTCAGTGTTGCATTTCCCCAGGGTCATCAGATCAGGCGAGGGAGGGAGCCTTGTTCTGATAAGAGGGCCTCGGCTGCGTTGCCAAGTTGGAGGCTTGGAGCGAGCGAGTGCTGGAGGAGATATTGTTTTTGATTGTGATTGGGCCATTTTGTGTGATGGCGACAACAGGGGCTGTGATGCCTCGGTCTGGTGGTGTGAACCATCAAAATCACGTCTTGGCCTCAAAATTGTTCAAGAATTGCTTCTCATCTTTTGCCCAGGCTGACTTTAGAATGCGCAAGCATCTCAAGCCTCCAAAACCCCAGCTCCGTCAGCGACTTCCCCTTGTTCATTAGCCTAATTTCCCCAACCTTTGGCGCGGGCTCAAGATGCCGGCTGCCGTCTTGGAGTCGCCGTCGGGCGTCGGCTCGACAAGTGGGGAACGCCCACGAGTCGCGCCGCCGGCCTCAGTGGCGACAGCATCCCGACGCAAGCCTTTGCTCCGGATGGAATAGAGGATAGAAATTCATATGACACTCTAACCGACCTCTGTGTTGTTCAGCTCATCAATGTCATTCAGATATCTGGCCCCTCCCTCTCTTTTTAAATATCTTGTTCGCTGCCATCACCTACTTGCTCAACATCAGAAGAGTAGATGGCGTTGCAACCTCAAGACCTTTGAAAATACTTAAGTTATCCAAGCCTCAATAGGTATTTCCCAAAGGCGTGGCCGGATTTCCCCAATCAGCATCAAACCGATGCCAACCACCATACTCTGGCTCACTGCCCAGATACAGAGTATGAACGACCATATCGTAATACCCATCAGCTGGAACCTTTCCTCCGCACACGTTTCCGCCCATGGCCACGTTGAGAAGAATAGTCATTTCCCTCACAGGTCGTGTGCCAGCAGGAATTTCAGCCTTCATAATAGGTCTGCCGTCGATGTACCAAATCATCCGGCCTTGTCCTGCCTGTCCGCCAGGTTGAATCCAGGCAAAATCGTACTTGACAGGTCGATACTGCATGTCCGGGATCCTAGTGCCGAGGACTCGATGCTTTTCAGGCTCGTGATGTTGACCCCAGTGAAGACATGTGTGGTTTTCGAGATCTCCGTTCCAGGTCTCGGCAATGTCGATTTCACCATCTACAGGCCATGAGAATGGCTCCTGTGGGAGGAGCCAAAAGGCGGGCCAGATGCCCTCAGCACAAGGTGACTGGATGACGGCAGTGAGAACTCCCTGGTCTCGAGACAGGGTCTGCCTGCTGACCAAGCGAGCTGAGGTGTGTTTCTGCTCTGGGTTTGGGTTACTGTTGTTTGCTAAGGCTCGAAGTACAAGCTTTCCATCTGGAGTGCTATTTCATCATGGTTAGCTAGTCTCGAAAGCCTATGGCGGCAAAGCACTCACTAAAAGGCGTTCTGCTGATCGGCAGTGTAGTACTCCAACTCCTGATTTCCCCAGCCGTCCGCGTTACCGATCTTTGCGTCCCAGTCGTTGCTAACGGGGTTATCAGGCCGAAACTGAGGCTGCCAGTACACCTGTCCAGGCTGTGCGCCCATGGGCTGCTGCTGCGGCGGTGGCGCATACGCCTGAGCGGGTGGTTGTTGAGGCTGCTGTTGAGCCCCTGGCTCTGAGATTAGGTTTTCGAATTCATTCTTAAGACGCTTGAGGTGATCTTTCCAAGGCATTTTTTTTCAGAGTTTGACTATGGTTGAGGTTGATGAAAGTTTTGTATCAGGTGAGGAGTGAGGATATTTTGATGTTTTGCTTGACCGACTTGACTGGGCATGACGTCACCTGACTGCGCGGTTTGTGGCGGAGCGGATGTGCCAAGCATAGGCAATTAGATTTCACCATAGACTGAGATATGGTAAACTGATAATCGCAGTGCAGATACGAGAGTTTAAGGGAGACATCAGTTGAGATTATCGGCAGAGCCGGCAATTAATTCCTTGGCAGGGTATCAGCTCTTGGCAGGCAGAGGAAGGGTTGGGGAAGCAGATTGAACAGCGACAAGTTGAGCATTTGATCGATAACTATAGAGACTATGTAAAACCTATCTTGTTAGTTGCGATTCGAATCCTACAACTCTGATTGCATCGAAGTGAGTTGCTTTACGGCCTGCACTTTAAAGGTCCTGGTCCTTGAAGTACCGGGTAGCTCCGAGTATGAGAAAGCCATCAAGATTTCGACAAGTATTCACGGTTAAGCCTTTTCTTAAAAGTTGCTTTATTGTATTAAATTATGTGCATATATCATGCAAACGGACTTGACTTTGCGAGATGGACTGATGGTCTGGGAGACCTTTCGTTGTCGCATCTGAGTTGATCAAAATACCGGGAAGAGCTTCTTCTCATCAGAGCGGGAAGACTCGGAAAGCGCAACAAAGGCAATTTTCCTGACGGGCTATTTACAACCGTGACTCCACGACTTGAAAATGCACCAAGAGTCATCTCGACCATATCCGATATGGATCTGGTCAACCATCGAACGTCGACAGCCCTGGTGGTGGTTGTCAAAATGGGCTGTGCCATTGGATCGGCGGGTTCGGCAGCCGCCGAGTCCGACCGTCAGATGGTTCCGGCACCTGGAAATTTTCGTTGGCGAGCTCCGCCTCAGGTCAGGGTGAGAGTCAGACAGATGACCAGATGAACGATGCCAGATCAACTGGACAGATGATCGGGAAAATTCGTCAAGATGATAGATAATCACTAAGGAGATCAATTGGAAGCATTATATTGGCCGAATTGATGACCGCAGTAATTATTTGATGGCTACTGAAGATGAACTGTGTTGGAGTCTCAATACCCAGCTCCTCCTCTCCCGACCGTAGGTAGTGAATTGGTGAACTAAGCGCCCACGAAGCCAGTACCGGATTGCATCAAATAAAAAAGGAATAGCATATTCTCAATATGGAAAACACACGCCCAATCCGGCCATTCCCATTCCTCTTCCCGCTCAATCCAGGTCGAACCCGATCGCGTGGTGCATGGTATGGCCCGGGGGCGCCCGACCGGGGAGAGTCTAGACAGGACCCATCACACCACCACCGACATCTCGAATCACCACCACACGACGATCGACAGCCGAGCATCAAAGGTTGCGAAAAGGCTGTCGAAGGAATTGTATATAATCTGTAGTAATTGCCTTCTCAGCCTCTCCTCATCATCAGCATCAACAACATCAATACACAAGCGTCACTGCCAATCACCACTCCAAGGCAAAACACCAGCCTCAATCACCATCTTACAACCCCTACAGCCACCTACAAAAAACCCCCACATCCTTCAAAATGCTTCCCATTGTCAAGGCCGCCGCTGCCCCCAAGTAAGCACCAAACCCCCCATAGAAACACCCCCACACATCCACTAACAAACACCTCCAGGGTCGTCCCCGTCCTCTTGACCATCGGCAGTGCCACCATCGTCGGCTCTTACGTCCGCTCTCAGCTCAAGAACCAATCTCGCACCTTTGATCGCCAGTTTAGCCAGTACAACACAAAGGAGAGCGAGGCTGTGAGGGCAAAGACCTTTGACGGAAAGGTTCCCGATCCCCGAACCAGCTTCTTTAACGTTCTCGGCTGGTAATCGCATCGCATTCATTGTGGGATTTTACATTGGCGTTTTGGGCATCATGGATAATGGCAGGCTGCAATGATATAATTACACTTGCCTGAAGATTTAGATTGGCATTAATACCACTTTTACAATTACTTCAATACCTTTTGCCTTGCAACTCGGTGATGTCTTCGCCTCGGCTTTGCGCATTTGACTCAAATACACCAAGCCTAGAGCATCAATCCATACCCGCCTCAGGCTTGACCCATATCCTAACGCGATGCACATGATTTCTTCGACCACTAAGAGGCTGCTCAGTGCCAGATTGAGAGACTGCCCTCGCGACCAGGACATGTTCGCCTTGTGTCAACGTCAATACCGCTCTCCACCTCTGCCAACTGAACCCCTCCCTAGGCTTCACCACGGCATCCGTCCATAACTCTTCCGCGGATGTAGTGACGAGAACGCGCACCACAGGCTCATGGCACCAGGCCCAGCCTTCAATCACTACCTCGGATCCAGAAACCACTGTGTCCGGGGCCGGAGAAGTAATAATTGAGTTAACCTCTACACTCCAGACAGGTCTCTTCCAGCTCCCACTAGGATTTGTTGGATCAATCTCGTTATAGAACACAGTCGTGTATGGCCCAGGTGCTCTCTTGCCCTGTAGACTCAACCGGCATATCCACTTGGTCATGTTTGTTCCGAACCACCCAGGAACGACAAGTCGAACGGGTCCTCCTCTCTCTTTGCTGAGCCGGTGGCCATTCATCTCGAAAGCGAGGAGAACTTCTGACCCGAGAGCCTTTTTGATTGGAAGATCTTTTTGATACCGATCTGCTGTCACGCCGGCAAACGTCCCGTAGTCCAGTCCTTCAGACCATACGTATTCAGCCTCTGGGCTAGGTTTTGCCATGGCTAGAATATCAGCCAGACGCACACCAGTCCAGTGGACGTTTCCAATGCGCCATACTGCATCCGTTGGAGGCTTTAACGGGCTACCGTAGCATTCGTGGAACGCCGTGACTGTTGTTTGAGGGAGTTTCAAGAGTTGCTCCATTGTGAGAGCGAAAGGATTCCGAACCATGCCATCGACCACAAGCAACCACTTTTCGGTATCAACAATAGCAGCGCCCATATGTATAGTCTGAAATAGTTTGTCATCTGAAGTCGTAAAGTCGTCTAGTTGATGAGGGGCTGGTGGATGTCTGATGAAGAAGCCATCTGGGTCGATTTTAACACAGGCATTTCGCTCTCGTCCGGGTTTGGGGAGTGTTGATATTTCAACTCCAAAATTTGAGGTAGCATAGAGTGAGAGTTCCATGATGGCTGCGAGATAGTTGTCGGTGAAAAACAAGATTCAGCTTGCCATGAGAATAAACTCGGACCAAAGGACTAACTTAGCGTGCTGTGAGGGTTATGTAACCTAGTTGTGACGAGATTTGACGCCCTCTAAAGACAAATTATACAACGTTCAACGGCGAGAAAATACCTCTCGTCGAAAACCCAAACTTGAGCCGCACTTTCATTGCCATCCAAGACGCAGCGTGTTATTTGATTCGACAGACATGGCAGAGTTACCGAAGTATTCGCCAAAACAGCTGGCAGAGTATCTGGACCGTATCAAACTACCAGCGTCTCAACATGCTAGAGATCCACTGGAGTTCCTCACACAGCTCGTCCAAAAGCAACTGGTTTATGTACCTTTTGAGACTTTGTCGCTTCATTATTCCACGCACAAGAATGTATCTCTTGATGCTGAGGATCTGCACCAAAAGATCGTGCATAAGCGTCGAGGAGGCTACTGCCTAGAAAATAACTCATTCTTTGGAACAGTTCTTCGGAGTCTTGGTTTTCACGTTTTCGGTGTCATTTGCAGAATTACCATGGCTACTCGAGGTGTTTTTGATGGAAGCTGGCGGGCAATGTGAGTCATGGAGCACCATTCTGTCGCCGGAACTAACGAAAAGCTAGGAGCCACATGGCAAATATCGTCACCATCGATAACAAGAGATATTTGGTAGATGTTGGTTATGGGGCTGATGGGCCTTGCACACCGCTTCCGCTCGACTCAAGCACCATCAAAGACGGTCTACCGAACCAACAACTCAAACTAGAGCATAGAACGCTCCCACAACATCTTGACTCTAAACAAAAAGTCTGGGTTTATTCCCAAAAACGAGGCTCAGAAGATTGGGTAGACATCTACCATTTCCCCGACGTCGAGTTCTTCCCCCTCGACTTTGACATCCTCAACCACCACGCTATGACCAAAAGTCTATGGGCCAGCACCGTCGTAGCCCAGAGATTTACTCTCAATGAGGATGGCCTCACGATTTCGGGGACTCTGTTGTTAGTGAGGGATGAGCTCAAGGCTGGGAACTCGTCACCGCAAAAGATGAAGGTGGTTAAGAAGTTGGAGAATGAGGAGCAGAGACTAGATGCCTTGAAGGAGCATTTTTCAATTAGCTTGACAGAGGAAGAGCAGAGTGCGGTCCGGGGCAGTGCTGTTGAGCTGGGCCTTGCTTGATGAGGGGTGCTTAACAAGCTGTAGATCAAAACGGGGATACTTAGATGCCTTGTGCGGCTGAAGCAACAGTGCTCTACTAAAAATGCAGTGCAGTTAGCTGTACATATGACCTCCTGCACCAACTCCAACCCCGCATACTTCCTCCTTCTCTTCACAGAATGGCAATGTCTTCGTATCAGTACTCAAAGCTAGTCGATGCCGATATTCGGCTGCTGACGCACCTCCCTGGCCAACCTGACTCCAGTATCAAGATCCAAATTCACCATGCTCCACTCAGAGCGCCGCCGGATAGACCTCGTCAGCAAGTGACGCTGGATGAGTTGCGGAAAAAGATACCAGATGGCTGGGAGGCACAGGAAACTGTCGAGGGACGGTTCATCTTTGAGAATGACGAGCTCAATGTTACTTCTTGGTCACTTCCAGACGACAGGGTTTCTGCTTCGCTGTACAGCACCCCAGCGGACGAAACGGTATTTATTCCGCAGTACGAGGCGTTATCATACACCTGGGGAAGCCCCGAGAATCCTCAAACCGTCCAAGTCATCTCCCACGATGATCCCTCCACCTCTTGGACACAGAAGATTCAGTACAACCTCTCCGGCGCATTGAAACACCTGCGGTACCCAGGCAAGCCTCGAATACTCTGGGTCGACGCCGTCTGCATAAACCAGGCCGACATCCCTGAGAGAAACGCACAAGTCCCCCGCATGTCCGACATTTATCGGCTGGCAGACCGTGTGGTAGTCTGGTTGGGTGAAGAAACGAGCAACAGCAAGCTTGCAGTTTCTACCCTCGATTATCTTGGTGCCCAGATCGAGCTGACCAAGCAGGGCGGTAGACTACCCTCCCCGGGTTGTGATCGCCAGGACTGGTTTCGGTCTCTGACTGAGATGCCGTATGACGAAGACACCTGGCAGGCTATTGCAGACTTGGTCAACCGTGCCTGGTTCGGCCGGCTGTGGGTTCTACAGGAGATTCAACTTTCCAACCACAAGGCAGTGATGCAATGCGGGATAGAACAGATCTCCTGGCAGCGGTTCCGCAGGGCCATGGTTTGCCTTGAATCCAAGAGGAATCTTCCACAGGTCGTCATTTTCAGCAAGCTCCCTCGGCTAGGTGTCTTTTGCCTCCCCGTCGAAGGTGTTAACTTTGCCATCCTCCTCCTCCGGGTCACACATCTTGACTGCTCTAATCCGCGAGACAAGATCTATGGGCTGCTTGGACTCGCCTCTCCCAGTCTGCTGGCTCGTGTTCAGGCTCAGTACGCCGAGCCGGTGGAGTCCGTCTACCGAGACCTGTTTCTGGCGATGACGGACCAGATGCAGCGGCTCCATTTCGAATTCTGCAGCTTGCGGACAAGTCAAGCCCGACAACTTCCGTCGTGGGTTCCGGACTTCTATGGCGACCTAGTCGAGTTGCTGTTCCGGGGAGGAAGGTATGCGTCTGGAATGTCTTGTTCCCATGCAACCTACGTGGCCCCCGGCTCCCTGTACGTGTCTGGCATTCGAGTGGGCACCGTGAAGAGCAACAAGGGAGCATATCCCGACGATGTGGCAAAGAGGCTCGCAGTGCTTCACGATTGGAAGCCGGACGATCTTGAGACAGGAATCTATCCTACAGGGGAAAGTGTCATGGATGCTTTTGCCACGACTCTCGGTCAGGATCAACTTAGAGATCGGTTTCCTACCTCGGCCGTCCATCCGTATCTTGATGAATGGAAAGACAAACTGAGCAAACTCTTGGTCACCTCTCAAGACTCTGGCGAGCATCCAGACCTCGGTGCTTATGCCTATGACTTGCGGTTTCTAACCAAGCAGGCCTTCGTCACCTCAGACGGGGGCTACTTTGGTCTGGCTCATCGAGACACAGCACCAGGTAGGAAGATTGAGCCCATATTGTTAGGTGTCTGAAACTGACTGAGTGATAGGTGATATCATCTGTGCCATCCTTGGATGCAGCGTGCTGGTTATCCTCCGCCCGACAACAGTAGGGACCTTTCAACTCAAGGGCAGCTGCTATCTCCACGGCTTCTCCAGCGCAGAGGCATTTCTAGGTCCCCTTCCATCACCATGGATCATCCAGTACAAGCCTGATTCATTCGGTGCCCAAGCTCCTTACTTCTTCAACAAGGACACAAAAGAAGAGACGCAGGAGGACCCTAGATTGGGAAAACTACCTCCTGAGTGGGAAGCTGTCCAGAAGGAGAGAACAAGGGATGATCCAATGCTTTTCAGGTGGTTCCGGAATAGGAACAATGGACATACTATGAATTCGGATCCTCGTATGCTGCCGCTAGCTTTGTATGAACGGGGCGTGCCCTTAGAGGACTTCCAACTCATTTGAACAGGCTTCGATGGATAGAAGCCTTATAGCTCGGACTACACTTCTTATAGCTATCTTTATACTATAGTCTCAACTTGTCTAGAATTTACATAGTTACTGTCTCTCCAAAACGATCCACTAGGCAGTACTTTACCAACCCCTTTAACACAACCGTCACAAAATAATCGTCTGATAAATGCCAGCTCGTAACATCAAAAGTCTCTTACTTACATCTGTGCATCATCTTGAACCGTCTTTGTAGCTAAGAGGGATATAGCTTGGCTGCGGCAGCAGGGATTTTTCCTCTTGTTATCACCCTGCCCGGAGAAGGCCCTTTATCTACCAATGATATTGAGATATTTAAAGGAAATGTTCACAGCCTGCTGCTCGCTAAGCGCTAAGTGTCTCCCTAAAAAGCGTCTAATTGGTTGTCAAACAATGTGGCTTTTCAACTCTGGATCACGAGAGCTAACTTAAGAAAATTATTGGCAGACTTATTAACCCTTGGCTCCCCCGTACATCCCCGAACAATCATGCTTTACACATGCTTGGAGAATCTTCGTATCAATGGACATAATTCCGGAGCCCCGGGATGCGGTACCTGGAATCCGCGTCCCACTTGCCGAGCCGACTGAGCTGCCGGACCCGGAGGCGGACCTCAAGGCCGGACTGGCCCCACTAACCAGCCCGGACACGCCGTTCCGCATCGCAATCGAGGTTGCTGCCTACCTGCAATCCTGGTTGTTCTTCGGTCTGCTTGCTCGCAACTCGGAGACCGGTTCTCGCTCGAAGATTTCGTGACTCATTTTGAGGGCAGGCCGGAATGCCGCTTCCTGAGCATGAGGAACCTCGACGCCTTGCTCCATGAGGTCTATAATACAGACACAGACCACGAAGTAGACGCAGACGCAGACCACGATGCAAACGAAGGCCATGGCATAGACGCAGACCGCGATGCAGACACAGACACAAATCACAACACAGACCAGCACAGCCTTGATCTCCAGCACGCGGCAGACATAGTCCGACAACTGGAGGCTCTTGAGCACCTGAGAGAATCTCCAGCAGGGGAGACTGGCCTTTTGGTTCTAGTTTTAATTCGAAGGCTAGATGGCTTCTCCAGAGCCACCAGATTCGTGTGGTCATCGGCGTTCCTGCAGAGGCGTACACGAGATGACGGCTAGTGTCCTCAGGAAATCGATTAGATTATGAACCACTACGACCCCGTTATCGCCTGTTTTCTAGCTCGGTTGCGGCGCACACGCTCTATCATGCACACACAATGTACCGAGACTGCGTGTGTGGCTAATAATGTCCGGCTGGACTCTGGATATCGCCAGCGACATGTTTCTGACGGATGCAAGTGCTCAGCTATCAGCGTCAACGCTGATGCCGTCAAAGCCATCATAGCGCAAGGGCGTATTCCTTTGGTGTCCGTCCAGCATCAGGAAAGGGGCCAAATAAGCCTCAAGGTCACTGCTGCGTCATAATCGAGCTCATACACTGCTATGTCGTATGTCTGGTCTGATGGTCTGGGGAACCCAACTGCCAACGGTCTGCCCCAGTGTCAACTTGAACTTATTTCCACCTCTATCTCCAAGGGTTTGACCGAGACAAGCAGTCTAGGCAACTATCGGATCAAGAGCGTACACATCGACCCTACCCAAAACAAGACTGTGCGTCACTCGGGGGGAACGGTAAACTGTTCTGGCTGGACACACTATGCATCCCTGTTGCAGTACCTGGAGATTCTCAGGGGGGGGTTGACAATGTCAAAAAACTAAAGTCCATGGCTATCAACCAGATGGGAGAGATCTACGCGGCGGCCAAGCAGGTTTTGGTGCTCGACTCGGAGCTGCAGCGTGCCCATAGCGACGTCGAGGATGATGTTTCGAATACCGAGCTTCTTGCACGCCTGGTATGTTGTTCCTGGATGCGACGATGCTGGACGCTGCAGGAGGGCGCCCTTGCAAGTAGGATCACGTTCCTATCCGGGAGTGGGCTGGTGACGCCCCTTTTTCTTCCTGGGCGGGACATCGTGATTACTACCATTATGTCAGATACGGAGAAGACAGACATTCTGCCTGGACCGCACATGTACTAGTGGTTAATCAAGCAGTTGTTATCGAAAAGCAGGGAAGGGCGCGATGATAAAGAAGGCGAGGCGGCTGCCCTCAGAGCCCCAGTACTCTCATACCTACGCCGCCGTTTCCAAGAGACTCTGGACGACATAATATGTATCCTTCCACGTCACCATGGGGAGTGGGACGATCTTGGTAGGTTCAGCACTATCTAGAACAGCCTAGCGTACCGGAATACCGCAATGAAAGAGGATTTGCCTGCCATTTTTGCAAATCTACTAAACATCAATGCTTTTAAGATCCTGCAAGAGGACCCTTCCCGAAGAATGCAGGCGTTGCTACGAAGTCTTTACAGCCTCCCTGTTGAATTACTTTTCAACAAGGGCCCATTCGCCGAAGTGGGCATGGACAGCCTCTCCCGATGGGTTCCCAGTTTCCCAAGCAAGTTCAAAATGGGCCGCTCAAAAGAGATAAGATGGACAAAGGATGGGGATTTGGAGTTCAGTTATTTGTCTTATGGACACATAAGAGAAGGCGACTTTCTAGCTGTAGTCTTTGGTGGTGACACTCCAAGACGGGACAGAACATGCTCAGCATTTATTCTGCCACTATTTTACCGCGAAGGAGATGATATTCTCATGGAGCTTCTGGTTCGTCTCGAATATCCAGACAAGGATGAGATGAGCCGTCATGATGATTGCGAAGAAATCTTGATACTGGACCGACGACCCAGCCCCGGTGTACGCACTACGCCAGCATGCTCTAGAGGCTGTCTACTTCGTCTCCTGGATCAAGATGATGATAGCTTGTGGAGGGGCATTGATGTGACGGGCCAGTTCGATTGCCCACTAACATGGACTGTGGCTTCGCCCGATGACCTGGCTCGCTACCCTCGTGTTCCACCAAAAGAAGCTTGGAGGACCTTTGATCTGACTGTCAAATGTGGTAAGTTGACTTTCATTTCCGCCCCAGTCATCGAGCTTGGGCTAACGAAAGCAGACGCGGGCCCTCGTAAATATGTACAGCGACCCTTCCATGGCAAATTAACGAGACTTAGCGACCTGTTTATTTTTCTGGCGGTTGGCCCTCTTAGTCAAACTTTCTTCATCAGTCTTGTCATTCGCATCGTCATTGAGGTCTGATTGGGCTGGTCGAATCTCTCGCCGCTTGGCCGCGCAGCAACCATGGCCTTCGCCCTGGAGGCGACAGGAATCTTTGCGTACATTGTGCCACCGCCGCTGTCACAGGTACTTTTTATCGTAGACCGCTTTCGAGAGGCAGGGGGGACTGTAGTCGCTGGATGTGGCCTATGTGGTGCTGAGCCTCGTTGGGAACTTGTGGTTGTTATTTTCCTGGGCATGGGTGGCCAAGATATACGCCCGTTCGTTGATTTATAAGATGTGGCTGCAGTCTCTTAGCCCTGAATGGCCAGTGGATGGTGGATGGGGATGGAGGGCCTATTTTGCTGCTAGGGATTTGCGTGATAAATGGCACAAGTGGTTAGATGCCTTGGACGCTTAGGTCGGCAGGTATACTATTTCTTTTATCATTATCGCTGTTGACTTAGTAACTAGAGCTACCAGGCGCGAAATCAGTACAAGTACAACCTCAAGAAGTGTCGGTGCGCTGAATGGCAGTGTACACAATTCTCGAGATCGCCAGAGCCTTCTCCTCCTCAAACTTTCTCGCCACAACCTGGACACCGACAGGTGCCCCATGATACACGGCTGGATCATCTAGACAACATGTTAATTCAAGTCAGATAAAGACGGGGGCGTTGGCTACTTACACGATTGCCAGTTGAGCTTGTCCATGTCTCCCAATGGCTTGTAAGAAGGGTCAAAGACGTCAATCTTCTCGTCAGCTTGCGTCACGGGGATCACGACGGCCGAATAGTTCATCAAATTAATTGCCTCAGTGTATGCTATCTCAAACTTTAGTTGGCATTGTTCTCTCATATTCATTTGACTGACCGGTGTGATAATACTTGCCCGGAATTACGGCTGCGTGGGGTGCAACGGGCATGATCACAGCGTCAACTTCTTGGCCTAAGCATAGCAGTGTTAGGCAGGCAGGCACTTCGGTCGAGAGAGTAGAACTCACCATCTGAATCTACAGTAGAACTCCAATAGTCAGAGTATTCGCGCTCGTAGGCAAGGCCTTGAAGAGTTAAATCCTGGTACTCTAGCAATCCGATCGGTGGCCGAAGCTGGAAGGCCTGTTTCAGGTCCGGAATCAAGGGCTCTCCTGACAGGTTGAGATGTTGATGGATGTCGTGAGCACCATCGGCCATGAGGAAGGATACCTATAGAGATAGTTTAGCTAGTTCCATTCATCAAATAGATGAATAGCGAAGGATTTAAACCTACATGAACTCGCTTGGCTGTGGCGTGTGATGGTGGTTCCCAATCTACCACCTAACAGCGTATTAGCGAGACATCCAACAGGTATCTGTGGAAGTGTGGGAGGGGGGATACCTTGTGGCCGGAGCTCTTGAGGGCATCGTGAACCATTCGCAAACCTCGGAGAACAGGAGGATGGGGTCCAACAACACCATCTGTCCAAAAAACACCAATCTTGAGAGGTTTTGCAGCGGGCTTGGCATGGCCCTGCTCATCTACTCGAGACGAGTATGAGTCAAGCACCTCCTGGCGGAAAGGAATCGGTACGACCGATGGGTCACGCTGCCAGGGATCCGTGCTGAGAACAGACTTCAGGAGGAGCTCCAGCGCATCCAGCGATGTCCCAAGGAACCCGACAGTCGAGCGGTAAGTGTTCTGGCCAGGGTTTGTATTCGCCACGTCGCGGTAGGCGAGACGCTCCGGAGTCGGCTTGATGGAAAAGATGCCGCAGAAGCCAGCAGGAATACGAACCGAACCTCCGATGTCAGTGCCAACTCCTAAAGTGCTCCCGCGGAGAGCCATCAGTGCACCCTCGCCCCCAGAAGAGCCTCCACATGACAAGTTTTGGTTTTGAGGATTCAGTGTCTGTCCGATGAGGTTGTTCTTGGTCTCTCCGAAGAGAAGCGTCTGGGGGAGGCTAGTCTTGCAGAACAAGACTGCTCCCAGTGAGAGTAACTCTGTGACAATCTGACTCTCGACTTGGTGCCTCTGCTTTGGCTCTGAGATGCCGAGGTTGCTTCCGATCCAGCCCACATAGCCCATTGTGGTGTCGATGCCCTTGACGTGGAACTGGTCCTTGAGACTGATGGGGAGGCCGTGGAGTGGTCCAACCGTCTTGTTGTTTTTGGCGTAGTAGTCGTCCAAGTACTTGGCCCGATCAAGCGCTTCGTCAAAGAAGATTTCGTGGAGGCAATTGTTCTGAAGTACGGTTAGTCATGGACAATTGGAACAAGCTGAGACGTACGATCTGATGGGCAACAGCTGCCGTCTTGCAAAAGGCGGTTGTAACCTCTGTCGCAGACAGCTTTCCACTTCTGATGGACTCGAGTATCGGCAAACTATCCATGGATGTGATGGAAACAGTTTGTTTGTCCAGAAGCTCATTGATGAAGGAGCCTGTGAGGCCACGCTGCCGACTGGCTCGTTCCAAGTCTTTGGGCGCAAGTCTCCATGAGGGTTTGATCTTGGACAGGGTCGTCGCTCGCTTCTCAGCCGCTCGGGCCTCCCAAGGCAATTCAGACATTCTCATGACGGTAGAGAGATGCCGTGTCGATGCAAGATCTCGTTGGTTGAAGGTGAAAGCGGGGAAAACATCGATTGAGCAAGTCAAGCTGTGAAACACAGACAGATAGCAGAGGTGTGCAGAGCATGTGACTTTTCTTATGGACCGTGATTAGGTCATGGCGGCGACGAAATATTAAAAACTCTTAGTGCAGATTTGAGCAAAGTCCCTAGGGGAAGGGAGACTATGTTTAGGATAGGATTATATCATGAAGGTTGAAGTCGTCATCTAAGCCTAGGACTTGGATGCACTAGTTCTACGGTGAATTTAGAGCTCCACAAGCTTCCCCTAAGGGGTCTCTCAGTGGGGAACTGCTCCTCCAGTCAAAGCTCCCAAATGAAAAGCTCAGGCTTGTTCTCAAGAATTATTCCTGGGTTGCTGAGCAGCCTAGGAAGGAAGACGGCGTTTAAAGGGTGCTGTCCCTGGTGGGTGCTGCGACCGTTCCGTGGCTATCAGCAAGTACGTACTATTCGCCTTCATTCCCGAGGCACCAGATGTCACCTTGTTAAAGCTGGTGATGTCCATGCCACTCTGAGCCGAGGGATGCAGGGGTAGGGAATAATCAGGCGATCCATTATTTTTAGCACATTCATGAAAATTCTCTCCGCGCCTGAGCCAAGGGGCTACCCTGCAGCTCGATGCATTGCTGACATTTACACCTGGAAACAGGAATTGGGGGATCTTATAAGTCGAGGCTCGTTTATGGCGAGACCGAATATGCATGATAACGTTGCAGTTCAACGGTGGCAAACTTATATGTACCTCGAGTTGATCTCATTCACTCGGTGAGGGTGCATCATTACCGACAGCATTTTTGAGACCCCTTTCAACAGCGAGTTCATGATATGATAGAAACAAGGCTCATTTCGAACAATATGAAACAAAAAGCAAAAAAGGATACCACGTGCTTGGCGTCACCATGCCAAGTGCGCAAACAGACCGCGGAAAGTTCAACGTCGTATCAATTGCCATGTTCCGTCAAGATGCGGAGCTGATAAGCGATGCGGGGACAAGGCAGTTTTCCCATCACCAACTTCCACGACGATCGCGCGGAACGAAAGAGATGGCAGCGCGGAAATAAGCGTCACAAGGCTGTTTTTCCCCTCGTGCCGCAATCCCGAAACAATCTCCTCCATTTTCTAGTAAACAGATGTCAAATTTTTTATCTCCGCCAGGGGTCGAGGCAGCCTTGCCAGAGATGAGAAGAAAAGCCATCAGTGCTTGGACTTGAGCCCAAGGTATATGCAGTTTGCCCTAATTTACCACTGTCGAAATTGTCCTGCCGGTTATCTGCCAGCCCGGTTGTGTCAGGTTTATGGGTCCGCTTCTCCAAGCTCGTTGAGCTTGCATGAGGTTAAGAAGCAAACAGGCTAGCTTCTCCCAATGGATGGGTGGCATGAACCCACGAGTACATGGCTCACCTTCAGGCTCCTGCAAGTGAAAGGAGCAAAAAGCTTTCATCTTGGCCAACTAACCCGTGTCTAGAAACTGCCGGTTTCATCAAGGACGCCTTGTGAGTGCGGCTGATGGATTAGCGCGTGCGTTGGTCTAATTTCACGGCTCGTCGTTAAATTGGGTGGCGCCTCAGCTTCACAACCCACTGCCAAATCAGCTTCTGCCAGCGGGTCACAGGGCTGAACATGGCTCCAATTAGACAAACGCCTCGCATCCGTGCTGTAATCTTGGGATGGTCGGGCGAACAAAACGCCTTGCTTACTAGCATCTTGCCTTGTAGGACTAGATTCAAGTTGGCTGCGAACCGTCGAGTGCCACTGAATCTCTGCGAGGTTCATAAGGCCAAGGACGTCCTGCTGTCAGTAACATTCCTTTCATTCATCAACCGACTCTCCTTGACTCTCATTCCATCTACTCTTCACTTCAACAACCTTGCCCAGCGCATTTTCGTCACTCTTTATCTTATCTTCAAATACCCTTCACAATGGCCACCCCTGCTCAGAACGTCAACAACAACGGTCCCATTGACCACAACGACCTCAACGAGTGGAAGGACCGTTTCAACGACGTCCTCGCCCGCCCCAGCGAGCATGTCAACTCCAAGTCTCCCGAGTCTTCCCAGCCCTGGCACAACGCCTTCTTTGGCTGCTTCGCCCCCATCGACACTTGCTTGATCACTTGCTGTGTTCCCTGTGTCACCTTTGGCAAGACTCATCACCGTCTCCGCAAGAACGGTAACCTCGATGGCTATGAGCCCATCAACACCTCTGTATGTTTCACATCAACCACATTGTTAACTGTACTAACACATCTAGTGCCTGATGTTCTGGGGCTCCTCCTGCTTCGGTCTCCACTTCATCCCCCTCGCCCTCCAGCGTGCCAACCTCCGTGAGAAGCACAACCTCCAGGGAAGCTGCCTCGTCGACATTGCCACCGCCTGCTGCTGCGGCTGCTGCGACCTGATCCAGCAGGACAAGGAGGCCGAGTACCGCGAGGCCCAGGCCTCCAGTGGCCAGGGTTACAAGGCCAACGAGGGCATGTCTTATCCCGCCAGCAACTAAAGGGTTGAGCATGTCTTTGACGGTGTTTGGATCTAAGTCGAGTTTTGCGACTCTTTTGTATTGCCATCGATACCCCTTTGAGGTTATGACATGAGCGGTGGTTGAAATGCCCTGTTCTTGTGTGCCTCATGTCCAAGTCTAGATCTCTTTGAATGGAACATAAATGTCTAATGTAAAATGTTGTTGACCGTTTCTTGCGTCAATTGAGTGAGCTCCAAGCTGCCCGTTTCCAACCCTAGTTTCCAGTAAATTTAACCTTGCCGCTTGTGATTACTCCAACGTTGCATCACTCCAGCATAATTCGTCCTCCTCTTGACTTTTGTGGCCTCTGCCTTCTGACAGAGTTCATTCCCACAAACGTTATTGCCCTTGCATGAAAGCACATGGCGTTTGGCTCAAAAGAAATGGCGGCGCCTTCATGCAAACGCCTCCATCTTTTCATTTCAAGACACAGCCCACTGACAACCATCCATAGTCCAAGCGTAGAACACTTCTAGAACTTCTTCCCCATCCCCCGCGAAAGACCCGACTCACGGAGAATTGTTCAAAAGGCGGGAAAACTAGTCCACGGCCAACCTCCTCAAATGGTAGTTCGGAGCATTGGCATCGCAGGCTTCCCCTGTCAAAAGGTCGTATCGGTCTAAACCTCCGTCGGGCTTGTTTCGTCATTGGTGGAGTAATAGTAATCATCCGCGAACAGGTGGGGATGGCACCCTTGAACAGGAGAATTAAGCTTGTCTCCTGGCCTGATGGCTCTGGACTATAAAATATCAAGACTACCTCGATAGAATTTATGTTCTTCATCACAGCTCTGTACTGTAGACTGTAGATAAGATGCAGTTGACCTTGTTGCCTCTCGTTGCGCTCCTTGCGGGCCGGGCCGTTGCCCAGGTCAAGGGTACCCCTTCTGGTTTTGCCGCTGGGACTACCGGAGGTGGCAGTGCTAAGCCTCAGTATCCTTCCAGTCTTAACGAGTAGGTTCTATGATTTTCAGTATTGGGACACTCTAACTCGATGCAGGCTCAAGACTTGGTTGACGGATAGCACTCCCCGAGTCATCATGATCGACAGGACCTGGGACTTCCGCAACTCTGAGGGCACCACCAAGACGCGATGCTGCAGCGACAAGTCGACCACTGTGTGCTCCGGAGGCACCTCCAAGGGCCAGCTCTGGATCCAGGATACCTGCAACTCACCCAGCACCTGGGTCGACTGCACCTACGACAACGCAGCCAGAAAGCCAATTGACCTTGGAAGCAACAAGAGTATCGTCGGTGTCGGAAGCAAGGGAGTAATCGTGGGCAAGGGATTCCGTATCCGTGGCGGAGCAAAGAACGTCATCATCCAGAACATCCACATCACCAACCTGAACCCTCAGTACGTCTGGGGTGGCGATGCCATCACCCTAGACGGCGCCGACAAGGTCTGGATCGACCACAACAAGTTCTCCCTCATCGGTCGCCAGATGCTCGTCTCTGGCTGGGGAGCCGCGGGACACGTCACCATCTCTAACAACGAGTTTGACGGAAAGACGACGTGGTCTTCTGGCTGCAACGGAAAGCACTACTGGACTATGCTCTTCATCGGTGAGAAGGATTACTACACCTTCTCTGGCAACTGGGTCCACGATGTTTCTGGCCGTGCTCCTCATGTTGGAACTGATGCCACCAAGAGTGAGATTCTCTTCCATGCTGTCAACAACTACTTCCAGGACGTTGGCGGCCATGCTTTCGATGTTGACACCAACGTCTGGGCTCTTCTTGAGGGTAACTACTTTGACAAGGTCACCACGCCCATGACCTCTGGATCCAGCACCAAGGGCGCCCAGATCTACGACGTCATCACCGTCGACGATGCTTCGGGCTGCACCAACTCTCTGGGATACATCTGCGAGTGGAACCGTCTTTCTGGATCTGGCACTCTGCCTACTCTCAAGAGCTCTGCTGCGCTGTCGAAGCTTGGACAGTACAAGAGCAACCTGGTTAAGCATATCGGTGTGGCTGACGTTCCTGCTTCCGTCACCAAGAATGCGGGTATTGGACGTATTTAGACGAGGTTGGATTTGAGATAGCTGAGATAAATCAAGTATTGGGTTGACACGTGTATCATGAGTAGTGACGTTTGTGGAGCAGTGATAAATTCAAAGATGTTGGCTGCTGCAGATCTCCGGTGTCCCTTGCATGTATGACGATCAAAGTAGTATCTTGCTGGAAAGGCAAAACTCTTATCCACCGGCTTACGACGTGCTAAGACACAGAGATGTCTCAAGTGTCGGAGGCTATGTTTGGGGCTGTGTTTCATTGATGAAGCATTGGTCGCGGTTGATCACTCAAGGTTCCTCGGCTATGTGACGATCAAAATAGCATCTTCTAAGAAAGAAAAGATTCTGATACCAGGGATTATGTCGTTATTAGGATTAAATAGAGATGTCTCGAATACAGCAGTGAAGGCTATGGGACTGTGTTCCAGGGAAGAAGGATTAGTCGAGGTCGATCTCGAAAGGTTCCTCGGCTATATGGTGATCAAAATAGAATCTTGAAAGAAAGCAGACACTCTGATACTGGAGCTTACGTCTTTATCAAGATTAAAAAGAGTTGTTTCGAATACGGGAAGCTGTGGGGCGTCGTCCGTTCATGCAAGATTAATCGAGGCCGATCTTTAAGCTCTCCCGGCTGCATGACGATCAAAATAGCATCTTTGAAGAAAATCTTTCCAGAAATAAGAATCCCGACATTAAAGCTTACGACATTACCAGTAAACCGAGCACGTTGCATTAGTCGTCCATTAAAGGTACGCGTGTCCACACGTGGCTTTGACCAACGTCTCTGCTCAGCCTTCACCTCGGTGAGCCTCAAGGTTATTATCTACACCCGTCGATGAAAAAAAGGAGCTTCCAGGGTAGGACCCTCCTTGGACGAATAAAGACATGGCACTGAGGATGATACCAGGGGCTTTATCTATGGCTCATTAAATCTCGACCGATCAAGATGACGAGCTTGATTATCAAGGTCCACATTGTTTAAAAATTCTTCACTTTGGGCGTCGATTGTAAAAAGCATCGCGATTCAGGCACAAAACATCAGTGCACGTTACAAGGTCCATGATTTATGCGGCCGTTGCCGGGGCTTCAGACGGAAACTGTCGATTGCTGTATCAAGGATCCACAGAATTACTCGGCATTTTAATTTCGACAAAGAGGTTGGAATCCTTGTTTTAGAGGCCAAACCATGTCCCGTTGGGCGGCGAAGCGGAATCGCCGCCGATGCTGGTGAGGGTATCCACTTTCAACCTTTTTTTCACCTTCGGTCAAAACAGACTTTTCACCGAGAGTCGCGGTGAGGATGTGATGCTTTTTCTCAAGAGTATATGTACCAAGGTAAAAGATGACGCTCTTTGCAAATATTCATGCCACGTGATGACCTTGTCTGTTCATAAACAGCAACTGCCAACACATCAGGTTAAAATACGACAAGAGGCCTCACGCGGAGAGACGTCTTATCAATGAGAGTTGAGCACAGCCTCTGTGGCGAACCCTCCTTGGGCAAGTCATTCAATTTTGAGGCTCGGCCTTATCTTCCCCCCCCCCCCCCCTGGTAGGACCGACCACTTGGGACCGGGCCCGGCGGCCCGGAACACGACCCGCGCAGCCACTCCATCACGTTGATGCTGCCGGCATTGCCTGTCAGTAAGGTGATGCTCACCCATCCAAATCCCGGACCCGAAAACGGGTGGGGGCACCCAAGGGATGCCTCAGGGGTGTTGCCCCTTGTCAACCACCCAGGTCCATGGCGCCCGATGAGCCTCAAACCAACGACGGCATTTGAAGCACGACATTTCCTAAAACAAGACGATACGTCTAGTTTAACCTTTGTAATTGGGGGGCCCAGACCCGCTTGGGCACGCATCATTAATCCTGCCAAGATCTAGCCTCTCTTCCGAGTCACGGCTTGCGTATCGCCTTATCACGAGATTTTTCCATATCATGATTCGTACCTATCGTAATCACCCCTTTAGGCGAGGCAGGATGATCCGACTGGGTCGAGGGACCTTGTCAATGAACAAACCTCACTTTCAATTGACGTCTCCCTTTTTAGGTTCTATAAAGGGTGCCTGATATCCCATCGGTTTTAACTTTTTTTGCTTCATTGTACATTAGACTCGGGATCAACACACTGATGATTGAACATCAGCATTCATTATTAGCTTCGGCACTCCAACATTCGTTGATCCATTCTTCCCCGAAAAAACAACAAACCGACAAAATGGCACATCTAATTCGAGACCTCGACATCTCGTGGACAGACTCAAACGCCCCCACGAGGCGAAATTCCACGGCATCTCTCCCCGCCATGACACTATCGCCCCCGGAAAACGACTCCAAGGCCATTTTCGACGACACATCCAAGGGGAACGATGTCTCCAAGGACATTCCCTCGATACTCGAAAAGGGCTGCAAGAACTCGTCCTCTGAAGAGAGCCTTGACTCTCAACGCAAGCTCTCCATTCGAGAACGGTTGCACTACTTTACTTGGTCGTGGTTTACACTCCCAATGAGTTCTGGTGGTCTTGCTTTGCTCATCCATGTGCAACCGCATCAATTCACCGGCCTTCGAATCATTGGCACCGTGATATACGCTGCTAACCTGGCCATCTTCACCCTCTGCTGCCTCGCGATTTTGCTCCGCTTCTTGTTCAATCCTGGTGATTTGACCAAGTCGGTGACACATCATCGAGAGACGATGCTCTTCCCTACATTTTTCTTGGCTGTCGCTACACTCATCACTAGCACTCAGCGATATGCTATTCCCCTCAATGATGCTTCGTACGCTTGGGCTACGCAGACTATCTTTTGGATTTACGTCGTTGTCACTTTTGTACTTGCTGTCTGGCAGTATTCATTCCTCTTTGCTGGTCACAGCTACGATCTACAGACCATGATGCCTGGATGGCTGCTGCCCATCTTCCCAGTCATGCTGGCGGGTACTGTCGCCTCTGTCATTCTCGAGACACAAACACACATCAACCCCCTCCCCATCATCTTTGCCGGCTTAACCTGCCAAGGTCTAGGCTTCTGTGTCTCAATGATGATGTACGCACACATGATTGGTCGTCTCATGCAGTCTGGTCTATGCGATCGCGAGCATCGCACAGCACTCTTCATGAACGTTGGCCCTCCCGCTTTCACAGCTCTCGCCCTCATCGGCATGGCCAACGCCCTCCCCAACACTATCTCAGGAGCTGACCACCTCGCCCTCAATGTCGACACCGTCCGCGCCGTAGCTCTGCTAAGCGCCGTGTTCCTCTGGGCTCTCAGTCTCTGGTGGTTTCTCGTCGCCGTCGTCGCAGTCGTCGCCTCACCACCAAAGGAGTTTCATCTCGGTTGGTGGCCCCTCGTCTTCCCCAACACAGGCTTCACACTGGCCACTATTTCCATCGGCAACGAATTCAAGTGCGAGGGTCTCCTCTGGGCTGCGAGCGGCATGACAATTATTCTCATCATTACTTTTTCTACGGTTTTCTTTTTCAATATGCGGGCTCTCTTTACACGGAACCTGGTGTATCCCGGCAAGGAGTTTTAGAGAAACAGCCGACCACTTGGCATGGAGTAATGTAATTTTTATTAGGATAGATACCATGGGATACAGGATAGACAAAAACGGGATACGATAGCAAATAGCTATCTGGATAAAGCAGGTTTTTTCACAATTCACAAAAAGCATTCCAACATCTCGTCTCCTATTGTGTCATGGAATTTCCCGGACACGTCAGTCCGGTTCCAGCCGGGCCAGAAGGTTCGGCGCCGCAAACGTGGGTCAAGGTTGGCATTGGCCATCAGCTTACAGGGGCGAAAAATGACAGGGAATGTTTCCTATATCGGCCCAGATTCCACGATCCCAGGGATCGTATTAAATGCCTGACAAGGGGGGGAGTCTCGGGCGGCCTTGTACCTCCGTTAGCAGACTCTGAGAGATTCTCCCCTATTCCATAAGCGAGTGACTCTCATCCGTGTCCGATACTCGGGGGCTACGCCAAGCTACGTCTGCTGTCAAGTTTGGCAAGTACAAGTCCGGTCACCCAACTTATCGGTCCGGGGATTTTTAAAAGAGAAGCTTCTGGCCTCTAGCTCCTGTTTTCGGCCCTTGGGTCTGGCGATTTGAGGCCCTTTAGCGATATCATTTTTCGACTTTTTTTTTCCCTTTGTTATTTCCAGGACCGGTGAGTCAAGAGTGGCACCATGTTTCGTGGAATGCTGTTTCAGTCGCGCTGACTGTCAGCCAACTTCTTTCGCTTCACTTAAATGCTGTCCCTGTATTGGTTGCCATGGTCCAGTTTCTTTTCTTTTGGGCTGCGCTGCGTTATCTCTTTATCAGTGGAATGGTGAATGATTTCGTCAGAGCTTTTCTGAAGTAAACTAATTATGGAACAAGAAGCAATTGGCCTTTTGCATCTGAGTGAGAGAAGAGAAAAGTGCATGTTTGGAGCATCCAGACAACATCACAATTATCCTTCATAAGCCACTCTAAACACTGAATTTTAGTTTTACTGAGACAAAATAGAAACATGAATACTTTTGCACGTGCTAAACCATCCTCCATAGATTAAATGCAAGATTCTGCACCTGACGCCTTCCGTCATGTGACTCGACTTACAGCAACCCCATGTAGGATTGCAACCCCTTGCGATGCACTTGAACCAGGTTAGAGTTGCATGATCTTCGCCCCTCTTCAAGCCAAAACGGGACCATCTGAACATCTCGGCAAGCTAGGTGCTTTCGCCGCCGAGGTTTTACACCGATATCATTATGTATGACTGCGTGTATGCCGATAGTTTACCACGGAAGATGACACCGGAAAAAACCCAGGTAAAGAAGCCTGATTGATTATGAATTAGATACTTGGAGTAGCTCTCTGATACGAATTAATCAACGAGTCGGCTACAACAAGTCCGCCCAGCTGCTGATATTCATCCAGTCCTGATCCGAAGCAAAGTTTGTAAACGGCTGCAATCCCTCACCTCCTAGTAACCTATTCCAGTCCGGCGGACTCTCCGGCACCATGACCTGCTCGCCCTGCAGATGTTGAGTCACAAGCGTCTGATATTCGCGGTGGAGTTCCTCAAACACGCTATGCACAGCTTCTGCATTCGGCCAGTATTGTGCCAACAGCATAGCTGACCTGAGTAACCGAGCTAACCTTTCCAGGGCATTGATGGCGACTAAAAAGGTTTGCGAAGCGACAGCGGTGCGGATCTCGGCGGCAAATTGTATGCCTGCTGCTGTCACGGCACCCACGGCAGTGAAGTGACATTGGCGGAGCTCGTCACGGGAACTCAACTGTTCGAGGGATGTGACAATAGCTTGGGCAGCAGCTGAACAAATTGATTGGCTGCTTGGCTCGTACAGGTTCCGGTGAAGGTGTAAAAGAATGAGGTTATAGTGCATGCGGAGATGACAGGCCCAGGCGTCATCGTCGTCGGCAACTGAAGAGATGCCAGAGTGTAGAGACCAAAGGCCAAGCCTGGCATCAATCGAATTGACGTCTATGTGACGGTCTTTTGAAGGCGAATTGAGAGAGATGATGTCCAGACCGATATAAGCCAACTCAACAAGGCGGTTGAGGAAATCAGGGCGGACCTCGGGGGGATCATTCGACGACATGGCTGTACCCGGAGTGTCGGTTATATCGTCGTCGCAAAGAGGCTGCTGATCTATATCCTCGGCTCGAACAGCACACGGCCTTCCAGTCTCGAGTGCTGAAAAGACTTCGCATACAAACACTGACCACCAACACCGTCTAAACTGCGACATTTCTATCGCCGGAAGTTGGGAGCTTCGTCGATGAGCACCAAGGCCGCAGCCAATGCGCACCGCAATTCCTGACCAATACCATGGCCCGCCGGCGACAGTGTCTCCATCTCCAACATGCCAGGTGAACAAGGCGGCGGCTTGTAAGAGATGTATTCTGTCCGTTTCATGCCTCATGTGGTACAACATGCTGGCACGTCGGAACAGAATATGTTTGACTGCATGGCGATTATTGGCCACAAGAGGATGAGAGCATGCATGTGCTCCAGCCATAAGAACAGCTTGGAACAGTAGCAACGGCGGAGGTTTGTCTGGTGTGCGGTAGCTGGCTATAAACTCGGGCATTGAGACGATGGGAAGAAAAGGGTGAATATGTTCAAAGTAGGCCAACACAAGAGCATCTCGGACCTGTTGCGCAGGAAAGGATGCTACCTCGGTTGCCAGATCTTGCGTTGTCGTCCCCCAGATATCTGCTGAAGGTTTCCATGACTTGATCTGTCGGATAGGAGGATAAGGATAGTGAAGAGGTTTTCCACCACCCCACTGGTCACTGGCAGAACTTCCCTCTTGCGGCGGCCCCTCGAGTGAGGCATTCGTTTCAGGGCCAGTGTTTTCTGAGAGTGGTCGATTTCTACCACCGCGGATTGAAGAATATGGTTGACGGAATGAACGGTGTAGATCTACCAAGTGGACGAGGTTGGATACTGCCGTGCCCACATATGCTATGCGGAAGCTCTTTGTGGAGGCAAAGACAGCCCAGGCGGCAGCACCAATGCCGTGCTTAAAGAAACGTGCAAGACCCTCACGGGCAAGCTGCTCCTGACCATTGGAATTGGATGCATCTTCTGAATTCTTGCCCTGTGTTGGCGAGGGACCCCCGGGTCCGAGAAGTGAGAGATGATTGTCTGTGGACTCATCGGCTCCGAGTTCCGGTTCCGGTAGAGATGCCCGGGGAGAGCTGCCTTCGCGAGTACGTCTCGGAGCAGTAGATCCACGACGGGGTGTTGCCCATTTCGCCGTTGAACTAGTTTTTGTTAGTTTATTGAGAAAGAGCAAAAAATGATGATCCCAAGTGTTGTTGTTGGGAGTCTGTGCGGAAAAGACGACTTACCGACACTCCAAGCCTGACTTTTCACAGACGGAGCAGGGGCCTTCGGGACGTAGCACAATGTCACATCGGACCTTGCGGCGACGACAAACATCGCAGGCCTTGCGCTGTTGACGTCGCCGGGGCAGGTCCTGGTAATCTTGCTGCTGCTGCTGGTTGGACTCCATGCTGTGAGTGGATGAGGAGGGATCGGAGCCGGTGATTGAGAGGGGGTGTCTTTTCTTGTTACTGTCGGAGCGTCGGCTCTCGGGAGCGGGGGAGCCGAGATCCGGGGATAACGTGGATATAATGATGCGTCGATGCAGTGTCACTCGGCATCAGTTGTGGTCACACCGACGAAGATGAAGCCTATAAGTTATCGGTTACTATACCTCTATTGAAAATCAACTGAATGAATACATAGTCTATCCTTCCTAGTTGAAACTACACAGCTTAACACCCTCATTCACAGCCTCGCCTTCCTTAACATTCGACTCAAACTTGCCATCCTTGGAAGCAGCAATAGTAATTTCCATCTTCATACTCTCAATAATCATGACAATCTCTCCCGTCTTGACATCATCTCCAGGCCTTTTCAATACCTGAAGAACCTTGCAAGGCATTGGGGCGTTGATGCTGCCCGTGCTGGCTGGTCCTCCGGCGATGGCGACGCGCTGGCTTTCGTAGTATGACAGGACAGAGTAACAGTGGTACTCGAGAGGTGTTCCAATCGCGGGGAAGTGGCAGAAGACTCTTGTAAAGTCTCCTGTATCTGACTCGTTGGAAATATGATTCCCTGTCGCCACGAAGCCGAGGATCTTGTTCCTGCCAATAGTCACTTCGATGCGGCCCATTTCGCAACCTGAACCGTTGCCAAAGTCCAACCGTCGAATTTGAAGGGAATGAATCTTGATAGAGAAGGTCTCGGAGTTGGGAAGAGTCTCAGCTCGGAGAGATGCACTCAGTGCATTATAGGCCTTTGTGACAACCGCTGCACCATTCGCGCCCTCCTCAGCGTCGAGAGCCCCAGAGGGCACAGGTGCAGTCTCGATAATGAAATCATTTGATGCGGCCTTGGAATAAAGAAGAAGGCGAGAAACGCGTGCATCTACAGTCGTTCCCTTGACAGCATCAAACCTTGTCACAACATCACAGGGCGTGTTGATCTTGTCGAATCGCTGGTTTCGAAAGCCCAACCGGACGTTTTTAAACGTGCTCCGTGATTTGTGTTCGTCCCGGAGCTTTCTGAGGAATAGACTCGGGATGATGGAGTAGAGGTCCATTGGAATCTGTCCATTCACCGAGGTAGGACTCTTGAGAAGCGACTCGAGGTTGGTCGGGATGAATGAGGTCGTGTAGTCCACCCGTCGAAACCCTTCGTGGAGAAGACAGGCTTGAAGAAAGTGCTGATTTGTTGAGACTCCCATGCAAACCGTGTCTGATAGAATGCGTGCCATTCTCTGAATAGCCATGGATCGTGTGGGAGCCCAGACCACAATCTTGGCTATCATTGAGTCAAAGTAGATGGAAACCCTGGCTCCACTCTCAATGGCCGTCTCGAAGCGCACATTCTCTCGACTCTCGATTGTCGAAGGGGCCCATACGCGGATAAGACCGTGTTGGGGGGCAAAGTCGCGTTGGGGATCTTCTGCGCAGAGTCTGCACTCGATGGCATGTCCTTTCTGAGGGATGGTCTGGAGATGAGAGACACTCTCCAAACTTCCACCAGAAGCTACAAAGAGTTGCAGGGAAACGAGATCGAGGCCGGTGCATTCCTCTGTGATGGGGTGTTCGACTTGTAGGCGGGCGTTGACCTCGAGGAAGTAAAAGTTTCCGGTCGCAACATCGAGAATGAACTCGACAGTTCCAGCTCCTTCGTATTTCAGCAGTTCTCCAATCTTGACAGCTTCAGCGCACATGGCTTCCCTCTGCGACTGATTGAGCCAAGGACAGGGTGACTCCTCAACAACTTTCTGATGCCTGCGCTGAACTGAGCAGTCCCGTTCCCACAACGAGATGACCTTTCCGTGGCTGTCGCCCATGATCTGGACTTCGACGTGTTTTCCTGCTTCGATGTACTTTTCCATGATGCAGTCGCTCAAACCAAAAGATCGCTGCGCCTCGGACTGGGCTCTGTTGAATTCTGATTCTAGGGCCGACATGTCTCTGACAATGCGCAGTCCTTTTCCGCCACCTCCAGCTGATGCCTTGATCATGACGGGAAGACCAATCCTCTCAGCCTGAACTTGCAAGTCTTCGAGCTGGATTCCACTAGAAGAGCCCGTAAACCCGGGGATCAAAGGAACACTGGGCTCATGTTCGCTGAGGTACTCTTTGGCTTCTCGCTTGTCTCCCAAGGTGTTGATAGCTGATGAACTGGGTCCGATGAAGATCATTCCCGCAGCTCGAACTGCGTCTGCAAACCGGGAATTTTCGCTCAAGTATCCGTATCCAGGGTGGATGGCGTCGGCTCCAGCATTGAGGGCGGTATCGACGAGGAGCTGAATGTTCAAGAAAGGATTGCCGTCTGTATTATCCATTGAGCCAAGGTTGATGGCTTCATCGGCTTCTGACACGTGCCTGGAGACAGCATCTCTGGGAAAAGGTTAGGCTTGGGTACTGACTGTCATGGCTACACTTACTCGTCGGCATAAATCGCGATAGACTTGACCTGGAGCTTTCGGCACGTCGCAATAACTCGGCAAGCAATCTCGCCCCGATTCGCAATGAGAACGCTATTAATCCGTCTGGTGCCGTCTTGCAAAGGTAGAGGAGCTACCCACAGAGGGCTTCTTGTTGGATATGCGCTACTCTCCATGGCGATGTGTAGGCTCGAGTTGTTGGAGATTTGGTGGTTCTCGGCAAATCAGAGGTGATTGAGCTTTTAAGAAAGGAAGTGAGTTAATCCACCGGCATTCGGCTTGGACATTTCTCGATCGGAGCGGCTTTCAAGGTCCGCTCTGCTTTCGCACCGGCGCGGACCGAAAGTGGGGCCGCTCCCGAGGAGGCCGGTTGGATGAACAAGAGCTCCGGAGAGTGGCATTAGTTATTCTCAACTGGAAGAAACATAAAGCCGAAAGACTTGTCAAGAATTATTGATCACTCTGGTATCCTCAAATGTAGTTGGATCTTGATCGAAGATAGTCCTATTGATCTGTCTGAAGCCGCAAGGGTTAGCTGGAAGTCTGGCGCAGGTGCGTGCCCCGCAGCTCGGTCCGCATGCCGAGGCCAGCGAAGAACCAAGTATCATGGGACAGGCAGACCGAGGCAGATAGGACAACTTTCAGATTATCTCATGTTTTCAGAAAGCACTTCTACAATTGTAGCCGACTGAAGTAGCAACTTTTCTTGGTGCATAATTCGGGACCGCTGTACCTCTATCACCGCTTGAGTCAGGTGTTGGTGCCATGGACTGTCTTGCAGTCACCCGTTGGTGCTCTCTTACGGATGTTTTTTTTAAAGCCTCCTCCAAATTGACAGCATGAGAACAAATTCTACGGTAGGCTAACATTGGCCGAGGCGAAATTGGAGGTGTCTGATTATTTGACAGGGTTCTTATGTTGCGTCGCCGGCTTTGGGTTCTGCGGGGCCTGTTATCAAGAAGATTGCTCATGGTTGATACTCCAACGTACTCGTCGACCATAGCGTCACGAAGCAAGTCTACTCTGGTAGAATATGATCATATTGAATAATTCTGCTGTATGTAGATAGCCCAAGGTGCCTTCTTAAGAGTATCATCCTATTCCTTCTCCCTAGCTATGTGTCTAGTTCGACTTATCGGACGGACGAACCTCATGTACAGCCCACTTCCTATCGGCGTGTCGTGCACGCTCGCTCGACTATGGCCGATGGCTGTTCATATACGGTTCCGGGACAAGAGGCGATCTCGCTCTCGTTTCGTGGTAGCTCGTTCGAAATTGCCACAAAAATCTTCAGTCAACGCTCTGTTAAGATGTTGGTCTGTGATGGGCATCGCCCACAACACGGCTTTCCCCGCTGTCCTCCATATCTGAAGATTCTCAGTTGATGCCACTAACTTCGTATATGTATGTGGCTTCATAGAGTTGTGTTCAACTCGGCCCATTTCACTTGCATGTGTGCAAGTCCTGTCGAGCCGAATGGCAGTGATGAGTATTAGTGTTTATAGCTCAGCATGATGCGAATTGAGGGAATCTCCGAGCAGTGGAGGTGATAAAAGTAATTGGGTCTTGATATGTGCGGACTGGCTGTGAAGTGATGGTATTAAAGGAGGGGGTATTGCGATGATCAAGGATACTTATCGCCGGCCTCGATGCTGTGCAAGTCGACCGCCTCTGGGTCCCTCCTTCTCATCCAGGGCGAATTCATACTTTGATTTACAATCTCTTGCCCGTACTTTGCTGAGTCCGCCGTCCCGAAGATATTGGGACACAAGCGAACCAAGATCAAGCGAAGGGTAGGGAGGCAAGTGCATATCATGCCGACGTTGACTTCGATTATAGACCAAAACGCAACAAACCATTGGTCCCAGGTCGGATTATTGGAGTTGGCGAAGTGAAGCAACGATTGAAGACGAAGGATGGAAACCACCGTGACACTGTAAGCCTTGGTTAGCAACGTCACGAGCCTCAAAAGGTGGCATGGTATACGCACAATGTCCCAAGTAAAAACATGATTACCACGCCAACCTTCTTCTTCCAATGTAGTCTCAGATGAATGACTTGGCTCAGGGGCATGGCGATCATCCAGATATCGACTGCGACGCCGGTTGCGGCGTTGACCCATCCCAGAGCATTTATGTCGACACACGTGCCACTGTATCCCCCCAGGTATTGTGTCCAGTAGTAGTCCACCGGCGCGCACTGGAATATCGCTGCAAACAAGAATGCAATACCGTATAGTGCGTTGAACGCGACCGTCCCCCAGAGGATATACGGACTGATGTTGTCGAAAAAGATGTTGAGGTAGAAGAGCGACAGGCTGAGCTTGATAAAAGACATGGCCATGAAGTACAGAATGGTCATTACATAGAAGTACAGAGCGAATTTTGATATTTCGTGAGTCGTCAGTGTCCAGATATCTCTGCCCAGCCCATGGACTGTTAGACACTTGATGCCTATCACCAGACCCGACACTGAGATGGCCAATGTCGCGGCGATTGCCCAATCGTTGGGGCTGAGGGCTTGTGTTCGACTGAAAAAGAGTTTGAAAACCAGTCGTGACATGGTGACGAAGATTGCGATGGCGCCTAGAGGAATAATCGTGGCATTGAATCGGTTCGATTTGTCTCGGACGGGGGCTCCGCAGGCTGTCTCGGTCACGTTCTTGACGACTGCAGTATGAAATCATTAGTTCGGTTCCCAGCGTGGAGAGAGGGAGAGGTAGATGGAGGGAGTGCGCACAGAGTGCATCCGAGAAAGAACATGCACTCTTGATGCAGATTTTGGCATCATCTTGGAACGGTTGGTTGGTGCACATGCACGACAGATCGGTGATATCGCACGTCGAGTTTGCAAGGGCTCCATAGAGACAAGGGGGCTTTAAACAGAGTATCCATCGTTAGTTGACAGGACGAGAGAACAAGTGGGGAGCTGAAAAGCAGATGGGACTCACCGCACAAGACGGAAGCCTTGCGACAATTTCTGATGGGGACTCTTCACCGAGGCATGGTCCCAGGAAGACGGCGACGAGGAAGAGGATATAAAGATGCATATTTACCCCATCTTTGGTGTTCAAAAACACCAGTTGATGAAGTTTCACGTCGCCTTGGTGGAACTGCAATGAGTGGTTGTCGGGTGAGTTTGAGGGATTGCAGGGCAAAATCACATGGTGATAATGTGGCGGCGGTGATGGTTTTAATGAAGAGTACCGACCAGCCGTTAAACGTCCCTCGTCTTGTCGTCGATCGGGCCTGTAATTGGCGGCTGAGCCCTGTCCGAAGGGGCGTAGCCAGGCCCTCTGGCCAGTAACGGGATGGCGTCTCTGCACCCCGGACGAGTCGTTTGATTGCCGTGGAGTCGCCTGGACTTGCCACTCTGTCTGCCGTTACAACTGGACCGAGGTGGTTCGAGTCAGCGAGACTGGTAGGTTTGCGGGATGGCTACACCCAACTAGGTAGGTCGTTGCATGTGGCTGCCGGAGCTTCAAAGTCAAATCGACAACGTGAGGCGAACATTGACGCATCTGGACGGTCTAACGAGTCTGTATTCACGGTCCGCGATTCATGAGTGTTTGAAGTGCCGGTGTAATAAGTTAGCGGTCAGAGTTGGAGACTCTAGAAGGCTGGTTGGTGACACCGGTGACGTTGCTGGGCTGAACGTTGATAGAGAATCATGACAGCGCTTTGATCGCCTTCAGGGTTTAAAATGCTCCGCCTGAACTATTGGCGTCGATCCCGGATCTTTCAGCCCGTACCCCACAAAGACATGGATCCCGTGTGGGGAATATGGATGCCAATTGTCATAGGTTTCATGTCAAATAGGGGCCATGTATCTCGAATTGATGGTATCGAGCGAGCAATATGCCGCAGGGCAACTTTCTGGGCCAAAGAGGTGCTGTTTCGGCAGCGTTTGAGCTATCCCTGCGCCAGAACATGAAAAGCCAATCATGAGGCTGGAATTTTCGACGGCTGGCGATCAGACATGGGGCATTTTAAGGAATCCCACCCTCCAGGAACAGATGCCAAGTCCGACCTAGCTTCAAACGTTGCAAGACGGATTTCCTTTCTGAGGTCGCCTCCTGGAATCACCTAGCTTGCGAGGCTACGTACCTGCACTTTAGTAAAATGTTCGAGAACCCAGCCACTTCGGAGACAAGCAGCTGCGGACTAATTAAGGTGAGACAGTTGCACGTTGCTTGATGGAAAGTGTGACAAATGAGTGTGTGACATGCTATTGACTGCACATAGGAGCTTCCCGCCTGGTATCTTCAGATCGAGGCACCTAAGAATTGGTAACTGAAACTTTCTTTAGTCGCCGCCTGGGTATGATCACATGGGAAATAATTCCACTAGGAGCGGTTCTGCATGGGTAGCTCCTGGCCAATCTGACGAGAGGAGAGGAGCATGAATGGCCACGCGATCAATTTCCAAACAAGGATTCAAAAAGTCGAGTTGAGGTACAGTGACAATTGCCCAAGGGACAAAAAGAAGGATCAAAGGAGAAAGCTAGAAGAAGGGAACAAAAGGCAGTCTACCCTCGCTTTAGGGAGATAGCGCAGGCATTATGCCTGGGTTTCTTTTAACCTCTAATGAGATATGGGAATAACTAGTAAGCTTGGGGTAATGGATAGTATACTGCTGTTCTTCATTGTAGTTACAGACCTACCTATCTTCCACAGTCTTCTCTGACCGGCCATGTTGCCCGTTAACCCCTCTAACCTGAGAGACTTGTTTGTGTTATCAAACTAGTGGTCTTTCTATGTAAGGCCCTTACTAGTTCCCGCGGTCTATGGCTACGTTTCGTAATGCTGATGTACCAGTAATTGGAATGTGTGCCCAGATATGAACCCGTCTCTGATTGGTGTCGACAACTGGTACAATCTCGTCCCCTTGGATAACTTCCCGACGTGCGGAAAATACATGGACGACATCTCCTGCATTGGGGATCTCGGATTTCCACTACCTAGCATAGATAATTTGGTAAAGTTTTATGCGTTGGGCGAGATTTCTAAGAATGGAACCGAGATGACAATTTTAAACTTTTATGGTAGTATTACAAGTCCTCTTAGCGGCGAGACATTCTCATGGACTCTTGGGGGGATAGGACACACTGTCATAGTGGCTAGTGCCGACGCGAAGCCAACAGGAAGCGCTGGTGGTAAAAAGGCGGATAATGAAAATGAAGACAGCGATGAGGATGATGAGGAAGATGTCGCTTCTCATCTATCTCCATAGATGTGGCTCAATGCTTTGATTTGCCTAATCCTGGTTTAAGTTATGTCGAGATTTAGGTTAGTGAGGCATTTAGAAGTGTACAGTGACGGGCACTTGTCTCTTGCGTACGATAGCGGAGTTTTGACTGTTTCACTAGGCTTCAAGATTAGCTGCTATTTGACATCAATCAAAACTGTGCTTCTTTTCAATCTATCTGAGAAGTGTAAATGACGTACGGAGTTCGGATCATGAGACAGACTGCACCAAAGGACGTTGCATCGGCTAGCTTGTTGTTGCGAATCGAGTAACCTCCGAGCTGTGCCATGTGGTGAATGAAATGTGTTGGTCGGCGATGCCCTGATTATCGCCGAGAATTTCAACCCTGAAACGTCATGATCAGCATCAGCTAGCCCAAGATGTGGACCGCGGCCAATCCTACGACGACAATCCTTACCGTCTCTATTACCTCCTCGACGTCACAGCGGTCAGCAAATCCGTCCCCATACAAGGCCACCCTGTCAAGCAGCCAACTAAACATCTGATTGGACTTTATGGGTTGCTAGTCGGAGGATTGATAACCTAAAAAGGGAGTCGATTGTCGGAGGATTCAGTGCTGCCTTGCTCTTGGACTTAGTCGCTGGCTGTGCCAATCTGCCTTGACTGAACGGCGTCCAATGTTGCATATAAACAAGGACCAAGCCCATAAAAAAATAAAGAAAGTTATACCTAGTTTAAGCTTACTTCCCCCTTAGTCGATCTACTATCCACCAGACATCCAACATGAAGACAACTTCAGCGCTCACAATTTGGGTGCTCACCCTTCTACCCTCAACCGCCGCCTATGATGGCGATGTTGGTGTAGCCGGGCCCCCAAATGATATGAGTGCGGAGGAGTGGGAGTCTCAATTCAAAAAGCCCAATGCTACCGGCACCTACACTTTTGACGCCTATAATGTCTCGGGGCCCTTCCCGCCCAAGGAGACGGTGGGTGGCTGGAAAGCAACTATTGCAGTGGCCGCCAACGTCACTGGAGACGAAGACCACAACTACCCAGGAACCAGCATCAGTATCACGGCACCTGAAGATATGAAACTGCCTGCGATAAACGATAGCCGCCGTTCTAACGAATCCGACTGGCATGTGTGCGTCGCCTTCTGGACACCCAAGGCGCTGGATGACGACGCTATCGATGACGGCCAGGATGACGACGGCTCTTGCAGTTCATTTCTCTCCGACGATTGCATCGAAGCTCTAGACAGAGAGGGGAATGGCTATTTTTGGAATAGTACGAACAATAATGGATGCGGGCTTTTGCCCGATATTCCTGAACAATGCGAGGACTACTTTAGTGACGACGCCAACACGTACGGCTTTTCATGTGAGTTTCCAACCCTTGATCAATTTCACCGTGACTGATTCATAGTAATAGTGGGCGCAAACCTCAGTTTGCTTGATGGCAAGCCACTGATAGCCGTACGCCCCGGCCCTAACGGCCTGGGAGCAGATGAGGACGAGGCTTATGATAATGCGGTGCGTGGTATCTGGACTGTTATAGTCAACTGGGGTCGCCGCGATCCCACCGAGTGGAGAACTCCAGAAGAGATGCCGGTTGCTTCTTTGTTGTGTTTGCGGGCTAGTAATGTCACCGAGGGAAGTGTGAATCCCAATGCTGCTGAGAGACTAGGGCTTGACGGTACCTTTGCTTTGTTTATTGCACTAGTCGCCTCGAGTTTCTTATTGTATTAAGCCTAAAGGGAATAATAGTTGACAAGTAGTACTTGTTGGTATGCACGGTGTTAGTATGGTAATGGAAGACATCTGCCCTTGGTGAATAGTCGAAATGGAGAAACTTGGCTTGCTGCTAACCTCAAGTACCCGAACTGAAACTGCATGGGTACAGAAAGAGGGCCTGATCATCTATCCTGTAGAAGGGACAGGAGATGGCGTGTATAGACGAGCGGGTGTTTTCGTTATTGCCGGCTCGGATACAAAGGCAGAGAAGAAATGTGTTGATATTGTTGAATGATGTGAGAGGAGGACTTTGACCCTGATTTGAGTTTATTAATGGAAAGGCATGATACCCTCTTGACTCGAGCCTAAAACTATCACTATCCTAGGCTATACAAAGGAAGCGAAGTTTATTCTCATATGTCTTGTCTGAATGATGGCTGGTTAAAATCTCTCCATTTTATGAACCCTGCTCCTGGTCGAACCACATGTTGGTTCCCCTTTCTATTGTTTACACCACCTCGCGCCGTCCCGAAACAACGAGTTTCACACCCTTGACGTTTCGAATACTGGCTTCGGCAGTGACGCGTCTTTTTGGCTCGCTTTAAGTTGAGGTTAAGCATAGCTTACGCAAAAGCTACTGATTCGTCGGGATGTGGGTTGGCTCAACACAAGCCTAGTGGCACGATGCGGGTGGGGATATCATCACTATATGCAAACCTACTATGGCAGAAACATGCTTAGATATAGCGACGAACGCGTGTGCTAATCCTATGTTAAAAGACTATAAAGAAGGCGTTCCCAAACTATTCTCAGTGTTAATCTCAAGCTCAGTTTACACAGCAACTCTTACAACACTTCACATCTTTCTCACATATATCTTCACTCTACCCGAAATAACAACATGCGCGCCCTCGTCAAAGCAGGTCTTGGACTGATGGTTGGCGCTGCCACCGCTCAAACCTCCGCACCCCCGTCAGCTCCTGGCGGCAGCCCCCCTGGAGGCAATGGAGGATCCTCCACCGTCAACAGCGGCAAAGGCCTATACGACTTGACCGATGGCCAAGTTGTTGAAGGAGGCACCTACTCCTGCAGCGACAACGACACTAGCGTCTTTGTCGCGAACAATACTGTCAGCGCTTCCCTGGTTGATGTGACTGTCATCAAGTCGGGCAACACCTCCAACGATGATGCTAGCAGCTTTTACGGTCTCAACGCTGCCGTTCTCGTTGTTGGAAACTCGGTTCTCAACATTACTGGTGGTTCTGTCGACGACGTTGGCCAGGGGTCTGACGGCGTCTTTGCCTACGGCAACGCTACTATCTACATCAGCGGCACCAAGATCAATGTTGAAGGCGGCAACTCGGGTGGCATTGAGGTTGCTGGCGGTGGCACCATGTACGCCTCGGACTTGACCATTGACTCTAACAACAAGGCCGCTATTCGCAGCGACCGTGGAGGTGGTAAATTGGTTGTCGATGGAGGTGTTTATCGCTCCTCGGGTCCTCAGGGCGCCCCTGCCGTTTATTCGACGGCCAACCTGACCGTCAGCAATGCTATTTTGACGGCCTCTGGATCTGAGGCTCTCGTCATCGAGGGTCTCAACGAGCTTACCATCAACAACTGCACTGTGTCTGGAAACATGGGCGTGTCAGGAACTCAGGAGCTACACAACGTGATGCTATACCAGAGCATGTCGGGCGATGCCGAGGAGGGACTTGCCGAGTTTGTGATGAACGGAGGCTCCATGGAGGGTTTCAGCGGCTGCATGTTCTATGTCACCAACACGGCCGCCTCTGTCACCCTCATTGGTGCCGAGCTCACCTTGAGCAGTGACAGCAACTACCTCTTCAACGTCTCTGGCAACGATGCATCCAACGGCTGGGGAAGCGTTGGCTCGAACGGCGGCAACGCCACCTTGAACCTTTCTGAGCAAACCGTCACCGGCGACATCTATGCCGACTCCATTTCCACACTCGCGGTCAACCTGGCCAAGAACTCTCAACTCACTGGCGCTGTCAACCCCGACGGCACGACTGCTGCTGGCCTGGTTGTTGCTGTTGACTCTTCCAGTACCTGGACCCTGAGCGGCGACAGCTACATCACTTCTTTCAGCGGCAGCTTGTCCAACGTCGAGCAGGGATCGTACACGCTCTATGTCAACGGAACGGCAGCTTCTGCTTAACCGCCACCTGTTGTATCATAACTGTTTGCGTTTCGAAAAGGAGCATGGCTTCGGGAGACACTGGTTCCTAGCCAAGACTGCCAAACTTAGTACGCCGTGCTGAGGAGTTAAGTCACGTTTATCATGGCATTTACTCGGGGACTAGAATACAATTATTCATTCTGCCACAAAGAGCTATCCATATAGTCTGTTACATCCCGTAATCAATCTAGCCTCTCTAAAATATGCGGACAATTTCTTTCTCCTTCTCAAGTATACCAAAGTCAGAAATTGCGGTCCTGACATCGACGGTAGCATTGCCCAATCTTTCATACCCTGCATTATCCGACACAGAGCCTAATAAGAGGCACCAAATTGCGGTTTTATCGGGGCCGAAACCCTCAGCGCACAGTGGCATGAGATGGATAGGAGTGTCAATAAAGGCATTCTCTCCTGGCTGATATCCACCCGGTGGTGTGGGAAACCGCCGAAGAGTAGAGTTCAAGCCGTCCTTTTGGGCGATGCGCTTGATAGGGCCATCTACCTCTGCCCTAAGATAGCGGATGTTTGAGATGCAGTCAATCTGCAGTTCGAAGCTTTGGCCGCCTTTTACGTTAGAAAGTCGGGCTGGAAGCAGAAGAGCTTCTAAATCAACATAGGCCTTAGAGACGCCACCGAAGGCGTCATCAGTTCGATGAACGATGTGCTGTGATACTGGACGAGCAAGCCAGCGCGTCTTTTCTCCGTCGCTATATGTCTTGTATCTCACTGGGCCGACCACTGATGCCCATGAGAAACTGGGCGCGATATAAGTTGTTGGAAAATACGTGTCTGTGTCAAACACAGCCCAGCACATCCCCTTAACCAATGAATTACTCCAGAGGCCCGCAAAATACTCCGAATTAATTGTCGTCGATAATAGCCTTGCAATCGCTGACAGCGCAGGAAGCTTGTCTTTCTCCATCGTAAGGTTGCGCTTCGTGTACTCAATCAAGAAGGACTCCCACGCTCTCGTGGTGTGCCAACCTGGGTTCTCCCCAGCGAGCTGCTCTCTGATGGGCTCGGAAATGGTCTCGTCTGACCCAAGACCGCATTCGCATGTCTTGCAAGTTCGGCACTGCCACTGTACTTCGGCCCCAGTGAAGACGACGGCCCGGGTGGAAAGGACGCGCTCTTGCAACGTCCATGCGCGGCTGTCGATAGGATCAAATTCTTCACCATAGGACTCGCTGAACCGAATATGGTGGCCTCGCGCTACTGATTTGCGCGCTTTGATGCAAGCACCTCCAGGACCACTCCTCGCCAAAGCAACAGAGTCTTGTCGTATGCTGTTCAAGAAACCTTCGTGACAAGAATGCGATGATGCTGAAACGATGGTGAAAAAAGCATTCTGATATATGTCCCCCATTTTCCTAGATTCCTTGTTCCAGTCGTTTGCATCATCTTGTATAATGCAAAGGGAATCAATCCATAGCATGTCTATTCCAAGGCGTGAGCAGACAATAGAAGCATCCCTCAGAGTTGATGGCAACTGCGAGATGTCGATTCCTCTTCGCATCTGGGCAATGCTTTTGCTTGTAGTTGTCAACGGCGGGCGGGTTGGTGTATAACCCCAGGAATAGCTAAGCGCTGCGTATTTCACAGGTGTTGAGGAGTCCAGATCGACGAGACGGACTGTTGTAGCTGTTCCATTTGATGCCAGTTGGAGAACCCTAGAGGGTAATACGATCATGGGATCGGAAGGCTTCTTGTTGCATTCAGGATGATTTGAAACATAATCCGCTATGCAGCGAGATATAAAACCCCAGGTTTCTGAGCACTCAGCCATTGGCGGTACTTCTGGGAGCGTCTCGAGACCTCGAGGGAAGCCGTATATTTGCGGCAAAGACACCAAGGAACCCCGAGCCGAGCCATTCTGGGCATCTAGCTTCTCGTTAGGCAATGCCTACGAGCAGAAAGGACATGAAACGAACTGTCTAGCAAGTAAAAGACCAGCCCGTGATGTGGCAGACTCTCGTAACTATATAGAGTAACGTGACGCCGCTGGTTTTCCTTGGAGGGGAGCAGATGATAGCGTTCCGAGTCTAGTCCGATCTTGTCTTGGATTTGACGGTTTATGGATTCAAGCAAAATCCCACAAAAGCCGCATCCTCTCGCATGGGATTGCTTGAGCTCTGAGATGCTGAAACCGAAAGAATCGCGTCTTCTTTGCGCCTGCGTTGGATCGGGCAGGGGACTGTGACATATTGGGCAATCTGGAGATGCCTGGCCATTCATGTTGGAGTTTCGTCTGTATTGAATCGGAAATCTTTTGTGTTGCCAAATTCTAGTAATATTACCGCAACGATGCCCAACATTAAATTTCGGGCTGATTGGAAGATACTCATCACGTGGAGCACATGCATACGACCTGCAGGAGCGGCATCTCATCTAAGTACAAGAAAGTAGCACAACGACTGTAGTTTTGCTGATTCACTCATGGTAGAGGTGCAGATTTTCTATAAGAGCCCACCTAGTAGAACCTACTGTTTTACTTCCAGAAGGTTGTTAAACTGAATTTTCAGTCTATAAAGGCTCCATCAGCCAACGTCAAGGGTTGTCCTCAGGTCTAATCTCGAAGTCCTATTGGTCTATCAATGTTAGATTGATGATATTTACGATCGACTAATATGATAAAGTAATCCCTCTGAACCCATCAAGTTGTTTTGACCCTAATCATACGCAGATTTGGTTTCTCAATGGTCGGAGCCAGGTTTGCGTGCCTGTGAGGCTTATGGGTTTTCCTGTTTGCCCATGGTTATCTGGGAGAGCGCACTGAATAAATAAAAGGGAAAGATAAAAAAAAAAAAATAGAGCCCATCTCTAAACCTGTGACAAATGTTACGGTCCTACCCTTGACCTACTTCTGGGTGGTGAACATACCTCGTCCAGCCAATCAGCGCCCTCCATGGGCTTCGGCATTTGAATAGCCGGACTCGGTCCGAGTCAAGCCCGTTCGGTACCGAGTAACCGGCCCCACACCCGCCGGGAGCCGGTCCGCATTTAGCATCGGAGCCTTAAGAGGAGAGAGGAGAAAATGATCTTATCGGCCGGATAACCCCAGATTTTTGGGCACACTGGTATTCATTACCCACCGTTCTACATCCTGTTCCTTCGACTGACGCAATGGACGTTGCCAATCCAGAATCGAACCCCGAGTCTCCATCATGGCAGACAGAGCCAAGACAGAGAAACAACAGACGCCGAGCTCGTCGGGCTTGCCTTTCCTGCCGATCGCGCAAGGTGAGGTGTGACGTTGTTGAACGGTTCCCATGCGGAAATTGCAGATGGGATAATAACGAATGCGTCGTTGTGAGCCGACGTGGGGGAAGGTAGGTCAGCAGAGTCTCTTCCAGGAACATCAGACTAACCACGTCTTGGCAGATGCATCAGAGTACATCCTCCGGCAGGCGCGACTGAAGATTCAAGCGACCGAAGAAATACCATTCAAGGGGCGGACACAGATCCATCAGCCAACGATTCGAGACCGACCAACCCTGCGGTCCCATGCTCGACTCCAACAGACCACTACGGCGTCGGCGAAGACATCGAGTACACAAGTAAGCGTTTATGGTACATGTTTATACAGTTGGCTGACTGGCGGAGTAGCTCGGATGCTGCGCCTCGTGTCTGGCTACACTGGTGAAGCTGGTGTGAACCTCGGAGCTGCCTGGCCAGAGCCCGACAAACTCGTACGGACGGCCAATTCTTACGCGTCGAGCAATGACACCACAGATTCCGAGGAATGTAATAAATTGCCTGGTTTTATTAAACCAATGTCGTCATGCATCGACAGAGACGACGTCGCCTACCTTCGGTCTAAAGGAGCCCTGTCGGCGCCAAACGTGCAGCTCCAAAACGCCCTTCTCTGGTCCTTCTTCGAATACGTATATCCATTCATACCTGTGGTAGATGTCGAAGAGTTTCTCAGTTCGGTGCACGATCGAGATGGCAACTCTGGTCAAATCAGCCTCCTTCTGTACCATGCCGTCTTGTTTGCAGGGACAGCACACGTCAACATGGATCTTCTTAAAAAGTCTGGCTTCAAGACCCGCAGAGAAGCACGCAAGGCCTTCTTCCACAGGGTCAGAGTAAGTCGCATGTTCTGAATCCTTGGTGAAGGTAGAGTTGACCTTTGAAACAGCTTCTCTATGACTTCAACGCTGAATCTGACCGAGTCGTCATCATCCAAGCGCTTCTGCTCATGACACTCTGGTACGAAACACCGAACGAACACCGAAACACATGGCACTGGATCGACGTCGCCATATCGCAGGCATTTGCGGCTGGCCTACATCGAGACCCGCCGTTCCTCAGCTCTCCACCCTTGATCCGCATCCAAAGACTCCGTCGACGGATATGGTGGACCTGTCTTATGCGTGATCGTCTGGTGTCTTTGGGGATGAAGCGACCACCGCGGATCAATGATGAAGATTATTGCGTTACCATGCTCGAAGAGGCTGATTTTGGACCGGCCGACTTGCCAGAAACAGAGCGTGGCCAACTACGAGACATGTGTTCCTACATCCAAGACAACCACAAAAGAATGGCCCTGGCTCGGCTTTGTATCGCCAAGGCAAGTCTCTGTCGTCGCTTGAGATACTATCTTAGGTCGCGATATTCTGTTTTCGCCGAAAACGCTGGCGACGAAGCAGCTGAAGCTTTCACCATTTCAAGACCAGACGACAAAGCTGCATATGTCTCGTGCAGCGAGGATCTAGTTGCTTGGCAAAAAGCGTTATCGAATGACTGCAAGTACCGAACCCTTTCGAGTGATCTCGTGGCGCACGAGGATAGAACTGTTGCCCTTCACCGCACAATCCTCCACATGATCTACTACGCTTCAATATCTGGGATCCACCGGTCCAGGTTTACTCTACTCTTGCATGATAAAGAGTCTTCACTTTTCGATCAGGAAGTCTCAAAGATTTGGATGCAGCATGCAGCTATTCGGGTGTCGGACATGGCTGGAGAGATTCATCAGCATGGTCTTGATGGACTTTTACCGACTTTGGGCTTGAGTGTGGTTGTTTCGGCTGCTTCAGTTCATCTACTCGAGATAAGAGGTGTCATTGATGCCGAGAGAAAGAGGGCACACGAGGGATACCGAAGATGCATGGTGGTGCTCGACTCACTAGCGGACATGTATGTGGCTGCAGACCTGGCAAAGGATGCAATGGAGTGGGCATTTGTCCAACCGTCTGCTAGAGCATCCGAGCCAAGTGACGAGGTCGAGTCTCTGGTGCAGTCCTCTCAAAGCCCTACGCTCGGAGAAGCTCCCGTTGATATCGACAGCCTAATAAACGGTAATCGCCAGGGGTGCTCAGCGCCGACGGAGAGTGTTGAGCCGGATCATGATGATATGGGCTTGGGTGCCCCGGGAGCTGATTTCGAGGATGTCTGGATGGAATACCCAATGGCGGAGATGGATAGGTTTGAGAATACTGTAATGTTTAGCGACATTGACTTGTGAGGGACTTCGTGCGTTGAAGAGAGGGGCCAATAGAGATGCCACGGGCTGAGTCTCGCGGATGAAGCATAATACACCATCTCTTTTTAATCAACACCGCATTCATCTAATACTTGATCCCGAAATATAGCAGTAAAGGATGGCCGTTATATAGCAATAAGTCAACTCAGGCAGACAGCCAACATAGACCTGTCGCCGCGTTTATTCACGGCGGACTTGGGTAGGGGGGATTCCTGGTCTCCACTCGGGCAGTGAGGTTGTGTGAAGGATTCTCACGTGACTATTGTATATATCAAACACCTGTTGGTCGACGCTTCCAGACATCATCTTTTCCCTCAGCTGATGCGAATCTCTTGGTTGTTTATATGGCATGAACTAAGTAACGACAATGGATAATCTTCCTCCTGAACTACTGCGCAGGATTCTTTTATATCTTATCACGGAATCGACTTTGATCTATGAGATCCATGAGCGGGTTCCCAAGACTTCGCTAGCTGCATACGCAGTCATCTCTCGCAAATGGCGGACTGTCGTGGAGCCTTTTACGTTTCGACACTTGTTCCTGAGCCCTATGAGACTTGATGTAGCTGAAGCCTACAACTATTTCACTCCACCTCGCCTCGCTCATCTCCGCCACGTTCACTTCGAGATCGAGTTCCCCGCTCACGACCTTCATGTATCTACCAACCCCGAAGATTATGACGACCAAATAGTGTTCAAAAAGGCCATCAGACAGATTTTGGACCTCCTTTCGCGGGTTCCACGTCGCCAGACACCCCTCGTCAGCTTGATACTCTTGACATCACCCTCACGGGAGCACTGTATTCCTTGGGTTGGCGATGGACCAACAGAAGAAGAAAGGGTTTTCTCAGGAGAACTCCGGAAAACATATCTGGAGCTCCCTGCGGATTGGGATAGAAACATCCAAGACCTATCTGAGATATCCTTTTTCCGGGTAGAGTTGGAATCACGAGCCCTGGTTTTCGCTCCAACCTCGGTCAATATGATGGCTAGTAAGATGACGCGCTTAAAAAAGGTTGAGTGGTGGTTATGTGATGGGGAGAAGGTAGATACTGAACTCCGGATCCGTCAGAGAACTCGTAAGTACAGCGGATTTGGGCGCGCCCCTTGGTTTCCTCTCGTTTTTGGATATCAATAACATGACTTGGTAGAGTTTGCGCATACATTGGAACTTCTACCAAGATCGATAGAGAATTTCAGACTCGAATACATCCGGGAGCCCCCTAAAGATAGGACGTTTCAGCCTCCAGGAATCGTGCCGCCCGATGCTATAAGCGACATTTTAAGCCGGCAACTCCGCAACTTCTCTCAAAGGGATCGCCTGCAAGAATTCTTGATCGATGCCAGCGTCGATAGTACTATCCTATGGCCCGAGTCTCAGCCTCCCGAGAGCAAACCACCGACCTGGCCCAACATGTCCTTGTTTCACATCGAACTAAACGACGTATTGCCTTCAGGCCAGTGGATCGAGATGCGAGATCCTGAGGCCGAAGAGGACCGATTTCACGGCAATTTTGATTGGGGTGATGGCCCAGAGAGCGAAATCCCTGGCGAGGAGTACGAGAAGTGGTTCCCATGTACCCATAACCCGATACACTTTGAGCGGTTCGCCCTAGCCACGGCACGAGCCGCGAGCCAGATGCCCAAGATAAGGGAGCTGTTTGTGACTAATAATAGCCTAGCTTCCATGGGCGTCGGGTTCGTCACCAGGGGCCTCAAGAAGTCTTGTTGTCTGGAGTTTACGGGAGATCCGCCCCCAGAGCCCAGCGAAGAGACGATGGATGCTTGGCGTAACGTGGTAAAACTTCATGGCTTGGAATGGAATGTGCATTTTGCATATGGCGCGAATGCATACTATTTCTATACCCTCTAGCCATAGGGCGTAAAGTTGGACAAAGCATATCAAGGGACCGTAGGCTGACCGAAATTGAGAGAAGTATGTGCACTAGGCTTGACAGATAGTAATGAAATGCTTCAAGTGATTTGCTGAAGTTCTGCCCTTATATCTTGGAAGCCTCCTTGGTAGCTATACTCTTGGGGTGGTCTCTGGGACCTGAGTAGCATACATGTCTATAGTCCGCCATCGTGGGCCCGCAACACAGTACGCGGCATCGACCTGCATCTTATCACAACTGGAGCCGATGCTTGGATTCCATTCGTCAAGAGCCTACAGCGGTATCTTATTGTCCAGAAGAACCTCCCCGCAGGTCTCACCCTCGCTAACCACGTACCAATACTCACATAACTTGGTGGCGTTTGCAGTGGTAGCAGTTGATCGAAACAAAGCTCGATAGATAAAATGTTGCAGCACGATCAATAGATCCCAGCGTGTCCTCAGCGCATACTCGTGTCATGACTTGGCATGATTTTCAGGCAAACTAACAACATTTTTCGTAAACCCCTCGCATAGACCGGGTTTCAGAGTCTCATCAACTCCACCGATAAGCCAAAGGATCCCTCCACCGCGGTGGATATCGCCAGTTGCCCATTGAGAAGGTCTTGTGTTTGTATCAGACCATGTTTTGTCTCACGGACCATAATAACAACGATTTGTGCGGCTGCTGCAACGTTGACGCCAGGCACAAGGATGTCAATTGCCTCACTGAATCTCAAGTGCGGGCCATGACATGCTGTGCACTGACTGATGCCAGCGCTGCCGCTCTTATGCGAACAGCCTCCCTGAGTAGATCACCCGGTCAAATAGGTGAATCGGCTCCGGAGATAAGTGGGGGGCTCTGGCTCGGACCTCTTCGCCGAGGGTATCAATGCAAGCGACTTGTGTGTCGACCACGTGGACGAGCTGTCAAGAGTCGCACCCGACAAGCCCCCTTTTCTCAATGAAACGCCGTACACGTGGCTAACCACAAAAAACAAGTCACGGAAAAGAGAGTCCGAGCCGTGTGAAGCTAAACCCCAGTCCCCAGCTTTTTCTCCGCACCAGAGATCCCTGTCTCGTAGCAAAAGTGAGATCATCTGCCTTTTGCCCGAAACAAGCGCCCGCTGTGGACACACGTCGTGCCATGAGCAGCCACCGACAGCTGGGGACATCCTGGGGTTTAACCTTAGAAAACTGGCATGATCGGATGCTGCGGACCGGATCCGTTGCGGGCCGTGACTGGGATTTCATGAGTGTCTCTCTCTTGTGATCCTTGGCCTGCGTTGGCGACTGTGCAGTTCCCCTGCAGTGTAGCATCTTGCATCCCTCGTCGTAAATACCTGAATCAGGAGTCCTGAATCCTTTCGAGAATGACTCGAGATGTGCTGATGCCTAGAGTCTAGAAACACTGTGAACGTCGTGTTGCCTTCGTTTATTAATGCCTCTTGTCAAGGCCCTCCCCGGCGAATCCGTAAATTCAAAGGTGCCACCCCTCCTTGAGGCTCTGATAGATCACCTTTCCCTTCCCTCTTCCCCGCGTTTTGCAGCCGTGCGTTCCTCGGACGTGCATTCCTCGGCCCACTAGCCTTAGAGCATGTAGATCAAGGGGAGGGGTATTTGGCGGCTGCGCCTTCGGTTCAAGGAGGGGGTTGCCAGCTTCTACCAACGATATTCAAGCATCAAGCGAGTTGTCACAAGTTGACCCACTGCGTGCTTCCATCGCTGCTGTTAGCTCGTGGGTGTTCAGGTGGCATGGTTGTTTTGTTCCATGTTCGCATAGAGATGGCATGCCAAGGAAACCAGCGGTCCGAAGTTGAAGCTGAATGTCGGCAGAGTCACCGGTTAGGTGGTCTGATTGTAAAATCTGGAATTGGAGGTATAAATCTGGGCTCTGTCCTGACAATGGGGCTCCTGTTTTACTCAAACTGTTCATATCACTTTTATCCATCTTCCTCCTTTTACTCTACACACAATGGCTTCCCTCGAGGTTCCCGCTCAGCAGCGTGCTGCCATCCGCCAAGGCGTCGGCCCTGAGTCGACCACCTCCATCAAAACAATTGAAGTCCCCAAGCCTGGCCCCGGCCAGATTCTTGTCAAGGTCAACTGGTCTGGTCTTTGCGGCTCAGACAAGTCTCTCCTGCACAATGAGTGGAAGGACTTTGGCCTTAGCATGATGGACGTTACCAAGGGCATTGCCGGCCACGAGGGTGCTGGTCCTGTCGTTGCTGTCGGTGCGGGCATGGAGAAGCGGTGGAAAGTTGGTGATCGCGCTGGTGTCAAATGGATTGCCAGCACCTGCGGCGAGTGCGAGTTCTGCCTCAATGGTGTCGATGAGGTGCACTGCCCCAACCAGACAAACAGCGGTTTCTCTGTGCCTGGAACATTCCAGGAGTACGTCATCGCCGACGGCCGATACACTACCAAGCTCCCTGATGGTGTCCTTGATGAGGAGGCTGGTCCCATCATGTGCGGAGGAGTCACAGCTTACGCCGCTTGCAAGCGGTTAGTACTCATGAAAATCAAAGATATCCATGAAACTTACTAACTGGTTTTAGATCAAATGTCAAGCCTGGCCAGTGGATTGTCCTTCCTGGCGCTGGCGGTGGTCTCGGCCACTTTGCCGTCCAATACGCCAAGGCCATGGGGATGCGAGTCATCGCCATCGATGGCGGAGATCACAAGCGCGAGCTGTGCAAGAAGTTGGGTGCCGAGGTCTTTATCGACTTCAAGGAGACCAAGGACATCACGGCCGAGATTATGAAGATTACAAAGTACGGAGCCCACGGTGTCATCGTTACAGCCGCCACTCGGGCAGCCTATGAGTCTGCTCCTGGATTCCTCCGTCCCAACGGCACTGTCGTCGCTGTCGGCCTTCCTCAGGACAGCACCATCATTGCTGGTTGCACCCCTATGACTATGGCTCTTCGACGGTTGAATGTCGTGGGAAGTGTCGTTGGCAACCTGAAGGATGTTGAGGAGGCTCTCGACTTTACCGCCCGAGGCCTCGTCCGCGTACGTCTAAACCCACTTGATCCTGCAATTTCAGATACTGACTCGTCAATAGCCTATTCTATCAAAGGGCAAGCTCGAGGACCTCGATGACTGGGTGCACAAGCTGGCGACTGGTCAAGTTGCCGGACGCTGTGTGCTTGAGGTCACGGCCCAGGCTTAAGAGATGTGTTAAATGTACAAGTAGAAAGTGATTTGGCGTAGCGAGTGGAATTAAGCATATGAGAAAGCGAGGGTTGTCGGTGTAGGGAAGCGGCCTGTGGGATTTGGCATGCAAAGCGAAATACGAGCAAGATATAGTCAAAAGACTAGATGAATAAAGAAACTATCACATCCAAGAACGAATAAAACCTTTATTCGATTGTATTAGAAGTGAAGCAGCCCAAATCTACTTGTTCTCTCAAGTTTGGTGTTTATCTCGTTATGCCGGTATCATGCAACGGCCCACTACAAGATTTCACAATTCCCAGAAGTATCGCCAAAATTCCGTTGATCTTTGCTTGAATAGCTTTCGGGATATTTGATAGATCCCTGAAATAATTTTAATGAAGTACACCGTAGGGAAGAAGGGTTAGAAGAGCAAATTGGTACTCGTGGTCCTCGATTCCTCCCGTGGAGGGATGCCTCACAACCGTCAAGGAGAGTCTCATGCAAACATCACCTTCCCTCCTATCTTTCTTTCACAAAAAATGAAGAATCATCCTGCCAAGAGGTGACATGAGAATTAGGTTTCGGTCGATCGGCCAAGCCCTGTCCGAGGTACCATCCTTCTGGAACACCTTGATGGTCGCCAACTGCCTGATGCAGATCTTGGGTGACAGCCTACCCCTGGCTAGCCTGCACCAGAAAGGAACCAACAAAGGCAAATAGCCGGGACTACAACCTTCAGGGTCGCATTGTTAAGTGGTTGCAGCTAATAGTGTGCCACAATACGCCACCTAGGTCTGCGTTGACGACATAACAGTACCCACGAATAGCCAGGAACCGAGTTGTTTGTTACAATCCCACTAACAAAGTGTATTTCCACGTTTAAAACAGTAGATTAATATATTTCATTCCATCATTTAAATTGCTATCAATACATAACAAAGTCAAATTGCTAATTGGGCCTGCCTCAAATCAGAGTTTTTCATTTTCCAACACCTTCACTTCCTGCCTCATCCTAGTCACAGAGAGATCGATTCAGCTTGCAGATCAAGTAGCCACAATCCTCCTCGTCTTGAAAGGACTTCTTCAAAGGCAAGAGCCGGTAGCCCTGCTTGAGGTTTTCGAGTTTCGCCATTCCTGAGGCTAGGGTAGACTGACGAGGATAACCCTGATTGTCCGAGGATAGCTTGACAGACCATTTCAGAAAGACGAGGCTGGGATACTGCGTCTTGACTTGAAAGTCAAGACGGGAATCGATGATAACATCGTGTTGTTGAAGAGGGATGCTCCTAGTTCGCCGTTTTGTCTGGGATGCATCCTCTTTGTATGCGTCGGCTACCAGAAGCTTGATCTGGACGTATACAGAGGCATTGTTTGAAGTCGTCTCTAGCCAGCAGAGATCTTTTGTCATTAGTAGGTCGATAGAGAACCGTAGTTCTTGGGCGTGGCCTGAGGTGAACTCCTCCAGGGGCTGACGCAGCCTCTCAGGCTTCAACACGTAACCAGAATTGTCAGTGCCACCGTTGAACATGGCCTGGTTAAATCCCATGTTAAGGTCGCTTGTTTGGTAGTTCAAGGCGGCCATCTGCACGCCATATCGCCAGTACTGGAGAGGGCTCAGGTTGGATGAGTCTATCCGGCTCGCGTCGGGGTAGACTCGCACCATGTGCTGGGTTTTGAGGAAACCAAGCGAATTTTCGCCGTGCTTCTGTTTCAAGTAGGACTTGAAATTGGCCTCCGAGACGGAGTAGATAAAATTCCCAGTTGCGTCGACTTTGCTGGGACGGGGAAGCCTTTTGCCTGGTCCGTACACTGCAAGATCCTCCAAGGGGCCATTGACGGAAGGTTGTGATTGAGAGACCTGACTAGAAGCCTCCTGACTGATAGCAGAAGAGCTGATAGTGGATGCCGAGTCAGTGCTTTCTGCTTCTGTGAGGTTGCCATGATCCTGGGACGATCTCGTCGAGGCGGGAATGTCATCCGATACTCGGGGTTCTCGACTAGACTCGACGCCTTTTGCAACTTTTGCTTTGATCAAAATTCTCCCTCGCAGTTGTGACGGGGATGGAAGTAGCCCCGAGAGCTCTGAGAGAGGTTCTGTTACCAATTTTGATCCGAAGGTATTCCTCATTATCTGGGCCATGATGCTCTTCTGACGAGGGCTGCAATGCACCTCCAGTGAAATCCAAAGAGGAAATTCGGAGGCTACAAAGGCGTATTGGTTGATGGCGTCTATCACCTCTTGGAAACCGATGGATGCTGTCAAGCTGTAGCCGTGCTTGACAATCGGTTGCCCATCGCGTCCGTCCCAACAGTCTACCTCGATAGATCGACATCCCTGAGAAAGTGCAGAGATGTACCCTTGAACAGTTGAACGCGTGAGAACCTGACGGCCCATAAGATATGTGTTGTGCGAGCTGCAGATGAAATACTCGTTGATCGGCCGATCGAGATCATATTGGAGTGGTGTTGTTCGAATGGCCAGATTCTGCTTTGACAAGAGAAGCTCGCTGATCCCACTGATAGGTATTCTGGCGAATTTTGAGGATATTTGAGCTTCCAGGTCGTCCAAGTCGGAAACATTATCCGAGCCAAGGAATAATGATAGCAGGGATGCCGTGTTAAGCCCTGGATCTTCGCCCTGAACATTCTTCATGAACTTTGAGAAGTCGGTAACAGAAACTCCATGTTTGAGGCCGTGGGAGGATGCCGGAAACTCTCGACTTAGGATTATGTCGGCCAGATAATGGCTATGACTTTGTGTCCCTGCAGCGGAGAACAAAAAACCTGCATGGCACTTTGTAGAGCGGTCTGATTCAGAGGAAGATGAGACGCGCATGGCCTGATACCGTATAAGCTTGGATAACAACACAGGGTGCGACGTATACTTACAGGAGCCGTCTTCTCAGTGTCCGTGGCGCCAGCCTTTGCTGTCCAACCTGCAAGGCCTCGGTGCGCAAGGTCCAGAAATATGGGAATGAGAAAAATGCCAATGAGAACAGCCAAGTGCCACGAAAGAATGATGTACCCAAGTAGAATCTTGGAGGGAAGGTCAGTGACTCCTGGAAGAAACGCCGTATGCAGTGAAAAAAGGACCACTCTCGATCCGTGCAAAACTCCAGAGAGCGAAAGCAAAGAAGAAACTCCACTCCAATACACCGTGCATATCAAGTGCAAAAGTTCGAGCCCGAGCAGAATGCCAAATTGGGTGCGAGTATGGGCTTGTAGACCACCAATGATGATGCCACGAAAGAGCATCAAAGAAAAGATGTTTAACGCGTGGTATTTGCGTGTCCGCTCCTTCGAGGTTTGACTGCGATTACGGGTCTCTCCTTGAATAACGAAAAGCCCAATGTCTGCCGAAGAGTCGGCTTGGGTCCAGGTCCACCAGAAAGAAGACAGCAGGAGCACGAGGGCGAGGATGGCAACAGCCGAGTTCTGCAGAACGATGCGGCGATTTGAGAGTTGGTATGTCGACCAGGCGCTCAGAGGAAGCAGAAAGAGACTAAGAAACAGTCTTGAAACGGCCCAAGATCGTTCTTTAAAGCGTGACAAAGGGTCTTGGCTGGTGGTGTGTTTCGAATTGGGGCAGCTTTGTTCGCGGAGCATCTCCCGAACATGAATAGCAACAAAGAAGAACAACAGGGCAATAAGTGCAAAGACGATGGTGTTGAACCAATTCTTTGACGTGCCGGGAGAGCTCGTGATCTGCGATAATATCACAAAGCCTGGCGCACCAGTCAGTGTCCCATTGGTCTCGTAGATACCATCTCTGACACCGACGTATCGGGATTGGTTCGAGACAGGGCCTGCGGGCAACATCAAGGTTGACCAGCTAGTAAAGCCGATGAGTGGCTGGAGGAAACCGGGATATCGGAGACTGAGTGCGCCGGAAAAGTAGATGAATTGGATGTACGCCAGCATCTCGGCAGCTCTAGTCATGCGGTGTTGATTCCTGTCTTGAGCATCCGGGAAGATAGCGTGGTGTTCGCCCTGCTGCAAAGGCCAAGAGGCAACCAGAGAAGCGACAGAAAAGACGAGAACAGGAAGCCAGAAACTGACGAGTTGTGTCCAGGGTCGAACTTCGGGTGTCAGGTTGGCCTCGACACACAGCAAGGGAGTGTCATCATGCGTCGTTAAATCAAGTGTGATCTCGAAGGCGTCGAGGAACGTAGATCGGTTAAAAGTCGAAGTGATTTCAAGTCTCAGCCTAGCCTCCAACGGGCCGTACTTGGCGCAAGACGTGTTGACGATTCGTCCAGGATACTGATGAGCGCCATTATAGTCGACCACCGTAAACACCGGCACAAGATCCAAAGGAGAAGCCGCATCACACTCGGTACCGTTGGCATAGTTTCCAACCAAAAGAAACTTGGTGTCGTAGGCATCGCTGGTGGCGTTGACAAAGGCTCGAAGTCCCTCGGGGATTATCCTAAAGTCGGCGGCAGTATCGGTGTAACAGTCCCGAGACTGAACATATGCCGCATGGCTCGTCGTCGCCAGCAGCGCCCAAAGGGCAACGCTTGAAAGCATTGGAATTGAACCAACGCAAGCGCTGGTTGAGCGAAGCTGTCGTGCTACCTTGAATACATGGAAAAGCGGTGATGTATAACAACGAAACCCCTTGACGAAGAATTTCCCCATGCCGATGGAACCGATTCCATTACTCAGCTGGAATGATGAAACAAACTAGCCCCAAGCTGTCCAATAAGAGTAAAATGCCAAGGTTCGTATTCCCAAGTGCTCTTTAGCTTATGCTATAATTAGGTCAGGCTAGACGAGTCATGGGTCCCTGCTTAGACCGTATCCTCGGTTGCCTCTGGATGGGTCGATCATGATAACATTTACTCGTATACTTGCTGTTGAAGAACAGTTAGGAGGTTCTCCCGCCAATGAAGTTCACGAAGCCACATGTCAAGGGCAAGGATAGTGCGTGTCGATATGCCCAATCCCGAGAACGTGTTCAACCTCTATGGGGTAGGGAGAGGACGAAAATCTTTGAAGTCATGAACACAGGAGCGGGAGTGAAAGGAGAGAAAAGACGATGAAGATGTCCTCACTCAAGCTTGATACATGGGCTAGGCGGTTTAATTTGGTACTTGCCGTTAACATCAGGGGAATGTGACAAGATGAATCCACGCGAAATCGTCAGCGCACTAATCCCATCACTTCAACTAAAACAAGAAACACAATGTCGGCACATCATAGCAACATATCCCAAAGCTAACACAACGGTTGAATTAATACATAGAAAAACATCATTTGTGTATTACCCTCTCTTTCCGTCCGTGAATCCAAATACGCCTCGCCAAGAAAACAACCAGTGTCACAGTTCATACATCAATCTACCACTTCCTTCAAGTCAACCCCTGTCCCGTCAAACACTTAAGCAGCTTCTTCTTCTGCTTATCTCCAACCTCAATAAACTCCTCCACATACTCACAAGGCGAGTAATGCAACCCGGTTCTGTCAGTATACAGATACGTCTTATCCTTGTCCGCCTCATGGCGAATATCCAACGCGTCGAGCATCGCCTTTGTCACCTCGGGTCCGTTCTCCAGTGCCATGTGGAGAACTAGCTTTTCTCTGTACCGCCATGTCTTTCGTGTCTTGGCGATTAGAATCTTCATCGTTTCTCGAAGGCGGAGGTTCCAGTCAGATTCTTCGTTGGCGATCTTGCACCATGGAAATGGCTTGGAGAAACATGCCAAACCCAAGGGTACCATGAAGCCAAAGTTCTCTTCCTCGTAGTTTGCGTCGTGCGTCTCCAAAAGCCATGTTACAAAGTCGGGAAGAGCCAAGAGCGAGGCCAAGTGGAGCGTTCCATCGTCTGGGGTGCCTTCACCCGCGAGCAATTTGAAGGCATCAAGGTTACCCAGGAAGAGAGCAGCCTCTCGGGGAGAAATCTCATCCTCCTCTTCAAAAAGGGATTGGAACTGGGCCTTGGGCTTCTTGGGATAACAAGCAATCTTGCTAAAGTTTGAGCCCGAAACAGTGCTGTTGAACATGTCGCCCGGTGCGAGCTCAAGGAGAGCCTTCAATACGGGAGTTCGTGACTTTTCGAGCAGACAAAGGAAAACTGCCGACATTTGCGACTGTGGTGTCACATACGTGGGCAAAGCTATTGAACTGTTAGTACACAAGCATGAGAAATTTGTTGACTGTGACATACCTGCATCCTCCATCTGCAGCAGACGGATAATAACGGCGTTATCAATCTTGAGAGAAGAAGAAATAGCCCACATAAGAGCTGTACATTCTTCTGGCTCCCACATTGGTCGGAGATTGTAGATGATCTTGGCTGCAGCAGGGACTCCATGGTCGAGCAAAAAGCCCAAGACAACAGTCCCCTGTGGGAACTTGCGCATGCACTTGAACAGCACTTCATCTTCCTGAACCTTTGTTCCCTCGGGCTGTTCTTCAAAGAGGAGGATAAGCCAGTTCATGACTTCCAACTCCTCCTTGACGTGGTCTAGAAGAGCAGAAAGAACTACAGCCAGATCTGCATGCTTGCTGAGAGCTCTAAACTCGTCTCGCGAGTTCTTTTTGCACGCTAGAATGAAGCATTTGGCATCTTCAGCGTTGGGGTCTGCTCCATGCTCCACGAGCTTGCTCACGATGGCGGTGTTGGTGGCAGTACTCTCCAAAGCCCCGATAAGAGCCTTATTCAGAGACCTCTTGCTGATAGTGAACTCTAGCAAGCAGCTGTAAATCTCGAGTCGAACATCTGAGTCAAATGAGGAGTTGTTTGACACGTAGTCGAATGCGAGAGTTGCTGCGCTTTCATCAGCCTTGACGAGATGCTGACTTAATGCTCGCACAAGATTGAGGTTGGTGGACTCAAATGCCATGGTAAAGGCTGCCCCATCCTTGTAGTTGACTACAGCACCGTGATCCAGCAGAAGGTTCGGAGTATCCAGGTTGTCAGGATCAGACTTGATAGAATCAAGAAGGGCTTCAGAAACCTCATCGGCATGGATCTCCTTGTCCAGGAGAGACTGATAAGCAATGAATCTCCTCTCAGAGTCGATGTCGGTGTTTCTAACGTGCCGAAAAAGCTCCTTTGCAATGGCCGGTTCTGTGATGTTTCGTGAGAGTGACAGAAACATGTCGACGGGAGATGATTCCAGCGCCATCTTGAGGGTGTCGATCTCAACCTTGGCATGATAAGATAGTAGCAACTTGGCAAGAAGAATGTCATCTGGGTGCTTGGAAACAGCCTCAGTCAGAGCCTTGGATATTGCATCCACTGATACCTGGTCCGTTCGGAGCAAGTGTCCCAAGATGACAGCCTTTGTATGTGAAGCCACAGGAGATGAGCTACCCACGATGAAAGCCTTCTCAACAGTCAAAGCAGTTGGTTTGGCAGTAAGGAGTACCTTCAAGACCTCGGGCACACCTTCTACTGCGGCTTCTTGGAGGGCTTGCCCATCTTGGACATCAACCGAAGCCTTGTGGTTGAGCAGAAGCTCAAGTCCGGCAAGGTCGCCAGACAATGCGGTCTTTGTCTCTCGGGGAAGATATTCAGACTGTCCAATCTCGGCCGAGGTAGCGGCTTCCAGAAGCAGCTTCATGACGTCCAACTTGACATCTCTAGGCTCGACAGTGATAGCTTCCTGGAATGCAGCAGCTAAAGATGCCGTTTGAGGCTTCGAGGAAACAAGTATGCTAAGAAGAGCGACATCCTTTTCTTGGACGGCGGTGCAGAGTAGCATTCCACCTCCAATATCAACACTGAGACCATGTCGTACCAGGCAAGGCGTAACCTCAGCCAGGTTCGGGTGACCTCTCAGAACGCCTTCCATACTTGCGGTGGCTTGAAGTAGATGCGATGAAGGTGCAGAGTCTAGCAGGAACTCGATTGTTTTCAAGTTGTAGTATTCTGGCATCATTGCTGTATGGAAGACCACGCTAAGACTCTGAGGACTTGGAGGACATCCGGAGCACAGGATCTCCAACAGATCAAAGTTTCCCCTCTCAACCGCGTTGGTGTATGCCACGCCGGAAGCATAGTTTGCGTTGGCACGATGCTGGACTAGAACACGGACAATATCTAGCCGAGTGTCCTTTGACGACGCTTCCAGCAAAGTCTGATCAACGGCTTTACCGTTTGCTCCTTTTTTAAGGAGTAGTGTGATCATGGAGAGAGCCGCATCGTAGCCGAATTTCTCCATGGCCTTGAAAGCAATAGGGACGGCAACAGACAAGGTTTCGGTTCGTGGTCCTCCAGCGCAGAGCGTCTGAAGGACTGAAAAGTTGCCTCGTCGTGCCGCGACCAGCACTGGGTTACCATCAGCCGTGTTGGAAAAGTCAACAGGAGCATGATACTCGAGAAACAGCTGAATGAGGTCTGAGTCAATGTCTCCATCCTCAGATACCACTTGCTGCAGGGGAGCCCCAAGGACTTGGCTATGCACTCCCTTCTGCAAGATGGATTTCAATGCTTTGAGTCGACTATCCCTGGGCAGAATGCCCATTGCGGCTGGGATAGCGGCCGACAGAATCTCTGGAGAGCATTTTCGTTGTAGAAGCGCCTTGAGCATATCAAAGTCCACAGCTTCGAGGGCACTTTGTATAGCAGAGGCTTGTTCATACTCGACAGACGCTCCACAACGCACCAGTGTCTCAACCAACCTCAAATGCTTGTTTCGAACAGCGCGAACCAAGTGAGCATCGAGGTGCTCTCCAGAAACTCCCATGGGACCGAAAATGTCCATGAGATGGATCATGTCCGTCTCAGAGGTTGACTCGGGCACGTAGCTCAGGGCGAGTGCAACAGGTGAAGAGAAAGCCCCGTTCTTAAGCAACTCCACCATGACAAAGTCCATCTGTGAGATGGCCCATTGCAGGGCGTTGTGAGGTGGGACGTCGACACTGACACCAGCTCCGACGAGGAGTTTTGCAAGGGGTATCTGATGAGCTTTGACACTCTTGACCAACTCCTCACGGAGGGTGGGATAATCTCCGACCAGGCTGGCTTCAGCGAGCAACGTGAAGAACGAAAGCTTTTGAGTTGAATCTGGTACCAAAGTGGCCAGTTCACAAGCGCTCTCTCGTACACCGAAAAATTTGTCGTTGGAGCTCGCGTAAGCCAGAAGAACAGCCAAAGCCTGTAGACTCTGTGCACGAAGAGTCGCGAGGAGCAAAGAGTCACAGACGAGGTCTCGTCGATTCGCAACGCACAACATCAGAATCTCAAGCGAAAAGCCTGTTCCTGCTATCGCACCAGCAAGGTCTTTCTCGAGACACTCGAGCCAAGCTCCAGTCGTCATGGCCGTTGGAGCCGACAACAGGAGGCTCACGAGGGCAATATCGCCAATCTTGATATGTTGAGCGACGACATCTGGATAAGATGATGCAGCGGCGCCGTAGCTCAGTAGAAGCCTCATGGCGTCTGCTGATGATTTTGACAAGGAAATGCCGAATGCTCGAGTCAAAGCCTCTTGGCTGACTCGAGTTTGACATAGCAGATGAATGTAGCTGATGTTGTCGTGAGAAGCCGCCTTGTCTAGCCAGGTAATTCCTGGAGGGAAAGAATCTGCCATTGATGAAGACAACCGATTTCTCTTCATCTTCTTCTCGAGCCTCGGGTCATGCAAGTGACCCCATAGCTCATCAAGCGAAGTCAAGGTCGTATACAGCAGCAAAGCCTGAGCAACGCCAGCAGCTGCCAAAGGCTCAGTAGAAAGCAGCAAATCAAACGCCCTCGCGACTTCATGCTTGGTAAAAGTCCAGTGGGCGTGATTGGTCGCCTCTTCCTTCTGATGCTTGGTCCTGAAGAGGTTGCGCTTCTGCTCTGAAGGTGGCCGATAGCTGGGATCAGCCATCCGCTGCTGAACGAGAAGCTGACGAGCTGCATCTCGATTGGCCTTGACGAATGGCTCATAGTCTTGAGCGGGAGGTTCCACCAAGCTTGGGATCTGCTGTGGTGGTGGGAGAAGTCCAGCTCTGCCGAGAAACCACTCTATCCGACGACTGTCGGCCATGATGGTTTAATGTCTCTAATGACTTGATATTTGATAATGACAAGGAAGGGGTAATGGAATGATGACTAGGGAACGGCTTGAGGTGCCATATTCCAAACGAGGACAATGGGACAGAAAGAGTGCCGAAATGAGAAACTTCCCCTCCCACCTCTGCAAGATTCAGCTGAAAGGCACACATTATGTACGTCTTGAGCCATCGGCCGAGGGCCCCAATGAGAATCTGCATAGATACCAGGCAGGGAGTGTGTTGGCAGCCTCGTGACTTGGGATGGCGCGACGCAAGGCAGACTGTGTGTGAAAGTCTGCATACCCCGCGTTAGGCACCTCGGGCGAACCATCTGATGAACTTGAGTGTCTGAGCTTTTCGCTTCTAAGTAAGTGGGCGATTATGGAGAAGGAGGCTGTGCTGAGTAGCACCATTCTGAGATAATCTATCTTTGTTAGTGAATGAGATGAAATACCACCAAACCAAAAACATCACCGAGATCAGGCTATCCCGATAATAAACAACATGAGCCATTTCCTTCTTAGAAATCAGCCTCAATCAGGCATCCACCCACGCCAGAAACTCGTACAGTTTTCCAATCCTTCCATGATTGGCTTGGCATCGCAAGGATCGGCACTCCCGCGACCTGCAAGCACGCCCTTTTGCTCGACCAAAATCCCTCGTGATTGGTTCATCCCCTATCACAGCTACTGCGGAGTCTGCTGGCACCAGTTGCCCGGCTTGTGTGACACCGGCATGGCTGTGATTATCGATGCGCCTTGCAAGGTAGATATTTTTTTTTTTTGGCGGATTGAGCCGCTATCTAAATGCCTTGTGCCGGTCTGCGTGAAAGGTCAGGTTTGAAGCATATTGTGTTCTTGTGATTTACGCCCATTCTTGATTATACGTGCAATTCATTATATAAAGTTACACTTGCTGCCGTTCGTTTGACGTCTTCAGAGTCACATCGTCAACTTCAAACATGGCTGCTCCTCCACCTTATTCGCCTCCGGCGTCTATTTCCAGACATCGCACGGGATCAGACGATGTTCATTCCCTTGCCGATGCATTGCTTCGTACCTCTGTCTCGTCAGACAGTGCTACTTCGACATCTACCACCTCCACTATCCTACCACCCTATCCAACCTCAAGGGAACGCTCCGTCGCATCCAGTTCCTCTCCCTCGTCCAGCCGTAGCGATGATTATACAAACGGGTCCTTGCCTGGCCACCTCCACAGGCTGAGGTCTCCAGGCTCGGCCAGTACCTCGGGGACCACGTCAAGGACCCGAGAGCGCCTCCGTCAGATGGAGATGGAGCGAGACGAGCTTCGGCACGCCATGGAAGGTGAACGTGCCCAGGCTGCCGAGATGCGTCGTCTTGCTGAGCAAGAACGTGCCATCGCTGAGCGTCTCAGGATGGAGGCTGCTCTATCTGGTCCATCTGCCGCCGATGCTAGACGTCGCGTCCAAGAGCTCAAGCGTGAGGCACTTGCGGCGCGCTCTGAGAAACCCAAGCGATCCAATGATGGCATGTTCAAGAAGGCCTACGCGACCGATCTTCTGTTCCTCATTGACACCACGGGTTCCATGTACAGCTACATCAAGGCTGCCAGAGACCAAGTCAAGAGGATCATGGACGACATCACAAAGGCCTTCTTCAATGAGGCCGAAGTGCGCATCGCCGTTGTTGGGTACAAGGATCACGCAGACAAGCCTAACATCCAATTCCTAGACTTTACAACATCCATCGATGATGTAAGGTCGTTCATCGACAAGTTCAAGGCCTCGGGCGGAGGCGATGCACCTGAAGATGTTCTCGGAGGCATTGACCAAGCCATCAACGCAACATGGAAGAACCAGACGCGATGCATCATCCACATCGCTGATGCACCAGCCCACGGTCGCATCTTTCACGACTTTTCCGACTCGGCGGATGACTACCCCGAGCCTGGGAGTGAGCCGCATCGTCTCACTTACCAGCCCTTGTTCAAGAAGATGATTGACATGAATATCAACTATGCTTTGCTGCGCATCAAGAATGCCACAGATCGCATGGCATTGACGTTTATGAAGGAGTACGCCGCCATCTCGTCGGACTGCAAGCTCCTCATGAGCAACATGTACTATGACGGAGGCATCAAGGCAGGCATGGCTCTCCGCGGTGCCAGCAGCTCCAAAGGTACCGCCAAAGGCGATCTAGTCTTTGAGGAAGCAGAGCTGGGCACTTCTTACAGCGCGCTGCGACACCTAGTCGTCAGAAGTGTCACCACTTCGGCCTCTCGCACAGCAGTACGCATGTCAACGTCGAGTTCTCGAACTGGCGGCAAGGGAGGCACCAAGAACCCCTTGACCACTCAGCTCCAAGCCATTGAAGAAGATGAAGACAAGATTGAGGAAGCCAGTGAAAGTTCACTTGAGAAGGTGCCCCCGCAGTGGGATACTCCTGGCTGGCTCAATGAGAAGCTCGTTCTTGAGGGCTTCTCCCCCGATACTGTGGTACACGGCGCAGACACACTCAACGCCATGATGGCGCATGATGATAACATCAGGCTGAGCATCATGGAGCTTACCATCAACAAGCGGTCGAAGCCATTTTCCCAGGGTGCCCTTCGTCTCACGGCGTACGCTCGTACGGCTGCCTCGACGAACCGCTATGTGGTCAAGTCGTTCAAGCGCGACGGCAAGCGTCTTGCGCATTTGGCAGAGGACATGAGATGCCAAGCTCTCTGTAAGGCGTTTGCACTCGAGTTCAACGCATTGGTTGGTGATAAGCACGCGATCGATTTCATCGTCACGACGTGTCTCAGGGGCAAGACAACCACTTCTGGCACTGATTGCATGTCACTTGAGCCATACATCGAGGGCGAGTACGTCAAGTACAACAACAACTGCAGCTACGTCAATGATGACAACCCCAAGGATGAGTTCAACCAGGCCGCGCAGGCCTTTTCGCACTTTACCTTTGAGCGGTCCTGGGGCAGCTTCCTAGTATGCGATCTGCAGGGTGTAGGCCACGTCCTCACAGATCCAGCCATCCACACGCTCGACCCAGAGCGATTCAAGCTGGCCGACACAAACCTGGGCAAAGACGGCTTCAAGTTCTTCTTTGCGACGCACGCGTGCAACGAGATCTGCGAGAAGCTCGAGCTCAAGAGCACAGCAGCGGGTATCGCAAGCAACAACTGCGAGTTCAGAGAGTTGTGGCCCAGCATCGACAATACCGTCTGTTGCACCAACAAACTCTGCGGCAAGATCGTGCGCGTCTCCAGCGCAAAGAAGTCAGAAGAGTATCCTGGTTGCCATTGGTGCGATGTCTGCTGGCCGCAATTGAGCACATCAAAGGTCAAGTGGATGTGCGTCGCTCCAGGGCCTCACCATGAATTTGACGTCTCCAAGTTCTACTACGAGTCTCAGGGACAGATTCCACCTCGGAAGTGTCCCGATCATCGTGAGAGAGACACGACTGTGTCTAGGACAGCTGTCATGGGTGGAAGCTTCTTTTCCAGGCTGAAGGGTGCCAACAAGCAAAAGAACATCTCTGGGAAGGCTTGGTGAGGAGTTTATTGGGTTACTTGTATTAAATTTCGTTTTTTGTGAGAGTGTAATGGATGGTTTTGTGCCTTTGTTTGAGACAGGTAGCTAGTAGTCATCTGCTGACGGGCTTGAGTTGGAGAAGTAGCTAGCGGAGGTACCCTCTGTGGCTGGCTGAAACTCACTGTGGTTACCTGTCACGTGTACAGGCTTGTAGCGGGTATAGCTCACTAATTGTTTCTGGAACGGAAGCTTCTCCTGCACCTCACAGTGCCTCATCTTCATGAATCCAATGAGTTGCGGGGTCTGTCGCGCGCGCAAGGTATGTTTGTGATCATTTCTTGCTACTGTAATCTATTCCAGTGCTCATGTCGGACCGTGTTCGTGGGTCAAGTGCGATGAGCGCCCTGGCAGATGCTTGAACTGTGAGCGCCTCGATCTTACTTGTGTTGGCCACTCTCAGCAGTCGCCTGCTCGGGACTCGTCAGCTGGGAGTACGGCAAAGAAGAAGAGGACGTACCGGTCCTGCAACAGCTGTCGCATTGCCAAGTCAAAATGCGACGGTGGTCGCCCGACGTGCTTCCGTTGCGGCGTCAAATCTATAACGTACTTATGACGCAGGCAACATGCCCTTTTGGGTTCATGTCATGTCCAATACATCCCCGACCTCCTCGCCGAGTAGTCTACAGAGCTCACAAGCCCCTGTGGGGAGGCAAACTCGTACGCACGTCGGGCAAGGTGAAGAAGCCGAGGCCACTGTTGCTCAGGAGCATGAAGGTGAAGCCAGCTGTCAGCGCGTAGTCCCTCGTGCAGTCAACGATCCCACAATCTCCTGTACTCCCGTGGACCAGTCACCCGGGGATCCTCTATCATTATAAGTCTATCCCCCGTTGCAATTAAGTGGCCAGGGCGATGCAAGCTTACTCAGGTACAAGCCTTTTTACTCCATCACTGCCCTCTACACCAAGCATCCTTCGTCGTCTCGCTGAGCAGTATTTCGATAATGTGCATCCTCTTCGCTGTTTTGCATTTGTCCATAAATCATCCTTCATGCGACGGCTTGATGAGGGTTTCGGCTCCGACTCCAACAGCAGTGCGTTTCTTCACATGATCTGCGCACACGGCGCAAGGTAAGTTGAACACTATTTTTGTCACGCGGGGAGAAATTCGCCGCCATCATGATTGCCACGTTTGGACCTGTTAAGAACCATCTCCCGACTCGAGTTCCTCATGGGATAGGATTATCTACAAAATTTTAAACTTCCCGTTTGAGTGCGACAGGTCAAAATGTTCGAAGCATGGCGTCAGACGACGCCCTACCTCCTCTTCAATTGTGCCGTTTATCTTCAGGGAGAGTGGGAAGAACGTTTTGGACAAAATCCGCCCGAAGCATGGCGTCGATAGCGGTGCCACAGCTGCTGAGCCTGACACGATCGAACAACTTATTGAACAATCCGAAGCAGCGGAACAGAGCTTGGTTGGATCTATTCCGGGGCAACTATCTCCGCCGAACCTGGGTAAGATCTCCACGACGAGTAATCCAACCATTGACTGAATCTCATGACCAGATTTCTTCTACTCTCTTCGTACTCGAGCAAACCAACGGAAACCAATTTGTCTAGTCATATGCAGCCACCTTCTACGTTGACTAGGGACTAGACGTCATGTCCTTTACATACACCATGATTGGTCAGGTTATCGGTGTAGTCGGATGCACCGTTGGACTTGTCCTCTTCGATATCGTGGGCCGTCGTCCTCTCTTCATCTATAGCGTCGTCTGCTGTTTCTTGCTCTATTTGGCCTCTGGCCTCGGACTTGACTCTAACCTAAACTAGGCTGAGACTCACACCCTTCTCGCTTGTTTCATGATTCTACCCGCCTTTACTCGTATTTCGGCCTCCAACAATGCCTTTCTAACTGGCGCCGAGATCGGTGATGTCAAAATGAGGAAGAAGACCATGGTAAGCTGCCCTATATCCATCTGACCAGTGATTTTCTCAACAGCATTTGTTTAATAGGCGTTTGGAACGTCAATTGACGTCGCTGCGGCCTTTCTGGTAACCTTTGTTACTCCGTACCTGCTCCCAAGCATGGGAGTAAATATCGGTTGGATCTTTGGTTCCGTTGCTTGCTTCTCAGTCATCTGGGGGTTCCTATTCTTCCCCGAACTCAAGGTACGATTCTCTCGATGCTCTTGTAACGCAGCCAGTGCTCACATGAAACACCAGGGCCGTGCTTTGGAGGAGGTCGATGAACTATTTGAAGCCAACATGTGGGCATGGCAGTTCTCTTCGTACGAAACCCACGGTGCAGGCTGTCTTCTTGTGACTCTCGAAAACGAAGGCCTTTCCGCCGAGAAAGCCTCAGCAGTCGAAATTAAGCATCGCAAAGGGGCGGACTCAAAGGTTCGTCTCCCTAAATTTTCCAAGTCGTTTAATGGTTTGCTTATGCTCTATTAGCCCGCTTTGAATATGTGAAACGTGTCTTGGCCAGCTATGAATTGTCAGTGGTGTAAGACCAGGATGAATGGGGTTCGATTTCGAGCTCTGGTTGTGAGAATTCGGTTGATAGATCGAGAGTGCATTAACATGAAGCTAGATATATTATCGGCTCACATGACTCAACGGGTAGCTCATATAGCCATGCTTTTCCTGCCTATCTTATCAACTGACCGCCCTTGCGAGGTTTTCGCTACTAGTGCCTGATCTCGTGACAACGCCGTGCACGTCATCACCAATAACCCCCTTTCTACCCCAGCACGAATAAGCGGATTGCTTTATCATTCTATGAGCGTCGCCCTTCTCCTTTTCCATAATAGAGCCTAACCATGGGTTCAAAGCCAGGAGCATGCCATAACTGTAGGCGCAGCCGCTTGAAATGCGACCGATCTCTTCCGCACTGCCTGAAATGCACCAGTAGAGGTCAAACTTGTCTAGGCTATGGCGTTCTGTTGCGGTGGGAAAAGGGTATGGCTAGTCGTGGGAAAATGGTTGGCGTTACATCCGACGACATGAACAAGATCCAGAAGGGAGATACGACCTCGACTCTACAAGCGTCATGGCCTTCTATTGTGTCTACAACGCAACCCCCTTTCGCGAGTTCTAAGCCGAACTCTCCTCGTCCGTTGCCTCTTTCGTTAATAGACCCGCTTGCGCAGGACCTAGACTATCGATCGAGGAGATATCTGGACTATTGTAGGGCACGTTTTTCCGCTTGACTGCTCTTTGTGCTAATATTCTCTGGAAAAAGTTGCAACTGATGTTTGCAGGGACCTCGTTGTCTATGATATCCCCAACCATAATCCATTCCACGACCTGATCCCGATGGCATACCAGCACCCCATTTTGTTGCAGGCGATCATCGCCAGTTCAGCTTTGCACATGTCAAACGCATGTCAACGGTCATCAAGGTCTTCGAGTATTTCTACAACAATGACCTCGACTCAGAGCAGTACAAGCTCTCTATCGATGGGTCCATCTATGACATCTCGCCCAGAGACTTTCCATGACGCACTCAAGGCCAAGCAACAGGCACTTTGTCTGCTAAAATCAACTCTCAAAGACATAGCTTCAGCAGATGTTGATGTGATTCTCGCGGTGGTCCTTTTCCTCATTGGGTTTGAGCTCATTGACTCTGGGCGAGGCAGCTGGATGTTTCACATCAATGGTGCGAGACCAATCATTGAGAAGCTGATGGCGTCCGGCCTAGGCACGGAGACTGCTTTGAGCCCGCTTCGTAGCTGGTTGATGTCAAATTGCTTGGTGTAAGTCGCCCTGCCCAGTAATCGATGGCTCCTGACTTGACATGCCTTAGGTATGATCTTCTTGGGTCATCATTCGCAAATTCTTATCTACCACACAGTGGTGGGCTATCGATGAGTGCCATGTCACTGCTTCAAGATGCAGAAGGAAACCATTGCTCGTCATTTCCGGCAGCCCTCCTTGCTTTGATACAGACAGGCGCCCAACTATTAAAGACGAAGGACGTTTCCACCTCTCCGGATGCCTTGATGAATTTAGCACAGCAGGATGCGCTTCGTCTCTTACACGCTGCCAAGTCATTCGACCCAGCTGTCTGGGCCATTGATTTACAGCCACGCTCACCGGCTGACGATCCCCTCCATCGGACTATAATTGCCTCTGCACACAGAGCAGCTGTATGCATCTATCTCTCACGGATCGCTCTTGCTCTATGGCCGAGCACATTATTACCAGATGATCTGGAAATCCTAGCAGCCGAAATCATCACCCACCTTTCAAATGTACGCCCTGGTGATGCATTATTCACAGCAACAGCGTGGCCAGCTTTCATTGCTGGCCTGGAAACGGTTGACCCTATGAAACGTGCTTGGGTAGTGAAAAGGTTCCAAGAGCTCTGGGAAATGGAGCCTTGGGGGCTTACCAGAGGAGCTCTCGAAGCGTTGAGGACAATATGGGATGGGAGGAATAATGAGGATGCCTTGGCGGGCAGCATTGACCGACTCCACGAACAGGAAGAGAACTGGAATTGGATCGAGAAGCTAAAGAATATGGGCACCGACTGGTTAATTGCATGATTGTAGGCGATCTATCATGGTGGTGGGAGAGATTTATTGCTTGCTGACCGGGACTATATAGGTAACTGCGACAATCATGAGAACAACCACTGAGTAACCCATGTGTTCGGATTTATTATATATCAAAGTCAGGTCTCTTCCTATAATCATATTTAACTTTTCTAACCCATAAATAACCCCATTAATACTACATAGATTAAGCTTTTTCCGATAACCTTATATCTACCACCGACACCACGAATAATTATCATATCCAGAGGCCTCTGCCACCCACCCCGGTCTAAATTATCTTCCCGTCAGTAAATCCTTTTAAGCCCATAGCTCCTCTACTAATTTTAATAGTTCCTTTAGCTAGCCCTCTAATTATTTAAGCCTATCTAAGAAATTAATTTCTTCTTCTTTAAGGGTATCGCCTATAGCTAATCTCTTAGCTAGGTTCCTAAGTGCTATTTATTATATATTAATATATTTAACCCGGTCTTTTTATAGATATATACGCCCGATAAGATAATTATAAAACTAAATAAGGGTAACTTAAAATATATCTATAAGATCGTAAACTTAAATAGGTTTAGAGATAAAAAGCTTAATAAGCCTAAGTTTTTTCCTAAATTATTATTTATCTTTGCGACTTAATATTATAACTTAGGCGCTTATATTATTATATTACTAGTCGAGTCTTAGGTTAATTATAGAGATTAGGAGTCTTTATATTAAAGTAATAGATATTTTAAGGAAGAAAAATAATAAAGAAGATAGAAGTATTAATAATAAGCTAGAGAAAAAAGCCAAGTTATATAACCTCTTATAGGAAAAAGAAAGGTAGTATCTTATACTGCGAGGCTTATCTTCTAGCTATTAGGTTTCTATAGCTATAGAGCCTTACCTTAGGTTTTCGGTGTTTTATAGTATTAGGTTTTAATACTGCCGTGTATCTTTAATTATATCCTTTGCTCCTATGGCTAACAGAGATATCATCGAAAAAAAAAAATAGAACCACTGAGTAACCAGCAGTTAGAGGCCATGTGATCTAGCAATAATCCGTGAACAGAGGTCTAGATATGGGATCATGCATCTCTCAGAGTACCCCTGTTGGCCTGCTCAGCCATTGCCTCTTCCAGGAGCTCAGCCTTTTCATCTGCGGTCAAATCACTACTGGCCTTAGGTACCTTGCCCCAGATTGCCAGAATCAACAAACTCGCGGCTGCAGCACCCACTCCAAACCAAAACGTGTTCTTGTAACTCTTCCCCAATCTTGCCTCGTCTACCGTTGCTGATTGGAGGACGTCCGTCAAAGCAAGGACGAAAGCTACGCCCAGCTGCAGCACAGAATTGATAACACTTCCAGCCAGTCCCTGCTGCGCTGTAGGAAACGTCGTAGTGACGAAAACCGTCATCAAGATGGTGGACAGATCGATTCCAATGGTGCTGCAGATGACTGCAGGGAAGACCCATGCCCAATAACTTCCCCCAAGTGGAATCAAAGCTATGAGAAGCTGTGACCCTACTGCACCCAGGCCGGAAATGATCAACAGCACACGTCCTGGAACCAAGTGCAAGATAAAGCCCTCGATTACACTGATAATGAGGCCTGCAACACCCAGAGGCACATACCACGCTACCACCTGCAACGGACTGGCAGACATGATGTTCTGGAAATAGAGTGTGCCATATACAGAAAAGATGCCCCAGGTGCCGTAAAGCAGGAAGAGGGCCAGTAGGAGAGGGCTCATGCAAGGAGTCGTGAAGATGGAAGCTGGCAAGAGAGGCTGAGCAGAGACGCGCGTTTCGATGTAGACTGCAGCAAGGAGTGACAAGACACCAAGTACAAGACAGGCCGGAATATATGGCGTTCGCCAACCTGCAGGGGCGTGTGCTGACTGCAAGATGGAAAACACGACTAGGACGAGGCCACAGACGATGGTGAAGGCGCCGGGGTAGTCCATTTTGGCTTTGCTTGGGTGATCCTTTGGAGGACGGGGAATAGACAAGACTGAAGTTAACAGCGTAATCGCCGTCAGGATGGCGCCGATCCAGAAGTAAAAACCCCAGCGCTTGAATTCACCCACGATCCCTGCCATGAGAATGCCACCGAAGAAACCGAACACCGCCGATGTGCCGTATACTGCAAAGACGAGGTTCTTTCGTGGCCCAGGACGATACAACGACCCCATGAGCATAACCCCGCTAGGTAAGAATGCCGCAGCTCCAAGTCCTTGTAGAGCCCGACAGAAGTCGAGCATCAGTGGATTGATGCTGAACCCGGCTATTATACTCCAGATAAGAAGCCAGGAAAGGCCCCATATGAAGACGGGATATCCTTCCCACATATCGCCTAGACGACCAAAGACGAGCAAGGTGCTGGCGATGACGAGAGAGAAAGCGGTCGCTGGCCAAACGCTGGCTGCTTGCGGGATGTCGAGCTCTCTGATCAGGGTTGGGAGGATGACGGTGAAGCCCGAGACAAAGTATTCTGTCAAGAATTGGGACATGGAGATGCTAAAGACAAAGATTATCTCGCTCCAGCGAGTTGCAAAGATCGGAGGGCGCTCGCGGCCGAGACGTTCGATGCGTGCTTGGAGGGACTCGTCAACTGTGGGTGTGGATTCGGCAATGTCATGGTGATCCGGTGAAGGGGTGTCGTTTGGTAAAGGATCAACAACTTGAGGTAGAGCCCCGAGGCTATGTTCTCTCGACAGTGTAGTCGGTGTTGTTGAGGTGTTGCTGGGAACCCGCTGAGGCGGTGATGAAGGTAATGATGGGTGTGTCATTTTCTGTCAAATATCGGCCACTGGATATGCAGAGAGATGTAACGAGCAGAGGTTGGGCTATCAGAAGACCAGGTCACAGATCTTGTACTTGGTCAAAAGGCTTCACAAGGCCAGGGGCGGGGACCTCGGAGCAACTCAACAGAAATAATACAGCCGTGTTTTTTGCCAAAATCATCACTACATTTGTAATCAAAACATCTAAAGACGTGAATTTTCGGACAATCGAGGTTAGATGGTAGCCTTAGTCCAGCACAGGTCTCAATAGTTGGAAATGTTATTTAGACACTAACCATATACATCCCTATACTTATTCCGCGCAGCCGTCCAGCCGGGTGGCCTTGTATCTATCTTTTCTTGCCACTGGCCGTCAAGTTCCCAGCTAACAACTGAGCAAGTCATAGCTCGTTGGAAATCCATATCAGTTATTCTTTTTGCAAACTAGTGAAGACGAAGACAGCTTTATCACGATTCTAACCCCTGAAATCTATAAACCTTACCAAAGAAGGCGTTAGCATCCAACGCTTATGCACGACTTGCGTCTTGGCTGCCTATGTGGGATTAGTTCCGATCGATTTGGCAGCATCCTAATTGGCTTGACAACCATCCGCGATACGTCAAGGGCTAATTATCAGCTTGTGTTGAGAGAAGCATTTGTCAGTACGTAGAAATTCAGAATTATTCAGCAGTCTAATACTAGATGCACTTCTCGCAATCATAACCGGTGTCGAAACCTTATAAACTGCGATCTTGTCAGTAGCTTGACTCTTTGTGCATCATTCTACATTACCCATCTCTCTCAACAAGTCTTTTCTACTTCTACACTCACAATGTCACCAGTGATACATTGTATCCGCCATGGACAGGGCTTTCACAACGTTGGTGCCGGATGCTACACTCTACCTGATCCTCGCCTCACCCCCTTAGGTGAAGAGCAGAACATGGCTTTGCGCAAGACGACCTTCTCAGATCAGTCAATGATATCTCTTATCCTTGCGTCTCCGCTTTGTCGAACACTCCAATATGCCTATCTAGTGTTTCAACCAGCCCTCGCGGCCAACAGCAAGTGTCACCCTGAGATCATCGCCATCCCTGATGCTCAAGAAACCTCGGATGACCCATGCGATGTTGGAACTGACCCATCAGTCCTCCGCGCAGTGGTAGCCGAGAGCAAATGGCCCGCCGACCTCTCTCTAGTCAAGGAAGGCTGGAACGTGAAAGCTTTAGGGACTCGATACAGCCCAGAAAGCAACGCCATAGCTGCCCGCGCTCGCGACGTCCGCATCTTTATCCGACAAAAGACCCGTCAACTGATCGAGCAAGGCGATACAGACCCTCAAGTTGCCCTCGTAACGCACAGCGGTTTTCTACACTACTTCACCGATGATTGGGAGGACTCATGGCTGAACCCTGGGACGGGATGGCGGAACTGCGAGACCCGGTCCTACGTGTTCAAGCAGGACGTGATGGATGATACAGATGTAGAGTTTATGCTCACTGAGACGATGGAGAGTCGACTGAGAAGAGGGAAGGGTTATCCTATGCCGGCTGGGGAAGAGCAGACGGTGCTATTTGAGCAGGCGATGGAGAATTGGGAAAGCCAGGGGCTGCAAAGACCCGACAGAATAGGCCTGCATCTCGAAACGAGTGTCGTTGCATAATTGAATGCTATATCACAGAGGTTATACTCTTCCTCTACGAGGATCGAGTGCTTGACCTTCAGGATGGGGAAACTTCCACGACATTGATCAATTTATCGACTTCAGTCCAAGTCAACGTCAATCACCAATGTCCCAAGGACATGTTCTCTTATTTGCTCCTCAGTTCAGCTCCAAGATTTAATACCAAACATCAAATTCTCGCAGGTCCTCTGATAATACTTCAACGTTTCCAACATCGTGCCAGTAGTCAAAAGACATGCCTGACCTTGTGCGGCCACTTCGGAACCGATTCCGACAGTCTACCTCCAATCTTGTCTGGAAGCCTGTTCCTTGGTGTAGTCGAACCCCCGGCTGAGATTGGCGGCTTCACTGCTATGTTAAATGTCCACGCAGTCCAGAAGAAGCCAGTCAAGAATCGCTTCGCAAAATGCAAGGACCACTAGTTCGAGATACACTAGTGACATTGTCGGCCTTTGTCAGCCATGTCGATGGGCACAGTACAAGACCATGGATCTGTCATTCCACCTATAGAATACAGCTTAAGCAAATGAAGACTCAAACAATAAACTACAAACCAAGAATCCATGGTTGGACATGTGCCATTAGGTGGGCAAGTTTAAGACGTGCGAGCGAGTTGTATTAGAGGAAGCAAGAAAATTTAGACCCCCGATACGTTATAAACATGTCCGAAGAGATTGATAAAGAACTTGCCAAGACTCAAGCATAAACTCTAACTGTGCTGAAGATAAACGAGTAGCACTGATCGAGATTGCAACCCACCCTATGTCTCAATGGTTCAAAAATAAACCCAAGAGAGTAACATGGACGATGAATTCAGACAATGAAGAGAGAGGATTTTGTCTCCCATTCGGCCAAAGTATTAAAACGTACTACTCACCCGCTGGTTCTTCAGTACATCTAGAAAAGATGAAACTGGTGTTTGTCCGATCTCGGCGTTATCTCCGTCAAATCCGAAATTCAGTGGCTTCGGTAGCCCCACTTGGCCAGCGGCTAGATCCGCCGCTATTGGGTATCTTATCAGATGCCCCCGACTCGGCCTTGCTGGCGTCACAGGACCATGTCAGGCAGTCACGCAGGCAGGCGGCAAAGGTACCTGAGACTGTGTATTTCTCATCCTCCATCAGATGACACGCTTTCAGCCTTGAACCGCTTTGTCGGGTATCTTCTCTCCTCCTACATCAAACAACAGGGGTCCTTGTTCATCAGACAGAGACAAACACCCTACAAACCATGAGTTCATCCTCTGAAGCGACGCCCCTTTTAGGCGCCGCCGTGGGAGATACCTCGCCTTCGTCGAGTTTATTACCTCACCGACCCGAAAGCGACGGTAGCCGCACCCAAGACAAGAGGCTATCCGCCGGCGTCGCCCGCATGGCCGTCGTCTCCAAGAACCTCACCACGGCGCATCGCGTCTGGCTCTTTGTCGGCATCTTCATCGTCGGGTACGCGTATGGTCTCGAGAGCCAGGTGCGCTCCGCGTACCAGCCCTACGCCACTTCGAGCTTTCATCTCCACTCGTACCTCAGCACCATCAACGTCTTGAGGAGTGTCATTGCTGTGGCGGTTCAGCCGACCGCTGCAAAGGTTGCTGATGTGCTCGGTCGCTTTGAGGTTATTGCGATTTCCACCATTTTGTACACGGTCGGAATTGCTATTGAAGCGAGTGCGCAATCTGTTGAGGTATTTTGCACAGGGTCCATCATCTACCAGGCTGGGTACACGTGCATCGTCCTCCTCATGGAGGTTCTTATCGCCGACTTTTCATCCATGCGAGCACGCGTCTTTTTCAGCTACCTTCCTGCTGTCCCTTTCCTCATCAACACCTGGATTAGCGGAAACATCACCTCAGCGGTGTTAAGCGCAACGACCTGGCGCTGGGGTATTGGAATGTGGGCAATCATTTATCCTATCGCTTCACTTCCCCTACTGTCTTGCCTCTACTTCCTCGAACGTCGCACCTGGGAAACTGAAGACGGAAAGGAGAGTGAAGAGGCTGCGCCGCTGATTTCGCCGAGAACCAACGAGGGCCGACCTAATCTATTCGACCAACTTGACGTCGTCGGCCTCCTTACCCTCGTCTCTGCCTTTTCCCTCATTCTGGCCCCTTTGACTGTCGCTGGAGGAACAGTCAGCCACTGGCGCAGCTGGTACATCATTCTCCCTCTTACTCTGGGTTTTTGCTCCATCGTGGCTTTCGTCCTTTGGGAACAGCGAGGCGCAAGACATCCCCTTATCCCCTTTCATCTCCTCCGCGATCGAGGCGTCTGGTCCGCCTTGGCTGTCAGGAGTTTGCTCAACTTTGCATGGTATACCCAAGGCAACTATCTCTACACGGTTCTCATCGTTGCATTTGATTTTTCGGTCGAGAACGCGACCCGTATCTTGTCATTCTTCTCATTCTTTGGCGTCATCACTGGAGTTCTTGCCGGTCTCGTCATTTTCAAGATCCGTCGACTCAAGTTCATCATCGTTGGAGGAACTTGTCTCTTCATGGTTGCATTTGGCGTTCTCATTGCATATCCCGGAGATCCTTCCAAGTCTTCCCAGTACGGAATCATCGCAGCACAGGTTCTTCTCGGAGTGGCTGGAGGATTCTTTGCCTACCCAACTCAAGCATCGATCCAGGCGTCTGCATCTCGCGAGCATGTTGCCATTCTCACAGGCCTTTATCTTTCCTTCTACAACGTCGGCAGCGCCTTTGGAACTTGTCTATCAGGCGCCATCTGGACCCAAACTCTATACGGAAATCTAAAGTCAAACCTAGACTTTCAGTCGAACAAGACGCTGGCAGAGGCAATCTACAACTCGCCCTTTTCTATTGTTCCTGACTACCCAGTCGGTACAGAGATTCGAACAGCCATCATCGAGAGTTACAGTTCGGTTCAGAAACTTCTCTGCATTGCTGGAATGTGTGTTTGTATTCCAATGGTTGGATTTGCCCTGGCTCTTAGAAACCCTCATCTTTCGGAGCGCGAAGTTCAGATTGAAGATGATTCCGAGGAGGCTTAAACATTGAATGAGGTTTCTTGGCTTGGGTTTATTCATCATTTGAGCATTGACGGAACAACTGGACCCAGCTCAGGCTGGCAACATGCATCCAAAACAGGATAGAATGCATTATAGACGAGCATTTAACTTAGATGGCATTTGCTGCATTATCAAGACGGTAACATAGCTTGCATTTGAAGATCATATTCTACACCCAGTAATCAATTATAGTCGAGACCTGTTCTCTTCCCATCGCGTCTTTAACCGGCCAAGCATCATCCCAACATACTTGACATCAGTAACATCAGGAACACTCCTCAGCGTCCCACTATCCTCCCTCGACTTTTCAGTCAGATAATCCAAGCTTCCCTTCTCAGCAGAAGAGGCAGCCTTGGGACCGTACTTGCCCTCAAACCAATCCAGAAGTTTGATCGGGGGGTTCTTTGAGGGGTCTCGGTCAGAGTTTCTCAGTCTGTCCATCCACTCGCTCGTGGGGAGGGTTTCGAATTTGAGGCCTGCGCTTGACATGGAGGGGAGCATGTCTCGAGACCAGTGGAAGCGCTTGGGGTTTATGACGTGGTAGACTAGGTCCGCGTCAAGACTTCGATCGGTGGGTGTGTTGGTGCCAAGGTTGGCTAGGTCGAGTATGGCGCTGGCAGCGAGGTTGACGGGAAGCCAAGTCATTTCCTAGCAGGATGTTAGACAGTGCATTTGATGTTCCAACCATGGACTTACCTCGTTCAGAGCGGGAAGAGCACCCAGAGTCTCGGCTGTTTGAATCATTAAAGGAATACCCTCGGTGGTGTTCCACTCTCCCACATTCGTGTCACCAACCAACTGTCCAATACGAAGCACTCTCGCTGGTGCACCAGCATTCTTCATGGCATTTCGCGTGATATGCTCTGCAACGTACTTTGAGCGAGCGTATCCGGTGTGCTGAGCATGCGCAGGTGACGGGACAAAAGACTCGAGGACAGAACCAGGTCGAGGCGTGCCTCCTGCTGATGACACTGAAGAGCAGAAGAAGAAGCGAGCAGGTCGAGGGGTCTGGACTGAAAGAGTGAGTTGAATCAAGTTGTGTACAGCCTTGATATGTTGGTCCTCAAAACTTGAGACGGAAATGTTGAAGTTGACAGCCCAGGCGCTGTGGATGACGGTCGTCAACTTGGTGCTCAGTTCCTGGATTCTAGACTCTCCAAGACCAAGATCTTGCTTACTCAGATCGCAAGGAAGGGCAACCACCTTACTCCTCTGTTCTTGGGTCAAGGTTAATCCACGAGTCTTAAGGGAGCTGTCAACTCTGTCTGAAGCCGCGGCCTCGTTGGATGCTCGAACCATGGCCCACACGACTCCAACGTTGGGGCGTGCAGTGAGTTGGGCGAGGGCATGGGCTCCCAAGGCTCCTGTGACACCAGTAAGGAGCTAAGATATCAGTTGGCCAGCGAAACTTGAACCTGACAGGATAGGTACTTACCACAAGCTCCTTCTCGGGCTGTGGAGCAGATCCAGCAACATGAGGCTTGAATGAAGAATACTTGGCAACCAAGTTCTTCATAACCTGCAACTGATCCTCAGTCTCACTATCTTCACCCGTCCTCAACTTCTCCAAATGACGAGCAAGAAGCTTCACATTGCCTGTCTCATAGAGAACATTTTGCCCCAGCTGAGATTGTCTGCCACCAAGATCAATCTCCCTCTTGATCAGACTCCACATCTGGATGCACTGCAGACTGTCAACACCAGAGGCAAAGAAATCTTCCTCTAGAGATGAAAGCTTGGCGCCGCATTTTGAGTTGAGTTGACGGATGAGATAGGACTCCAGCTCTTCGCCTTCAAGTACCAGAGCACCTTGTTGATCGCCTTGTCCTTCATAGGCGGCATAGGCAGCCTCAATCTCCTTTTCAAACTGTCTATAGACGGGAACACGGATAAAAGTTCCCTTGTCCGTCCTTGGATATGGAGTATCCGCTTGAACAATAATTACCAACTCCTTGGGAACTCGGGAAAATGACTCGGCTCGAGAATTGGCGTCTTCCACCGCAGGCCAGATGCGTTCCAGGAACTCTTCGTCAGACATTTCGGCAGCCCTGTCAGCCTTGACGATCAAGACTCCGGGATAACTCCGTCCCTCGCCGTAGACAATTGCCTCCTTGACAATTTCTTCCTGTCGGATTCTGCCTTCGATGGGTAGAGGGAGAACCTTTTCGCCATTGATAAGAGTGAAGCGGTCGTCGAGACGGCAGGCGTACTTCCACAGCTTAGGTCGTGTCGGATGCCGAGTGAAGAGATCTCGTGTGCGGAATGAATTTGGCGGGTCATCAGAGTTGATGGTGCTCTTTGAAGGAAGCCCGTCCAGGGCAACGCATTCGTAAAGACCAGGGGCGACTTCGTCCATGAGGCAATAAGGCTCAGCCTGGGGTAGGAAACGAAGGTAACTCCACTCTTTGTCACCTTCTGGGCGTGTAGAGTTCATGAGTCTACCAGTTTCAGTTCTGTCAAAGAGTTAGCATAGCCGTAAGTACTGGTTCTCTGTCACTCACGCTCCGTAGTTGCCAACCAGGTAGACTCCATTATCCACAAGTCGATCTCCAAGATCATCCGGACAACCACTTCCAGCATAAAGAACCAACTTGACACCAGCCAAAACACGAATACCCTCCTCAGTCTCGGCAAGCAACTTGATGACATAAGGAACCGAGTGAAGAATCTCGGGCTGAACGGTATCAATCATCTGAATAACAGACTCCCTCGTCAACGGCAGATTGTAGTTGCAAAAGTAGAGTGGCTTTCCAGAGTAGATGGATCGGAAAATCTCGTAGAAGCCGTGGCTGTGAAACATGGGCGATGTGAGAAGACCTCGCATGTCCATGTTTGTAGAAAATGCGGCGATGCAGCTTCTGTTGGTAAGGTAGATGGGCTTGGGAAGACCGGTTGAGCCAGATGAGTGAATGATGACTGCTACTTTGCGGGACTCGGAGTCTGGGTTGTAATCGCGAGCAAATCTTGGTGCATCGTAGTTGCAGTAATCTGAGTGTTGTAGCAGAGGGAGAATCTCGAGTGATCGGTTCTGTTGAACTTCCTTCAAGACTGGGTGGAAGTTGGGTGTGGTGAGAATGGTGTGGCAGTCAGCCAGCTCAAGCAATTGTGTAATTGCCGGGCAAGCAAGGCGAGTAGAGATCAAGAACGAAGAATATCCAAGTCGGTTAAGAGCGATAATCTGGATGATAATGTGAATGCCAGACTGAGCGAGCATGCCCACCACAGGAGCCTTCTCAAGAGTAGGATCCTACACCAGTAAGCCTCAATCACCATCAAAAACACACCTATACTCACCACAGACTTGAGACCCAACTTCTGAAGCTTTGCGACCGCAGCATCTGCGTATCTGTCAATCGCAATCGCGCTGTGCTCCTTGTAATCATCAACCCCCGCCTCGGGGAACCCAAGCAACGGAGCATCCTGCAGCTCCGAAGCCCTCCGCTTGATCATCTCGTCAAGCGTAAACATCTTTGCCTGGAGGTCAAAAGACTGGACGGGCGGCGTCCTGGCCGCCTCGAAGCCGTTAACGTCGTGTCTGATGGTCATGATGTCTGTCTGCCTTGTCAAAAGCAGGTAAGCACATGTTGAAGGCAACTCCCAATAGAATGACTTTGCTCTATATATCTCAAGAGATCCGGTTCCAACGGCGATCCGCTGATCCCGGAATGATATCCGAGGTGTTGCAGGACCCGGCAAAGGACGGACAACTCTTGGTATTGCATCTTTATCCGGTGCATACAATCTCAGCCCCAACGAATCCCAGCTTCACAGCTTATCCAGGTTTATCCATTCGTCGGTCGTATGCGAGACGCTTCTTTATCCGACACGACGCGGGGTAGAATGTAAAAAGCCTCCAATGGGGGTGACGGATCCACCAAGACCAAGTCGGATTTACGCCGCTTTTCCGCTCATGCTTCCGTTTCCGTTACAAGAGTTATCGGCTATCTTGCCTGTCAACTCAATATTGATTGAGGCTGTAGACGTCGCTTCGGAAAAGCGGCTGTCGACGCAGTTTTGCCCCCGGGACGCTGGTATGGTCGCAGGGCTTCCCCATGGGGTAATGCAGCTATGGCTTCTCTACAATGAGCGGGCATTACTAGGGGATGTATAGTTTGTAGAGTTTGGGTACGTTCTACAAGTCCATGGTCATGGACGATTTCGATGTTAAGTCCATCAGCTACAGGCAAACCTTCATCCTCCCATTGCCACCTTCTCAGAAGCATCATAATGGCTACCCAGCGACCAGCAACGAAAACTGTCAATTCCGAGGATGTAGCGACAGTTGATCATGTAGAGTTTCAAGACACGATGAAACCCACCGGCGTGGGGCGTTGTCTCGACCCTGATCTGTATTGTCAAGAATTATCACTATTGTAGGTGACGCATGCACTCTTGTCCAGCAAGAGCATACTAACGTGGTTCGTTTCCAGACTCGTCCTCGGCATGACCGAAGCCCCCTTCTCTTCCAGCGCTTGTTACCTCGCGAGTTCTTTCTTGGGATTGATCACAGCAGCCGTCTCTGCTGGTTTTCTCGGACGATACAGCCTAGAATGATGGCCCTGGCTCCTTCTCATCCAAGGGGTCATCACCAGTTACTTGGTAAGTAACCACGCCCCGTCTCACTTCACCAGCTAACCTCCCACAGTTGAAGTGGCCGTAATCGCATTCTTCATGCCCCCCAACGCTCCCCTCCGGACACGCTAGCTCAATCAAGAGGAGCGCCAGCTCGCTCCCTTGAGAATTGCCAGCGACACGGCTGAGAAGCGACTCGCTACAGGGAGCTTATTAGGCCTCTGAGTTGCTGTAAAAGACTACCGAACGAAGATCTCTGCGCTGCAAATCTCCATCTCTCTACCAACGGCTTCAACACCACCATCACCCTCGCCCTAACCTGTCCCCCATTCCGCATCGCGACAGCCACATTAATCCTCGTATCATACTCATTAGGCCATCACAACGAGCGGACATTACACATCACTGTCTCGAAGCTCGCCGCAAGCATTGACTTTGCAGCAGCTACTAGAACCCGCAACATCGGAGCATGATACTTTGCCTGGTTCTCTTCGTCGGCGCCACATATGGAGTAAATAACATTGACATCGCCTGGACATCTGTAACCCCTAGTCAGAAGGAAGAGAAAGAAAAGCAGCAGCGATTTCCATTGTGAACTCTAGGAAATCTCTCGATCTTCTGGCTCAGTTCCCATCAAGGACTGGGCTGCAACCTAGGAAATCTCTCATTTGTCTATGCACCCTACCTTTGGCCGGATAGCGATGCGCCGTTGTTCCGTCTGGCTATGATTGTGAGCGAGCGCCGTCTTCTCCATCGGCGTTGTGGCGACGGCTTAGTGATGAAGTTCGTGTTGAAGAAAGCACATAAGATCAGGGCATCGGATAATGAGGCTATTAATTTTGCGCCTTCTAATTATGGGCGTGACCTGAAGTCAGGAGAAATGACATGGCTCTTTTGATGCAGCTCACGGGACAAGTTTGTTTGCGAGCTAGATATGGTTAGGGGTGAGATGGAAACCCGGGTAATGAAAGCCCCCCGAAGCGGGCGTGGCTTTCGGTATTTGCATAATAAAGTTCCAAGGATGAGGGGGTTAGCACCAGAAAGACCCATTGTACCTGGCCAGATACCAATGTTTGGACTGAACAGCTTCTCAGCTCAAAGGCCTAGTCCAACAGGCCATCCGAGCCACCACGTACCTCCTGTTCATCTCTTTGTCTTGGCCTTTTTGGTATAAGACAGGTCCTGTAAATCAACACCAAGTTCTGAGCCTAGGTTCCAACGCCGTGACAGTGTTAAAAACCGTACTCTTCGCTGCTGTGGTCAACACTCTCAGTCATTATACAAAGGGAAATAACCATGCCAGCAACTCTATGGACCAAGATTCACTACGGCCACAAAAAAAAGCTATCCCAAGTGTCTTGTCTATCACTCTCCACCTAATATAAATGTACATGTACAAGAAATATCTACATTCCAATCCCAGATCTTAGTCCTTCATAGACCTCTTGGCAACCCAAAACTGCGCATTGTACGCGCTCTTGGTCAAAGCCTTGTTGTTGAATCCGTAGACAGCCTCCATGCTCCTAACCTTTCTCTCAGGCAATGTCAAAGGTCCGCAGGATTCTTCCGTGTCGAGGTACTCAAAGCCCATGACCTCGGTGATCTTCAGCACCTCATCTAGTGACAGCTGCACGTACGGGCCGGATCCGTAGAGAAGAGGACCAAGATTGATCCAGTGACCGCCAGGCTTAAGCACCCTCTTGATTGTCTCGAGGTAGCTCATGAGGTTGCGAGCCGTATCGATGAAAAAGTATGTGACAACGACGTCGAACTTGCCCCGCTTGCCGATGAAGGCGGTGGTAAAGTCACCTTCAACAAGAACCACAGAGCTGGCGTTGACGCCAACATCAGGAAAGAGAAGTTCTCGGGTCATGTCTGCTTCGGAGATGTGGTGTGACCAGCCCTCGACAAAGGGGTGCCAGGACATGGAGTTGCGGGCTCTGTTGGCTTCGACAAGGCGGTAGGCGAGGTTCATGTACATGGACCACTCATTCATGGTTACTTCGAAACCTACACATGTTGTTAGAGTAATCATGATAATGCAACATGAATCTTACCTCCGAGTCTAGCAATATCATGGCCCAGCCTTCCAAGACCAGATCCTGGAACCAAAGCCTTGATAGGAGCAGCTCCGTCTCGCTCGGGGAAGAAACCTTCCAAGGTCTTCATCAGACAGGAAAAGGGGCCATTCCTCTCAGAGGCACCCTCCTCAGTCCAGTCACGGACGTAATGCTTCAGAGCCTGGGAGACAGAGACACGGTCGGCAGTCCTCCCGGAAGCCTCAATTTCCTTGGCATGCTTCTGGAACTCAGCTTGGCCGATTTCGTAGTACTCCATGGCATTCTGGACAATACGGTTGCAGAGGTCTTGGTTCTTGGTGAGGAGGGTATCGAAGCGGGCAAACTTCTTGGAGTACTGAAGTTCCTTTTCAAGTAACTAGTCGCGTGTAAGGGTTAGAAAATCAAACAGAGTTTCCAGGCAGAGTCTGACTTACAGCTCGCTGAGACTTGGTGACATGCTTGTAAAAACCTTCGAATCGGTCAAGCTCAACCTTTTGGCGCTCGTGGTACTTGCTGAATCCGTAAAGAGCGTCGAGAAGGCGATGGCGGGGATGATTCTTGTTCCAGGTGCCAGCATCCCTGGCCATGTTGCTCATCAGCTTCTTCTTGGCCTCTACATGGCGAGGCGTGTTGGGCTCTCCGGCAATCTGCTCCAGAGTGACAACAACTTCGTGGACCACCTCAACAGGAGAACTCAGGGTGCCAGACTGTAATGACGTGTATGTTAGCTGAGGTTGCAAGGTTGTTTCTGTCGTTGTCGCCGTCTGAGTAAATGACATTGTGGATGTGGATGTGGTGGTGGTGGTGGTGGTGAAAGGGTGGGGACGGGAGAAAAGAGAAAAAAGAGGACAAACCAGGTCGGAGGCGACGTCAGGCCCATTTTGATTCGCGGTAGATTCAACCTTGATGTTCCCGGCCTCACTGGCGTCCGCAGCCGTGCATAAGGGGCCGATGGAGAGAAGAAGCAAGGTGGCGGACGAGAAGAGCGCCTGAAGTCTCATGGTGATGATTGACGTGGGATGTTTTTTTTTTCTTGATCACAACCACAAGTCCCAAGGAGGCTCCTGTCTGTAATATGACTTTACGTGATGAGCGAGAAAAGAGGGCCTCGAAGAAAAAACGACTATGTACTATCCCCTGGACGCCACGGTTAGTTTATCAAGGTTACAAGGTTGACAGGGTTAATTAATGCTGGCTGTTGGTCGGTTGTATCCCGCCAGCCGTGAACCGTTCCACCAACGGGGGACGGGGTAAGCGACGACGAACCTGGAGGAGAGAGAAGTTCAAGGTGTGCGTGCAGAAAAAAAGAAGAAGGAAGAAACAAGACGGCTCTGCATCATGCAAACCAGCCTGGGATAATATCCAATACTTTTACTCAAAAGCCCGAGCCTCACAGTGACCTGACCTTGTTTGTTCTGTCAACAGCTGGTACGTTTTTCGGTCGGTGGTCTGAGGTTCCTTTGGATGAGAGACTTGGCATGAGATGGTCTTTTTGGCGAGTCGCCGTTTCCAGCGTTTGGAGGGGAACACGAACAGTGGGGGAAGGCGCACCAGCTGAGCTTTCCGGTCGGGGCAAGCAGCGGGAAAAGTGGGGTCACGGTCTGCTTCGCTTGCCCGGCGGCGGGATTTGAGTCGATTTAAGGTGAGGACCTTGATGGCCCTGCCAAGACCAAGCCTCGCGATTTTGTTTACCCACCCACGGGCCAACCAACAGGGGACCTCATAACCTCTCGTCTCTCTGTACGACATCTCCACGCCGGTCTCTAATCTACCCTAACCTCAACCGAGGAGCCAATGGCCGACTCGGCGTTCTTTGTTCTCGCAACCTTGTACAGCATAAGCATACAAGGACCCTGTCCTCTTCCCGTTGAGCACATTCCAACCCGCTGCATGCTACTCACACCCCATCCATCCCATGTCTCTCTTTATATCCGTAGCCTCTACTCTATTCCTCGTAGTCTCGCCGAATAACATCTGTAATTCAAGGATCCATGGTTCCCCCCACGTCGTCTTGTCCGATCTTCAGCTTCAAGCGTCTCTCTTGTTCAAACACCCCTCGTATCCACGCCCACAGAGGACCGTTTGTCAAGCCCCAATTACCACGAACCTTGATGCATACAGTCTCTGCAGCCTCCATCTCTTCTCTTGGCGATCCCGTAGAGGCAGTGAATCACAGTCACTAACCTTCACGCCCCTCCCCCCTTGACATTTCAGCTGTCAGTGGCTGCCACTGCACCGTCACTGACACCGTCACCTACCACCTACATATAAAGCTCCCCTCCACACCCGTTGCCGCCTCCCGTTGTTGTTCCTGCATCCTCATCCTCACCTTGCTCTGTCTCCTTCTGACAAAAGCCACTCGTTCTCAAACACCCTCAACACCACCAAAGAACAAGTCAAGATGAAGACCACCACTTTTGCCGTCGCCCTCCTGGGCCTCTTCCCCGCCGTCCTGGCCGCCGAGACTCTGGCTCCCTCCCCTACCGAGTCCGTCGGTTGCGAGCCTCATGGCGATCACTGTTTGTTTTCCCTTTGCACCCTCACTTCTGGCAGTTTGATCTAACAATCCAGGGCACTGCGAGGCCGCCCGCACCACTCTCGCTACCGCCAAGGCTCCCGCTACCACCGACGAGGAGGATCACGATGATCATGACCACGAGGCTGGTGAGAGCGAGGCCCTTGCTCCCTCTCCCACCGAGTCCGTCGGCTGTGAGCCCCACGGTGACCACTGTACGTCTTCACTTCTTCACTCGCATGACGCCAAAGCTAACTCATCTATCCAGGGCACTGCGAGGCTGCTCGTACCTCCGTCGCCGAGGTCGACGCCAAGACCACTACCTTCGACCACTCCGCCGGTGCTACTGAGTCTCGCGCTCCCTCTCCCACCGAGTCTGTCGGTTGCGAGCCCCATGGTGACCACTGTACGTCTTTCTTTCCGCTCTGCAACATCAATCGATCTAACAATCTCCAGGGCACTGCGAAGCTGCTCGCACCTCTGGTGGTGCTGCCGCCGACGCTGTGACTTCCGAGTCCATCGCCCCCTCTCCTACCGAGTCCGTTGGCTGTGAGCCTCACGGTGACCACTGTACGTATCCTCTAGCTTCACTTGTTTATCGCCATCCTAACCTCTCTAGGGCACTGCGAGGGTCCCCGTACCGGAACTGACGTCGCTGCTGCTACCACCGAGGAGCACGACCACTCCGCTGGAGCTACCGAGTCTCTGGCCCCCTCTCCCACCGAGTCTGTCGGCTGCGAGCCCCATGGCGACCACTGTATGTTCCTCAATCGCTCGCTCTCTCACATCAGCTAACACATGAACAGGGCACTGCGAGGGTCCCGCCACCGGCGCTGCCTCTGACGCTGCCACTGGCACTCCCACCACCTCCGCCGAGGTCACCGTCACCAACGCCGCCGGCGTCCAGATGATCCCCGTCGTCGGCCTCTTCGCCGCGGCTGTTCTGGCTCTGTAAGGGACCCTGCGAGGTTGTACAGTAGGCATCCAGGGGAGCTCTTTGTTGTGTCGGCCCCTGGGATCGCGGAGCAGCGGATGATTAGAAAGGGCATGGCAACAATTCACACACCACCGTTACTTAGGTAGTTTCGTTCGATTCAGCTACACCTTGTTAGCTCGATTAATCAACTTCTTCCCACCTTTTACACTCTGATGCTCTTGCTTTGGTGATGTCACAAGACATGTTGCCCGAATTGGGTGAGCCTTGTACCAATCGACTTGTTTCAAACTTTGAGAAACAAGACCATGTGTCACTCGCTGCTGTGTTGACCGGGTAATTCAAGACCTCATGGATGGTGGTTCAGAGGGCTACATTGTGGTCAGTTCTACATGGCCATGCCTTTGTACAACCCCCAACAGCACAGAACCAGCATCACTTCCATTCAAGCACCTTTGTGTCCATGACGACCAACATCCATAATGATCAATCCCATCTCAGCTTCATCGATCCCCATGATGCCTCATTTGCTTACGCCACGCACCATGTGGTGTGCGCCCTCCCGCATGAGTAGCGCCAACGTAAATTATCCATAAAAGTAACCTTTTTTTCTTAAACAAGCTCATCCCATGTCTAGCATGACACTAGGAATTATTCCCGCAGAGAATTCCCTGTTTTTTCCCTTCTCACGCACAAGGGGGAGAGGGGGACCCCCTTCACCTATTGGTCTTGGCGCTTCCTAGTCTGGCGGTTCTGATCCATCGAGATAGTCTATCAAGGTTCTCAACCTCACTTTTCAACTGCCCACCCGCTCACTCGCCCACGCCGATGCAGCTAGGGCAAGGGTTTACGTTGACTGTGCATCGGACTTTGGTACCTGAGTAAGGTAGGAGGCTGTTGGTTCGCATCAAGGCCGTGTCTCTATCAAGATGCAAGGTTGTGATGGTGACCTGGGTAGGCAAGGTGTAGGTAAACTAGACAGCAGTAACCCCCAACCTTTCCAATGGGTCGCTCCTTCCTCTCGAATCGGAGCGTTTGCTTTCCAACTCATGGCATAACCGCTTCTTCCCCGGCTCCGCTGAGATCCATATCCCACGCATCCATGGTCTTGGAACTGACACATGAGGTCGCGTACCCGGTGCACACCCTCTCATAACGAGATGGACCCTTGAAGAAAGTCTCCCCCCATCGAGAAGGAGGCGCCGCCAAACTGACCGAGGATTGCCCCAGCCTGTTGGTCATCGGAACGTCGCCGTGGAGCCTTTTACCCATGATTCACCTACGACGAACCTAGCACCGCACCGCACCGCACCACAACGCACTGCATCCTCCTCGCCTCGTGTCATTGCACATGAACTCAGTATATACTCCGTATTCACTCCCGTCCATCAGCTACGCCAAGCCAACCGGATATCCATCCAGGTCGATGCCCCACGGTTCTGCCCGCCTGCAGCTGCCCGCCACTGACAGAACTTTGTTTCTCTTGGTCAGTGAGGACCTTGATATCCAACCCTCCATCCATTAGAGTAGGGAACTTTTTTCTTCACTGCAAACTCGGCCCCCACGCAGAAGTTTACATATTAAGCTTCTTTTTTCCACCTCTTCTTCTCTCCTCCTGCCCTCGTCCAGATCGATCATCCGCAAGGCGCAACATCGCTTTTCGGTCAATACATTGCATGCTCTCCCACCGCTGCATACCACTCGCTCTCCGAACCGCCATGACTCGTACCGGTCGTCTTTGCGGGAGCCGTCCCGCCGTGGTGCTCGTCGGAGCACTGCTCTTTGCCGGCATCGTGTCGGCCTCGATCAACCCCGGCGCCATCAGACGCCAGGCCACGGCCACCAGCGCCGGAGCCGAGGCCAGCATGGACTTTGAGTCCCTTACCGGATGCCACATGCATGGGGCGACGCAGTAGGTGATCTCGGAAAATGAGATGATGGTTGTTGACATTCTCTAGGTACTGCATGGCAGACTCTACTGAGTACCAGATCGTCCCTGAAGCCGCCGAGGCGACGGCCACCGAGGACGCTCCCTCTTCGTACACTGCCTGCCACAACCATGGTTCAGACGTGCAAGTTCTTTCGTCCTCCTACGTCGGCATATCTCTGACAATCGTCCAGTTACTGCATGAACCCCAACGGTGGCGAAGTTCAAGTCCTTGGCGAAAACGAGGCCGCCCCTACTCAGACTGCGGCCAAGGAGACTGGCCAGAGCTCCGCCGCTGATACTAACAAGATCACCGCTGTCACTGAGTGCCACATGCACGAGACCTCTCTGTGCGTTGTCTCCGTTTTGCGCAGCTGATGGATGCTAACATGGAATAGTTACTGCATGGGTCCCAGCTCGACCGAGTACTACGTCCAGACCACCATCACCAACACCGAGGAGTTTCCTGCCCAGCTCACCGATTGCCACAGCCACGGCGAAGAGACGCAAGTTTTCCGGGAATTCTACAGTCGGATTATAACTAACACTGCTCAGTTACTGCATGTCCGACGATGGCGAAGCTCCCATCATTCTCGCTGAAGATGTCGAGTCTGGCGCCACTGATCCTGAGGAGGAACACTGCCACTTCCACGCCGGTGTCGAGTATGTTGCTCTCCCGTCCCCGTCTATTTCAATGTTAACACGATTAGGCATTGTGTCGGAGGTAGCCACGGCTCTGAAGAGGAGGGTACCCGCTCGTGTGGAAAGGTTGACCGAGACTACAAGATTGGCATCCGTATCGGCATGCTTTTCGTTGTCCTCGTTGCCAGCTCCATTGGTAGGTCAGATTCTTGTCTTGAAAGCACAACACTAACAATTTCCAGGTGTCTTTGGTCCCATCTTGATGTCCACCTTCATGCCAATCAAGTCCAACCTCTTCCTCATCGTCCTCAAGCAGTTTGGTACTGGTGTTATTATCTCCACTGCCTTTGTCCACGTACGTTCCCCCATGTGACAGACTCTTTCTTGGCTGACCTGAACAGCTGTTCACCCACGCGACCATGATGTTTGGAAACGAGTGTCTCGGCGAGCTCCTTTACGAGGCCACCACCGCCGCCATCGTCATGGCCGGTCTCTTCATCTCGTTCCTCATTGAGTACTTTGTTCACCGAGCGATGCGCTGGCAGGAGAACAAGGAGAACAAGTCCGAGGGCGTCATGTCTCCCCAGGCGCTTGCGAAGGCGGAACTTACCAACGTAACTATCATGGAGGCTGGTATCATCTTCCACTCGCTCCGTAAGTACTCTTTTCTCTATCATGACGTCTTCTAACCTGAACAGTTATCGGAATTACGCTTGTTGTTGCTGGCGACTCCTTCTTCATCACTCTGTCCATCGTCATCATCTTCCACCAGCTCTTCGAAGGTATCGCTCTGGGTACCCGTATCGCCGCGGCTGGCTATGGCCAGACCCCTCTCGCCCAATTCCACTCGCATGGACACTCGCACAGTCCCGCTCCCGCCGTGGACCGAACTGGCGGCTCGACCGTCTCCCTGACCAAGAAGCTCATTCTCGGCGCTGGCTTCGCCCTTGTCACACCTATCGGCATGGCCATCGGTATCGGCGTCCTGAACGTCTTCAACGGAAATAACCCTTCCACTCTGATCGCTCTGGGAACTCTGGATGCCCTCTCAGCCGGTATTCTCGTCTGGGTCGGACTTGTAGAGATGTGGGCTCAGGATTGGATGTGGGGAGGCGAGCTCACCGAGGCTAGCCCTCTCACGACTACTCTGGCTCTGTTTGGTCTTGTCTGCGGTATGGTTCTGATGAGTTTGCTTGGCAAGTGGGCTTAAACAAGCCTTGGATACCCCCTTTCGACATACTAGTCGAATCTTGGAGTCTAGATGATAGTCCTCCTACAAGATGCAGTGTTGAAAGCATTGCTTTCACCCCGTAATTACCACGATTAGATATACCAGAAAGTAACAGTACTCTTCACTTCTTTCACCAACAAAGTTAATCTCACTACCCTTTTTCGCTTCCATCTCAATCCTTCTTGGCGCGTGCCTGCTGGATGCGTCTGCTCATACTGCCAACATTGAAGAAGATGCCAATGATGCTCTCGCTCACCCACCTGGGAAGACAGGACAATATCCAGACCCGTCCAGACATGCCTCCAGCCCAGTACCAGTCAGGAGTACCTCCAATCAATCCTCCGAGCCATCCCTCTCCCCTGAGAGCCTGCCCAACCACCTTGCGCGCGTAAATCTCGGTCGGCACAGTCGCCGTCCTCTGGCTAAACGTAAGACGACGCACAAACACGTCCTCAACAGGCTTGTACAGGGAGTTTTCGGGCAGGGACCGGTGGGTACGGCTCGCAATGTTGGACCTAACCGTGCCGGTTACGGCCGTCATGACACGCACGCCAAAGGGCTTCAGCTCGAGACGCAGGGCTCGGCCCCAGACGTTGATTGCGCCCTTTGTGGACGAGTAGATTGCGCCAAAGAGGTAGGGCACCATGGATGATGTGCTCGAGATGTTGAGGATCAGACCGCGGGCCTCAATTAGGAGCGGCGCAAAGACCTGCACCATGGACATGGGGCCAAAGACATTGACCTCGTACGTGGCGCGGACGTCGTCGAGGTCCATGTCAAGAGCGGGGATGGTGTGCGTTCGGCCGCTGAGAAGCTGTCAGTATCTGTAATTGAGAGGGGGATGGGATCTTACGCGTTGTTGACGAGAATGTCAAGACGACCACCGGTGAGCTCGGCGACCTTGTTCTTGCACTCGACGATGCTCTCGGGCTTTGTAACCTCGAGGGGAAAGACGCTGATGCCGGGAGCCTCGAGGTCCTTGATCATGTCGGTGTTTCTCACCGTGGCAATGACGTGACAACCTATAGGACATGAGTAAACGACCATTTGATAACAAAAAAGAGAAACTCGCCTCGACGATGAAACTCGGTGGCCAGGGCATGTCCAATGCCTCCAGGCGAACAGCTATCTCAAGCTCAGCGTCAACTCAACACACCAATTCGTCAAAATTCCTACCCTGTAATAAGCACAAACGTCTTTCTCTCAGTCATGATTACTTGTCAAGTCTGACACAGAGTCGTGATTCGTCAACGTCTCGAGGTTAGATGACAGAACAATGATTGCTGTTCACACAGAGGTAACTCGTAAATAGCTCTCGAGGGACGGAGAGAGAACATGTGAAACCTGGCGAGAAAGCTTAGCTGTGCTGGTTTGTGTGGGGGAGCCGAGGCTTGTTGAGGTGACGCCACAGCTCAACGGTCTGCGCCACATCCGTGTCTCGCAACACCAAGGTGATGGATGGGAGTGGCTTTGCTTTCATCTCGAGTGTAGATAGAAATCGTTTTTAAGGCGATGATTGAGGAGATATTTATCTCCCTATGTATACTGGACTTTCTGTTCAGCCGAGCCTGTTGATGGAAAATTCGACACGTTCGAGATCAGCATGTCTCTAGGGTAATCGAGTGAAGTGGCTCTGAGTCCTTGACGTTGAAACCATAGTGCATTTACCCTGGACAAGTTAGCTTTTATTCGTTCTTAAAGGAGATGAGTGTCTGAAACTATACCGTTAGAGTTTATCTATCAAATTTTAAACGACCTACGTGAGGTTGGTGTGAAAGAACGACAAGGTGTCACGGTGCAATTGCTGTCCAGTGGGTTCAGCTCCAAAATGAAGACAACTGTCCCATGACATTTCCAAAGGATAAGTTGAACTTTGGGCATTCAACGAGGGAGCGAATTTAGGGTATACCGGGAATAGACACTCGTCTCAGCGGTACCGCACGTTGAGAAACCAGTTGTCGCGCGTACGCAACGGCCGGCGTTGTTGTCGAGATGCTCTTTTCTAGCACATCTATGAATTGCTAACCCATTGATCGCTATGATTGCATGGTACTCAGCAAAGCACTGGATTTCAAATGCCGATCGGGAGAGAATTGTTTCGTTGTTCTATCATGGGCCTGTTAGTCCACTTGCGCTGAGCAGATGGGAGGAACTCATGAAACTCGTCTTACTCTAGCTACTGGCTAGTAATAGCATGGACGTGTTTGTTCCTCCTAGGACACTGGCACGGCCAGTTCAAATGGTGTCCAGCTAATGAAGAGTGTCCATGATATAACCCCGGGTTCTTTGGCGCTCCAGAGTGGAAGTTAATGGCTTGGAAAGACATGGCATGGACACTTCAAAGATCGATTAGAAGGGGACAATATCTTCGAGAGAGTAGCGCAGAGGCTATTGACAGCGACGACACTTGGTCATAACTGCAAGTCCACGTCTTGAACGCATCATCCAAGGCGCTCCAAGTGGATCACTCTCGAGGGCAAGGCAGAGTTCATTGTATATGCCGCAGTCGGCTACCTCGGATGCAGGAGTAAGAGAGGATTCTGTATCGCGGTGATTACTGCTTACGCCTGAGAAGCCCCAGTTGTCATGGACAGGTGGATCATCACCCATGATGAGGGGCGGCTATACATAGAATCTGGCCATGGGAGCGTCTGCTTACTGACCTGGCTCCTTGTAATTGCGGATTATTAATGCCTCGCTTGCCAGATGATATCAAGTCTTACTTCCAGCAAGGCACGAAGAACAGTGTTGAAGATGATAAAACATAACATTCAATATCGCCATCAGTGATATACAATCAGCATGACGCAGAATCTCAAGTTGACCCAAATCAATGATTAACTCCTCGAGGCCCCCTGCCGGAGTGCCTCATGTTTGTACATCCAACCGTTGGACGCCAGCCATCCCGAGTATATGGCCATTATTCCGTTCCAGTACCAATCCAAATTCCTCCAAGACTCCCAATCCAATTCCGTTTTCTTTCGTCACATGTCATCACCGTCCGTGTCCGTGTCCGTGTGGTGTTGTCCCGGGCATCTCCATAAGCGGAGGTGGTATGGAACCGTCCATCTCGTAGACGAGGTTTGGGTTTGCCACATCTTGTGGCTTCGGAGGGGCGTAGGTGCCGGCATACGGATGGTTATAGCCTTGTTGGTTGGGTGCGGTAGTTGCCCACGCCGGCTTTGGCTCTGAGGGTGGGTATGTTGATGCGCCAGCGTACTCATGGTTTCCGTCGTAGTTGGGAGGAAGCATTGGGTGAGACTCTTCAGACTTGCGCTTTCGTCGTCGCAGGAGAAAGAAGACACCGGCGCCAATGAATGCAGCTCCGACGAGGGCAGCTCCGACCGCGATTCCAATCGTGGCGCCAGTTGACAGGCTCGAGTTATCGTTCTTGGTAGTATCTTTGTCGTCGTTGCTGTTGTCACTAGTTGCGATAACAGTGATTGTCCTGCCACCCGATGTCGTGGTGAAATCGGCCGTCTGCTTGCTCTTCGTTGTCGTCGTGATCGTTGAGCTGTCCGCTGTTGTTGTCGTCGTTTCGCCTTCCTTTGCAGCCTCTTGAAACTCCTCCTTGGTCACCTTCAGGGGCGTGGACGAGTCCTTGCATGCCTGTTGCATGGTGTCAAAGGTTTTGTCGACATCGTCGGGTGATTCCTGGCCAACGCATCGTGCGGAGCCGAGGATGAAATCGTTCTTGTAACTGCCCTGACCACAAAGACAATAGTTGAGCTCCTTGGAGTCCTTTCCAGTGCAGTCTGCATCGTCGGCAGCCTTGTATAGACAACTCTGGGCGCCCTTTGGGTAGAAGCCAAAGTTGTTCTCGGCGGCGAGGGCGGGCGACAGGAGGAGGAAGAGAGTGAGCCACCTCGACGCCATGATGGGCAAGCGAAAGTGCCTGGCGTGTGAAGTCGTCGTTGTCGCGGTGGATTCAATCCACTAGATGTTGGATTGCGCAATCAGACAATGTTGAAAGAAGTTGGATGCGACAGCGAAAGAGCGTGGTCCAAGGGATGAATGAGCGTTGGGCGCCCGCTTTCAGCTGTCCAGCCACCCCAGCCTGGTTTGTTCCCAAATGGTTGGTGATGATTGAATAAAATTGCCGAGAAATCCGATAGTTTCCAAGCCTCAAAAAAAGCAGGTCACCCAAAAAAAAACGAATGACAATGTCGCTAGGATCGGTAGAGGGAAAAAACGAGTGACAAAGGTCGATTCGCAAACTGTTTTCGCTTTGCTTTGATGGATGGAAGAAGGATGCGTTGGTCGTACGGGATAAAAAGAGGAGAAAAACAACGCGCTTGGCCAAGTTTTGGATGGAGGGAGGTCAATAAAGATGGATCAGGAATGATGACGATGGGACAGTGCTTTTATTAACTTGGTTCATCCAAGGAAGGAAGGAAGGAAATATGCAAACAGGCAGTGACGATCACCCGGTCAGCACCAAGCCAGGAGGGAGGGAGGGAAGGAACGACCCCAGCCTTCTTTCCAACTTGGTGGGAACAGGTATTATGGTACGTAGTGGCAGGATCGACCCAGCTTATCTCCATTCCCCGAAAACACTCAGTGTTCCAAAATGTGCCGCAATTCCCGCTGGGTCGGGCACAAGGCACAAAAGACGAACTGCGCTGCGCTGCACTGCACTGCGAGCTGGCAGACAGACAAAGAAAGACAAAGAGCGAGGCCAAGGCTCAGCCTCAATGCGGCGCAGTTGCACTGCAGCATCCCCAAGGCACTCACTGGCGTCGCGTGGTTGGCTGGGGGCGGGGGTCTAATTTTAGGTCCGTGATCGTGCAGCAAAGGTGGAGGGGATGATCGTCGAACCGAGCTGAGCTGAGTGGAGGGTTGCATTCTCTACAGTACCAGCCGAGAGATGTGTTTTGGTAAGCTTTGCGGTGAGATCATGGTTATCGTGAGACCGCTTCTTCACAGCCCTACAAGGCACAGGCGAGGCAAAAACTCTCCTGGCATCGCTGGTTCCGTCGTCGATCAACTTTAGCTTCTCCCAGTAACTCGGTCGTGGTGGCGATCCGAGTCTTGGATCTAACGTGGCAGATGCAGTAACACCATCAAGCAGTGAAACAGGGTATCATTTTCTAGGCGTTTCTTTCGACAAACATCTGACATCTCTTTTTCACAACCCTGGCGCCCGCTTGCTCGTCTCGTCAACTCCTTCAGATCCTCCACCCCGCTTACAACCGACCAAACACCTTGGCAAAAATCTCACGAGCCTTGAGCAGGTTCAACAGACAGATCCTCTCATTGTCCAAATGCGCCGAGTCGGTCGACTGCCCGCATGGCAAATGCGCTGCCGGTGCCCCAAACTCCTTCTCCAGGAACCGGATCGCTGGGATCGAACCACCCTCGCGGATGTACAACGGCTTTCGAGGTTTGCCCAGCTTGGTCTTGACCGAGAGGACCTCGTTTTGCTCAGGCGCGACATCTGGTGTGGCATCGCCTGAAGGAGCAGACGTCTCAAAAGAGCCCTCCCAAGTCTCCAGGATGGCCTTTTCCAGGGTCTGAAAGATGGCGTTTGTGGGATCACCCAGCCACGGCTCGGCTCTGTTGTCCACGTTGATGGTCAGCCTGTTTTGTGACTCGAGCTGCGAAAACTCGTTCTCCAAAAACCCCGTCAGCGCCTTAATCACGCTATCCACCTCTTGACCCGGCACCAGTCGTAGACTGATGTGGGAGCTGGCATGGCTGCTCACAAGGCTGCCGTCTGGACCAGACACCTTGTACCGATGGAGCGTCAAGTTGGGCTCTCTCCACCGTGCCATGAGGGACTGCTTGAGTCTCTCTTCTGGACCCTTCTCAGGGTTGCTGCGGATTAGAATAGAAGCAATGTCGTCATAGCGCGCTTCCTCTTCCGGAGTCACAGGAAGGATTCCTTCGTAGAAGCCAGGGATCTGTACCCGGTTGCCCGGTCCCTTGAGCTTGGAAAGGATGTGTGTAAGATCAGTCAGAGGCTCGTTCAGCATATAAGAGCCGTCGACTCCCGAATGAATGTCGGGCCGAGGCGAATCGACGCAGATGGTAGTGTGCAAAACACCACGAAGACCATACGTCAAGCAAGGCACCTCATCATCCAACCAGTAACTGTTGGCAAGCAGGATGTAGTCCACGTCACCAATTAGCTCCTTGTTCTTCTTGACGGCCTCCTCGAAGCCGAGCGATCCAAACTCTTCCTCGCCCTCGATCAGGAAGATGACATCGTTCTCCAGCTGCTGGGCCTCCATCAAGTCCGTAACAGCATAGAGGGCAGCGACAATTGGTCCCTTGTTGTCACTGACACCACGACCGTAGAGGTAGCCATTAGTTCCTTGCATGGTAAATGGGTCGTTGGTCCAGTTGCCCTTGCGGCTATCGGCAGCAACGACATCGTAGTGACCGTAGAAGAGAATGCGCTTCCGGGTCTCGGCTGCCTCCTTCTTGGCCGAGAAGCGAGCATAGACGACGGGGTTGTGAGGCTTCTCGGTGCTGAGCATCTCAACATGCCCGCCTAGACGCTTGAACAGCGCACCGAGGTATGTTGCTCCCTTACGACAGTCCTCGGCAAACTCTGGACGGGAAGACACAGTCTTGTACGACACAAAGTCTCGGAGGGTCGACAAGAGCAAGTTGTCCGAGGCCTGAGAGACTTCCTTCTCCTTCTTGGAGCAGTCGTCAGGGTCAATAGCCCAGATGGAGACATTATCATCGTTGGCGCCAGTAATGAAGTATTGCTTATTCTTGTAGGTGGTGATGGCCGAGGCCAGAATCTTGCCATGGTGAGCGTGCCATCGCAAGAGGCACTGGTACTTTTGAGGCACAGTCCCAGACGACGCATGCTGATATTTGCCGTAGTGTGTTGTGCTGTATTTCTGCTGGATATTAGCAAGATGAACTGGAGGGGACATCGTATGAAACTCACGCTGGCCCAACCATTAGTTGCTGCTGTCCACAAATAACCCCAACCCATCTGAATCGACATGATGTCGCAATCATGCGCCTTGATGACTCTTAACCGTTGAGACGTGTCAAGATCCCACAGCTCGACAACGCCATCCAGCTTGCCAGCGTACAAGAACGAGCTGTCAAGAGCCAGCGACAAGACAGACTCGGCGTTGTCAGAGCCCAGGGTCATGATCTCCTGGATCCCACCTCCATGCTCTTCGTCCTCGCCGGCAGCATGCCCCAAACTCCAAAGCTTGATTGTTCCATCACCAGCACCAGATATCAAAACATCGTCATCAGTTCCGACATCGACGGTGGGGCCCTTGGCCATGATCATGCAGTACACATAACCGTAGTGCGCAAAGTTTCTGACGCAGCCCGAGTGCATTTCGAGAACGGTCCGGGCTTTAGGGATCAAGCCCCATCGGTCATCGTTGCGCCTCGGCGTGCTCGTGCCGCCGGGGGGCTTGGAGTCGAAAAAACGGTGGTTTCGTCGGTCAGGGTGTTGCTGAGACTCGGGGGACACTCGAGCAGTTGGGTCGTTGAGACCAACCCACTGGATAGTGGCGTTCTGCGCACCAATGTAGAGGGTCTCGTGTTGGGGGCTGTACGCGGTGCAGAAGATGTCGCCGACGTCGTAGGAGCCGTAGATCTCGTATAGTCGAGTCAGGGTCTTTGGGTCCCAGACGTTGATGATGGGGTCTCCAGCGCTGGAGAATAGGAGGGAGGCATCGGGGGAGAGGGAGAGCGACAGCACGCTGCGTTTGTGTGCCTGGACACGATGAACCTGGTGAAAGGTGTCGAGAGACCAAGCTGCAATCTCGCCATCCTGTGTACCAGCATAGATCATCTCATGCTGGGGACTGACGGCGAGAGCAAGGACGGTGCTCTCATGGGAGAGGCTATGGATGAGGTCGGGTCGGGTCGCGGGGTCTTCGGCAACTTCGAGGGTAGAGAGGATCGGAGACGAAGGGGCGGGCGACATGGTCGGCGAAACCGTCCGGGAAGGCATCTTGTGGGCGCCTAGGCGGTGTCAGTTCTATAGCCAAGGTGGGAGCATATTCAGGTGATGAAGATTGAGGGGCAGAGGGAATGCAGGGCCAGCAGAGGATCGTTTTGGGTAGAAGAGGATGAATTCGCAATACAAAGCACATACGTGAGCCGACGCCGTAACTATAAAGACTGAACCGTGGTGATGAAGCTGTGGGTAGATAGATGCTTGGTGTTGTAGAGTCAAGCTAGGAAAGGGCCTGTCACTACGCCGAGGCCGGGGAACCACCAAATTGGAGCTATGACGCGATTGCGCGATGCCAGGGTCTTTTCTTCCGGCGGAAAAAAGTCAGGGGATTAGGCGAAAAACATCCAATGAGTCTAGAACAATGAAAAGGACAGAAAGCTTAAGCGATCGGGCGCATTGTGCAACTTTTGGCTGAATGTTCGCAATTCAAGGGGGGAGTGTCCAAGTGTTGAGCATGTCTCAATTGCCGCCACAGCCTTGTGCAAAAAACGGGCGCTGATTGGCTAACGGTCGGGCTAAGCCATGTGAGTGCCAGCCTTGCTGGTTCACCAGCCACCTTGCATGTGGCACTAGCCATCTGGGGAATTGTTGACTCTAATCGTTCAACTCAACACATTAACGTAGCAGACGCTGAGATAATGTAAATGGAATCGGTGAACTAGGTTTGAAACCGTGCGCTGATTTTGGAACGAGACCATTGTCTTCATCCCAGGACACGGCACTTGACCCTGACCAGACCAGCTTGAGATTGGTAGAGACGCATACACTTGTACACAAGGAGCGTATACCTGAGCCTGCTTGATATATAAAGATGACTAGACATATGCAACTTACTGCCATTTTCTGGGACGGTGACGCCGTTCTCATCCCCCTTCTTCTCATCCTCCAAGATCTTGGCGCATCCCCGACAGCCGCCCGGCTCGGAGGAATCGGGACTCATTGAACAAGAAGGTAAAGATACGGTAAAATCCAAGTTTGTAAGAGGAAAAAGAAGATGGAGTAAATGGAGAAGAAGAATGAAGAAGATGAGAAAAAGGAGTGAGACAAGGAAAGCCGTGGCACGGGATATGATGTGCTGGCCTCGCCGCCCGCTACCTCGCTGTGTCTTCCCGTCAGCCGGCCAGGGCGTCTACGATTAGGTATGACGAAATTCCCACAGATACCACCTCACGGAGCACAAAAAGGAACAACAACACAGTAAATACAAACCTTGATCAACACTCTACACGTTGCTTTGTGTAGTGCGCCTCACCGATGTTTTAGGGGATGCCCCCTGTCGACATGCCCCTGGCGCACCGCTGAGCCGGTGTAGGGCAAGGGTCCATGCCGGGGTCCGGCACGGCGATATCGGGGCGGCCGGGGCGGGAACGAGAGCCGATGGATCCTCACTCCGTGGGGGAGCATGGGATGGCGTATGCTCTTGCATGTCATCGGGCAGGTTGGGCACATTAAACGGTCGCGTTTCATAGAGTTTGGTGTTTATTCGATGGATGTTTTATTGGTGAGTGCCCACGTGAGTTGAGCATAAACATAGAGCGGCAAATATCTCATTACAGATCGACTAAAATAGTAATATCGTGATAGTAGAAGGTAAGGCTCAAGATCTTTTTTACTTGCTATACTATTATTCTTATTCTACCTTGTTCGTTCACATGAGTGGAATAGGCTAATTAATCCCTCTGTCCTGGTGTCGCGTGCTGTCCAGTCACACATGTCGTGTAAGATGACTCACTGGAAATTGAAACGCTTCATCCCCGTCTCTAGAGAGGCTCTCCTCCGAGGTGGAATTTCCCGATACTTTTGGCTAAGTTACATGTCTTGATAACTCACAGATCGAGATGACACCTTTGCTTGTTCCCTATCTGGGTTGAGCAAGGATGGCATGCCGCCACCGCCCCGAGAGGTCCGCATCACAAACCCAATCAATGCTTCGTGGTAGCTTTCAAGTCCCTTGTTGCACGGAATTTCACTCTGGGTTGACTGGACAGGCGCTTCGCTAACGGTAAAATGGCGGCTATAGATGCTTCTTTGTCGATCTTGACTTTTCACGGGAACAGTGTTAATGATCTCTGCTAGCTGAATAGCTTTATAGAAGAGGTACCTTGCTCCGAACTATTGGCCCTTGACTCTGTTAGATGAAGCGTGTCTTAGAGCGACTGGGAGCATGGGGAGCCTAAGAATGGTGCGAGGTTAAGGAGACGGGCAAGCCGCAAGCCACACACGGACAGCGACGCGAATTAACCAGCCCTTGAAGGTACACCTGCCTATTCCATCAATAGGAAGCGTGAGCCGAAGTCTAAAGACCTTGCCACTGCCTCTATCGGACCTCTTATCGCTAAATCTATACTCTAGTTGCAAAGGCCGTACCTCATCGCCTTGTTTGTCTTGGGGCACGTCTGGACGGGCTTTAAGTCAATTGCTCGCATACGGCCCAGCATCAATAGAGCCTTTCATTGTACCTCTCATCGTCCATGGTCTGCACCAAGGCCGTACAGCCAGATGATGTGAATGAGGCGGAATTTGAATGCTTAGTGCTAAAGGCCAAGGCAGGTTGCAACTGAGAATGTCCAGCGACACCTTGCTGGGCGTTGTGGCATTGATGGGGACGCTGCAGGAGGTGCCCATACTCTATAGTTCTTTCGGAGAAGGTCGTGGTGTTTCCTGTTTCAATACCAGAGACGGGCTGTCAGCGCCTGGAGTCTATGCAACCGTCTTCTCTGTGAGTTGTCTGTATTCTGACCAATTAAAGAGATATCACTTTGTGTTGGTCTCAATGCTGCCTGACGGACGTCGATGGAGATTGACAATGGGGGGCCCTGTGGTGCTGTGCAACGGTGTCTGGATGGAAAGGAGATGGCCCGTCTTCCACTCAAAGATGAGATTGATGTCGACGCTCAAGAACCTCATATTGTAGGGATCGCAAAGCCATAGCCCACCGGCCTGGGGTTACTGGCTATGGCTGTCATCGTCGGGTAGCCTAGCTTGAGGGGCCATTTTCTGCGTCGATGAAGGTTGGCTGTTGTCGTTAGGCGATGTGATCATCTGATACTATCATCTCTATCCTAGTTCCCTAAGTCAGTATTGTTGCCTTCAGCTAAAATGGTCAATGGCATGAGTGGCATTGAACCCGCCATCTCTGTGAGAGCTCTACCATGATGCTTAACTCAGACATTGTCTCCTCCGAGGATGCGGTATCGCTTTTTGTAGACTGTAGTTTTACTTGGAGCTTCAATGGCCTTGACGCCGTCTCTTGTGGACCGGAATGTGACCAAGTGCTCGCTTTACGTCCAGTGGTGCTCATTATAGTTGTCTCATTGGTATTCGAACTAGGCTTGGTTGTATTAGAGCCACTAAAAGATAGTAAAGTATTCATTCGCCATCTCACGTCTGGCATTTCATGACACCCTCCCCCCTACTAAAGTCTCATGCTAGATGCTGTGTGTTCTGGTAGCCTCCTGAGCGGGTTATCTAGCTCTTTAGTATCTGGTCCGCAAACGGAGGTAGAAGAGCTCTCATATGATGTTACAGGATCAGTAGAGACAAATTGGTAATACCAGACAAGCCAAATGAAGCAAGTCAAGCTGAATGCGGCGGTTTACGTTTGTGCATTTTGGTCTTCAATGGCCGCCAGGAATATGGGCAGGAAACCGTCAACACTTGATCGCCCGATGTATCAATGAGGGTAAGGACAGTCTATACTGTATCTTCTCCGCGTAATCCGAGACCGCTGTACCAGCATGGGTAGTCCAAGTTGCCATGACTTTACTAATCCACCAGTAATTCCGGACACTTCCTCAGAATGACCGCTTCAAGGACTCTCCTAGCCCGTTGGAAGTAGAAGTAGAAGTTAAATACACTGGCATTCAAGATGCTTCAAACAACATCTACACCTCTGGCTAACCTGTCAAGCCTCCTCCGTTCAAGGCTGTGATATCGCTCAACTTTATCTTGATAGATCCAGTTGAGATCCTCGAAAAGAACATGGATCGATTCCCAACCGAGAGCACCGAGATCCTGTAGGTGTTTCTCGAAATCGTCCACCGCGAGCGGGCAGATGACTTCTCTACCCATGGGAATAGCCCTCCTCTCGGTGCGCTTGAACCTAGCCTCTAGCTCCTCGCTCTTCCAGTCGTGTAACCACACGCTTGCCAGCGCCTTATCACCATTCCAGGTTTCTGGCTCGTCGAACCATCCAAACACCGGGGGCTGTCCGTAGCAGCGACGACTTGGCCTTCCTGACGCTGGTGTGTGGACAAGCGGCTCTGCCTCCCAGACTGCGTCTTGTGTCTCGGGAGAGAGCGAGAGGGGCCAATACGCGGTCAAGACCTCCGTGTTGGGAGTCGTTGTGCAGCCAAAGTTGTAGTTCTCAAAGATTATAATCTGAGTGTGTTCTTGGGTCGAGTTAATTCCCAGGTTATCCATTAGCTGTTGGTATTCGGGGGAAGCTTTGAACACTTGGTAGACTTTGGGCGAGTCCCAGCCGATACTCAGGATGCAGTCTTGGGGAGACTCTATGATGCGCCCGTAGGAGGGCGTGCGGAGGAATTCACTCCATTTGTAGAGAGGATCAAAGATAAACTCGTCAATAGGGCCGGGTTCTGCTTGGAACTTGGTCCACGTGGAGAATCCAGGCCATTCGGAAGTCCTTTGGGCACACATGGATGGCGGTTGGTGACCAAGATGAGCAGGATGCGCTGTGAGGGGATGAGGTTGGAGAGCTCTGGCAGTGGGCGTATGGAGCCTTTATGCTTGGGTGTGACGACAGCCAACAGCCGTCGAAATGGGATTGGCTGAGGGAGCAACGGATGGATCAGGCTGATCGCTTTCTCATAGGCTGAGAAGACGCCTGCATGACGGACGTGCTACATATATTGATTGCATATATCTAATGTATGTCTATAGCCAAACCATCTAACTCCATTGAACGTGCATCCATCCCTTGACGTTCGTCTCCCAGCTCCCGACGAGCTTTCCTGTGGCCCCCTCTCCCACAACTTCCAATACATCATCGGCATTCTCAAAGACCCATCTCCTCACCGATGGTTCAAAGTCTCTGCCAATGACCTGGCTCTTCAGCTTGTCTACACAGTCTTTGCCCTCCTTGAGAGCGGCTGTTGAGGCAGTGACAAGGTCCTTGATTTTGGCCATGACCTCCTTAGGCAGGTAACTCTTGCCTAAGCGGTCGCGCTCCTTTTCGCGGTCGTTGAAGGAAATGATCCAGTTGGCACTGGCCTTGATTGCGCCGGCCGTGTCGCGGAGGATGGCGAGGGAGTGAAGCGTGCTCAGGGCAGTGACCTGATTCGAAATATTGGATGGATCCGTTATGTCGAGCTTGAGGGTGTCGAGAGCGATGCTGAGAGTGTCCGTAATTTGTGCAAACTCTTCAGGGATAGTCTTTGTTTTGCCGATGCTCGTGACAAAGGGAATAAGCGTGCTCAGAAGGCTAATGACCTCAAAGTAGGTCGCCTCCTGGGGTGTGACATCCTTCTTGGGGCTCTGCAGGAACTTGGTGAACGAGTTGCTTAGCTGGCTCAGCGTTTCGAGCACAAAGATCTGGTCGGGTATCGCGGCTGCCGCTGAAGCCTTGTAAATCGCTGGAGGCTTGTAGCTGAGCACTTCGTGGAATGCCTCGGCGAGAAGCGACAGATGGGCACGACGGTTCTAGAGCTGTTAGCGAGCACTTAGAGGTTTGGACAGTTGAGACGCACCGATAATGCAGGACCAACTCGAAGGCGAGAGTACACAGGCGGTTGAGAGCTGCAATCCCACGAGGGGAAAGACCCATAGTCGATGGTCTCGACAAGTTGGGTATCATCAGTCACTTCGACTAAGCTCTGTTAGCGCTACACCAATAAACAACGTCCGAGAAGACTCACCGAAACGTGGGTCGATAAGAACCTCTGAGAAATTCTCTCCCAGAAGTCTCTCAGTTCTAGTCTCCTCCACCAAGCTCATCGCTCGGGTGCAACTCCATCGTAGATCCTCAATATACTGAGGAATGTCGATAACGCTACTGTAGCTGCCTGACTCAAAGGCATCAATCAACCGCCTGGGCATGCGAAGCTTCAAAGACACGCTAAAGTGAGATTGAAGAAGTTCCATGAGATCCCAACCCCAGTTATCGGATGGGGAAATCAGGGCCGGGGAGAGGGTAGATAGGCGGTCGTAGAAAATGGGGCCGAGGGAGTCCATGATGGTGCGTTTAACACCAAGTGTCTCCCAGATCTCACGCGCTCGCGGCGATGAGCCCGTGAGGAGGTGTAGCTGCACAAGAAGGAGTGAGGTGATTCCATGCTTGGGCGTCAAGGAAAGCTGGTGCTCTAGTAGCAAAACAGCACGGAGAAGTGGTGCAAAAGAGATTGGGGAGTTGGATATCTCTGTTGAGGGAGGGAATGCCAGCTGGATATTGCAGAGAGCGATAATAACCGACAGCTCTGGCTTGATCTCGCCCTCAACGGATGGATGCTTTTCTGTCAGTTCGGCCAACGATTTGTACACTTCCAGCGCATCCTTGGCGATTGTCTTGAAACAAGGCGCTGGTGAGCTGGCGTCAACCTCGACGCCGGTAACCACACATTTCCTCAGAGGTTTCTCTCCAGGCACGTTGGTGTACATGGAAGGACAAGTAGCTGCGAAGTATTGCAACTTGAAAGAAAGGGTTCGTATCCTGGCCGACTTGAGTTCGTCCTCCATCTCGTCTGCCAGCTTGGGAACAAAGTCATAGGCGAGATACGACAAAGCAGGTGGGTTGAGCACCTCAACAAAGGTCTTGATATCGTCGAAACAGGCTGCGTTTATGCCTTGGTCTTTGATGTAGTTGATCAGCTCTTTGAGTCGGAAAGATGCAGGCTCGCCATCGGCAAGATCATCTTTGTCATTTGATGCAAGGTTGAAGGCTGCAGCGACACGCGCCAACAAGATGATCCGCTTGTAGATGGGGCGCAAATTGGGTGATTTGATAAACTTCAAAAGGAGTTTCTGAACAGTCTCCTCAATGCTAGGGCGAGTCAGTGAAAGATGGGCATGGAGGGAATGGCTGACCTACTCTGGTTTCACAGTCTTTACCTGTGCAGCCGCATCAATAAAGTGTTTCCAGACCTTCCAATCCGCTCCCAAAAGGTTCGGTTGACCATTTTCGTCCTCTGTCGACAAGCAATCCTTGCATGTTTGGTAAATGGCTTCATGGTCTCCTTGGCGCTGGTGTTTCGAAATGACTCTCAAGAAGAGCTCCTTTCGGCCCTTTCGGAATTGTACAAGTGGACAAAAGACAGGGCTGGAAACAAGCTTCTCAAAATCTCCTTCTGAGCCATGTTTCTCTACAATGTCATAAAGTAGCAAGATCTCCTCCTCTGTTTGCACACTTCGCGGTTGAGGCTTGGCATCGTCCCCCTCAGCGCTTGCGGCCTGTACGTGTTAGTGCTGGACCTGTTGGCGCAAGTAGGGCAAATACCTGTTCGGATAGCTGTGCAGCACGCTGGATCTGTTTCAACGCGAGCATACCGTATAGCTTCTTCTTCTCGGGTGGCGATTGAGGACTAGTCTTGACGGATGTCAGCTCACGACAGGCAGAGGTGCACGAGGGGCATTACCGCCAACAGATGTGTAATGACAATGTTCCAAAACATGAATGTCCGATCCTGGGGGAAAGATCTGTCGAGGATAGCCGCAATCTGGTACCAGGTCAGCCTCTGGGTCAGCCGACGATGGGCTTTGTCATACCTGTTGGGCACTGATCAAGTCCCAATGCAGCAAACAAGACTCCAAGCACCGGCTGGCGCCAACCCTATCCTTGGGCGAAGCCTTGACGAGGCGTGCCCTCAAAGGACCCAAAGTCTGAGAGAACTCATCCTCGGTCGTCAGGCCCTGCGTTGCCCATTCAAGGAGATCAATGCCGTCCACGTCCTTCACAACGGTCCCTTCCTTGACGAACTTATCGATGGCCGTCACGGCAGCAAACTTGGCACTGGGGTCATCGAGCTGGCTTTCAGCACATATTTTGACAATCTATCCATACTTAGTCTCCTTCAATACCGACGGGGAACCCGAACTGCGCACCTCATAATACTGATCATTAAACGTTCGAGCTCGCTTCTCAGCCAGGCGGATCACGACAGCCCAGTTGCCATCGTTAAAGGCGGACTGGAGCTGGAGATCGACGCCGTTTTTGAGGACCGGCCGCTGTTGGCGATTCATGAGTGCGCCAAGCTTCACGCCCTTTTCCACACGCTCAGATTGGCCTAACGAGGGTGAAAATGAGTCCAGGGACAAGCGTGAGATTGTCGAGAGCTTTGGAGGGGCACAAATTGAACTTGAGAGAGCGTGGGGCAGAGGGGAAGCAGCGGTGTGGCGGTGCGGATGTGGTGTGTGTGGCTGGTGGGAGAGATACCCGCCGCCCCACCTCCTTTGGTCATCACATGACCACCATGACCCCGAGTTCGGTCTTGAACTGATGGCAAGCCCCTGTAACTCAGCCAAATCCCACCAGCAAAGAGTTCTGATGACGCTCCATCCAAATCCTAGTTTTCATGAGAAGTCAAGGATTACATGCCAGTCGAATCCGGACACTGAGGCCACCACAGTCGTCAAGAAACCGAGCCACCTCAATGTGACCCGATGGAACCCCTTTGACCGACGGTACTGACCACGAGCAGGGCGGCCATCCTGATTCGCAAAAGGGGAGAATAGAACCCTGGTATGATCAAACAAGGCCATCTCATCGAGCTCTATGAGGTCATCGTGAACGTCGGCTCGGGCTGCTTAGAAAAGCCTCCGAGGCACTTTGTTTGTTCGGGGGGCACAACCTCCGAATGACTCCCTCAACAGAGTTTGCCACCGAGGTTCATGAAAAAAACTGAGTACAAACTTGCGGCTCTGCTCTGCCCTATGAACGTCTCTTGACACACATGCCGAGGGCTCCACGTTACCTGCTCCCATCACATGGCACGCTGGTATGACGGAGCGGTGGACATGACATCGTATTGGGTCAGCAAATAGGGCTGAAAACCGAATCTTCTCTCTTTCGGGGACGCGTCAGACCAGGCCGAGGGAAGAATGTGAGACATCGGAGCTTCTAGTCCTGGGCTGTCCGAGCCACTCGGGGTTTACAACCAACCTAGGTCCGAACGATACGAGCAGCCTTCTCGGCCTCAAGAACAAAGGGGCACTGCAGATTTGCCAAACACGAGCCGCTATGAAGGAACGCAATGGTAGGCAGCATCAGCATTCCGCAGCAAGTTACAGCCATGAATTGTCTTTATCGACAGCAGCCATTGTTCACAATGTCCCTAACGAGGTTTTACACTCGTCATAATTGGCCTGCCGAGGACTTGAACCGTCGGTGTGCTTAACATCCAGGCACTATTCCCCTCGAGACACCTCAAGGTAACCTGAGAGGGTCACGTGCATATATCCTGTTCAACATCGTCCGGGAAGGACAGAGGGCGGCTGCGCCATCCAGCCTCAACCTGTACCACGACCAAGAGCCTCATTTTCAATCATTCGTTTACAGAGGACAATGGTTGGGGCCTGTGTGTGCTTGTCTGGTAAGCCAACAGGTATAAAGAATCGCCAACCGGACCATAGAGGGCATCAAACACTCACAACTCGACTTTGAACAGAACACCACTGCATTCAACTTGATACTCTCGCTTCTTCTCTATTCCCAGATTGCCTTTGAACAAGAGTCTCGGCCCTCTATGGCGATGTCACGGTCAGTGTCACCTGCGACTGCTGTCACAGAGCAACAGACACCGCCAGACCCAACCGACGCTTCTTCAACAGCCACAGCCCAGCATGAAAGTACTGAAGATGTAATCCTGACAGACGCCCACAATCCATCAGTCCGGATTGACGGGGACGAGCCTCAAGAACAAGCCGAGTCCCCGTCGGAGCTAGCTACCCCTCTTAAGAAGCACGTCCTATACTCCATCATCATCATCGCCATCGCCGGCCTCTTCGCTCTCTCTGCCGCCTGCTGGCTGGTTGCGTTCATCCAAACCAAGGCCGACGGAGGCTATATAAAAGCTATCCGTATCGGCGGAAACGTCAGCTCGACGTGGGCTAAACTGATCGATGCCGCCGTTTCCATGCTGGTGGCTCCCGCCATACTCGCAATTGCCAACTGGCACATGTTCAAGCTCGCTCGTCTCTCTGCGGTAAATGAGCACGACAAAAGAGACTCGAAAGCAAGCCTCAACGTTCTTGTGGAAGTTGCCGGCACAGACTGGGGATCGACCAGCCCACTCAAGTTCTGGACGTTTCTTCAATCACAAAAGCCCTGCATCATTTGTTTGGGCGTCATCTCCATCCTTTCATCTTTGAGCTTCTCTCTTCTAAGCAACGTCACCGCGTACGAGGAAGCCGGAAGCGTAAATACGACAACGACTCTCGAAGTCATGCAGGGGATGCAAGATTTCTTCAGGCAACCTCTGCCCCTGAAAATCAACGACAGCGAGCGCTTGCAGATTCTCAATGACCTTGAGAACCAGCTTCAACTTCTGCAAGCAACCGACCTAAATTCAAGATCCGAAGGCTTCCTTGGCGTCAACATCTCGAGCCGAGCACGCCGAGAGATGCGCCCGACCATCGAGCAGCTATTCAACGTACCTGCCTACAAGATTCTGGCATCATGCGAGCCATCCAGCCTCTCAGCAGTGTCAATTGGTTCTCCAGACAAGAACGATTCGCACGTCAGGTTTAACCTTGAGGAAGCTGCCACATCCTCTGAGTCTGGGCCTACACAATTTCGAGCAGACTTTGGCATAGTCGAGGAACTTCTTGCAAGACAAGGGATAGAAGCTGCGAGAAAAAATGGTTCATCAGTCAGGTACCCCCTCATCGCATTCAGCGGAACAGCGACTTGGATCGGAGGATTCAGTTATACTGAGAACGAGACTGTCGACTTGACGGAAACAACGGGATACGGCAGCGTAGTCCCATTCCGAGCGAAAGGGGTCGTCCGCAGCCCCTCTTGCGCTGGAGAGAGGGAGTCTATGAGCGAGAGCTACGACTTGACTTTCTGGGGCGTAGTCTGTAGTCTCAAAAGATGGTCTGGAACGGCGACGGCCAATCTCACCGGAACGACCTTGTCACTGACCCAATTCAAACTAGATGGCGAGAAGACTGAACCCCAAGACGAAACACCAATACTTTTCCTAGGACAAAAGTTTGATACGTTCGAGAGTGGTCGTGTAGGAAGATCGCCAGGCATTGGCGGTTACCTCTTACGAGCAGCTCATAGGGCATACCAGGAGGCGGGCTTATCTACCTGGGATATCGAAACACTTGTTGACGCATTTGTCTGGTACGAGGCGGCAGCGAGGGAAGCAATCCAAGGCGACAAGAGCGATGCCAAGATCGAGGGCCTCGTCTCCCAGGTCGAGGTTTTGGAGAAGAAGCCGGATACATATACCATGACCTTTGTCCCATGGATGCTCCTCTTCGGCCTTGTCGCCTTAGGCGTCGCCTGCGCCTTAACAGTTGCTCTATCGCTCGACTCGCTGGGAGTGCCGTCTTTCAGGAGCGGGAGGGTTCTGGACGCGGTGAGGTTGACGGCTGACCTGGGAAGGACGCTGGGTAGGACTGCTTTCGAAGAGACTTACTGGATGAGCCGTCAGGAGCTGAACGAATGTGCTGAAGGTGCCAAGTTCAAGTATGAGCCCGACAAACGCCTGGATAAGAACCGAGAGTCGTACGTGATGGGGGTTCGTCTGCGACTAGTGTCTGTCAGACAAGGTGGCGAAAGGTAGGTTTCGCATGGTTGCACAGGGTTGGCATCTTGACCTTGTATGTATGACGGGGATGGATGTAGTATCACCAGGTTATCCTAATTCGTCGATGTTCTCAAACGTGCTATCTACATGAACAGACTCGTAGACAAGGTTAGACACAGCTACGTCCGACACGGCGCGACGGACAAGGAGAGAATGCGACATGTTGTCATGGATACACGGCAGGAACACTTGCCAGCTGCACCTAATTTCAGCTACGCTGTATTCAGTTGAGTGCCTTGCCGTTCTCGGTGGCTGCGCTTCCTGCAGCTCTCAGCCAACCACGCGAGGTTCTGGGACTTGGAGGATAAGACGAGGCTCTCCCCTCCCGTCGCAAATGCGAGTCATTTGTCTCTTCAATGACGAGAAGATTCTTAGTACTGCCTCCATATTCTTCAACTTCGTCGCGAAGAAGAAATGGTATCGCAAGAGATGACGGGTTACGACAGGCCAGTGTCACCGCTGTCCGTCGACGAGCCGGCATCACCACCTCCAACAGTAGCCAACGAGGCAAAGACACAAGCGACATCCACGGATAGCCTGTTGCCCAAGGATGCCGTGGACGGAGAGGGAGAACAGGCTGAGATGCAGACCTATCGCCGGACCAGCAAGACCGTCCTCGCCGACATCGTCGTGGTCTCTGCCATCGCCTCAGTCGCCATGTGCGTCTCTTTCAGCCTCATCCTCCATATAAAGCTCAACACCCGAAAAGGATTTACACAGTCTGAGCCCATCGGGGGTCGTACAGCCCCCTCAAGCACTGGACCTTTGTGCGGACGCGTGATCCCCGACTGATCTGCCTCGCTACCGTGGCTCTCCTTTCTGCCTTGAGCTTTTCGTTCCTAACAAATGTCACGGCGTACGAGGCTATTGGATTCAACATCGTCAACGTGACACAAAAAGTCGAGACGCTATATGGGCCGGAGGATGATGAACCTGCAACAGTGATTTCAGACATCCTCAAGTCTACCCGAGACATCGAACTCTCAGCACAGCTCACCAGCAGCCTGCACAGTATCCCCCCCGAAATTGGAACTACAAACACCAGTCATCAAGCCGTCCTCAATGTGTCGAGCCAGTCTCTGTCCAATATATCAAAGTCGACGAAGAGACTCTTCAATGTGCCCGCATATCGGCTTGCAGCGTCCTGCAAGCCCGCTGATATACGAGGTTTCCATGTCCGGTTCGATTCAACCGAGGAGAACTATGCCGAGTATCATCTACAGATTCAGATGGTGTCAAACTTGACCGAATTTAAAGGCTCGGGCAGCAACATGGCCCCTTCACTCAAGGGGAAGTCAACCCCTGGACTACCGCGCCCTCTTGTAGCCTTTAAGGACGAAAAGATCTGGATCGGGTGGATCTACTACACCGAAGAAAAAGGCATCGTGAATTATGACACGGACTACGGGCCATTGTACACCTACCGCTACTCTCCTGAGAAGGACAACCAAGTTTTGGACTGGACGATATTCGGAGTGACTTGCCAGCTAAGCACAACCATGGGCACGGCAACAGTCAACTGCAAGGATAGGTCCGTCTCAGAGGTCCATCTTGACGAACGAACTCGCAGATTCGAGGAGCGTCGTCCTCTACTAGACAGCCTTCAAAACAAGTGGGAGATCGCGTCACCAGCTTTATACAAAACGCCCGGTCTAGGCGGGCACCTTGCTGATGCCGTTTTCGCTCCAGGATCTGACTTCCAGATGTCAAATATCCATTACATCGTCAAGGCCTTTGCGTGGCTCGAGGCCAAGATGAGGGACGTGGCGTACAACATGGCGGAGAGGGACAGCGGCAGGAACATGGAAGTTGAAGTCATGGCTGAGGGGAACGGCGAGCAACTGTACACCATGACTTTTGTCCCCTGGATCCTGCTAACGGGCCTCTTGGCTCTTGGCACAGCGGGTCTACTAGCCATCGGACTGGCACTCGATTTCCTGCGTACGCCGTCACTGCGCAGCGGAAGAATGCTGAGCCCGGTTCGACTGATGATGGACGTGGGTGCTGTGCTGGACAAAGACGTCTTTGAGCAGGCCTTGACGTGGGACGGGATGAGCTAGACGCTTGGGTTGAGACTGTGGAGCTTCAGTACGAACCCGCAGGAGAGCACGGAGAAGCCAGTGTGACGGAGGATGGCGATCATAGTTGCTGTATGAGACTGCGGCACATCCGTCAATCCAAGGCTGAGGATTGAAGCCTCTCAATTGGGTCTTGTTGTGGCATTCGATCTCTCTCGGCTTGGAACTCTTTTGCCCAAATGTAATCTATCCGCCATATATGATTATCGTACAATGTTTGTAGTGTTTCCTTTCATAAAATACAGTTCTCGGGGTCGAGCATTCGATCGTTCAGCGCGTATCCGTCTCGTCTCGAGTCGATCGTCCTAGAACCAGCCGCCGCCCTCCTTCCTCCGTTTATCAGTCTGCAGCAAACGTCAGTGGCCATTCAAGCTCGATATCACCAACCAGTCGGCGTCAATTGATTCAAACGTACCCATGCTTGCTTGCAGTCGCGATACGCCCTGTAAAGCCGTCAGCTCATTGATCCCCCCAGCCACGATTCGACATACTGGAAGTACTCCCCACACATGGACTTGTCCCCTCCGTTTCTAAACAAGCACCGATAGCTCCTCTGCGCAGCCTCCTGGCACGGATCGTAGTACTCGCTCTTCGATTTCCTGTCCACGTTCAGCTGGTCAGCTCTCGTCGGGTGGCAGCGCGGCGATCGCTCACGTCTCAAACTTGCGGCGCTTATCGTCGCTCCAAGCATCCGATCCGTTCTCGGTCGGCTTGGGAGCCTCGGCGGTCTCCTGTTTGGTGTCTTGCGGCGTTGAGGACATGGCGATGACGTTTTTTGGAGGCGATGGAGCTGGGATGTTGCGGCCGCACGGCCGTCAAAGAAAATAGTGGGGGTGGATCAGTGGTGCCAATCTCCTGATAGCTGTGCTAATCCTGGCTATTGGCACCATTCTTGCACCAAGATACCATGTGCCAAACTGTTGAGAGCATGATTCCACCACTTTTGCATCTATCTGCTTTCAGCTGGGACCTTTGCTATTTCTAGAGCAATTTCTGGCTTGAGAGGCTCAGTTTCAGTCCATTAAGAGGAGGTCATAAGCGAGTGGCACTCGGCATTCACCCATTACAATCCCCGGCGCCGTACAAGAATTATCCACCCTAATAGTGCAATAACTAGGACGTCGAGGAAGAGGCAATCGGATTTAAACTATACACGTAGGCAAAGACAGTATTAGTTCTCGAGCTCCCACATAGTCAACTGTCTGCGACATGCCTTCACTCGACACACCTGGGAGCCGAGAATCTAGCCCTTGCCTCTGTTCTTCTCGTGCGGTTCAAGACTGGCAGCACACAAACCAGAGAGTCAGAGATTCTCAGTCGAGATCAGTCTAGCAGAAGCAGTTCAGTTGCGTCTTCGAGAGTGTCGAATGGTGCTATGTCCGAATGCCTGCCCAGAGACAGCCAAGGAAAGGGACCAAGAAGGCAGACTAAGCAGCGATGCATGAAGAACAAGCCAGGACCTAGACTCCAAGGGCGAAAAAAGAGGCCGCTTCAGGTCCCAGGAGGTCTTAGTAGAAGAGAGCAGAGAGGAATAGCCGTGGCGTGCTACCAGTCAAACTCGGGGTTGCAATATACACTGTTCGACATGACGGGGGACACTCTCAGAAGCGGTACTTTAGTTTTGGCAGGGTGAACAATGGCTACCGCCTCTCTCTGTCCAGCGCTCATCTGGAGTATCTGTTCGCACGGAGCAACTGCTCAAGCGAGAGGCGGTCATTGAGTAATTAGACCTAGTGTCTAGGATGATCTGCGAACCGCATTCTCAGCCGTGGGGAGGGATCCCGCAGCTTGCAAGGGAATTGGATCTCGGAAGAGTTGAAGGGAGTTTCTATGTCGATGGGTCGAGCATGGGGGAACACAATAAGCCTGAAGCGCTTGAACAACTGCTGTCCTCTGGACTGTAGCAGCGTGGATATTGACCGGTACGGATACGAGAGCTCCTTGCTCGTCGTCCTCTCAACCCTGGCAGCGATAGGCCTAGCAGACGCCATTTCCGCAACACCGTGTAGAGTATGTCATTTCTCGGTCAGATCTCACTAAGCATTTCGATGCTTTCCTTCCTTCGTCAATCCTCGACGCAGTGGCTCAGCGTCTTGGGCCTCCCATCACCACGGCCGTGTCGATAAAGAAGAGGCCAGGATCTTCTCACAGCTACTAGAAGATACGTCGATCGATCGATGAGAAACATTAGTTGAATCGGCTTCCAGATGCCATCTTTATCCACCCAAATTGAGTAAGCAATCGTAACGACAGCCGGGCAAAACAACGAGTCTCCTCCTGGTACTGGCCCCGGAGCATATGGAGCGTGGTCACTTGATGCTGGCCGAGCTTTCTCGTCGCCAATCTCGCAAATACGGGCAACTTTCCTTGGATGATGCTTTCCAATAAGCTTCCATTTCACAGGGATGAGATCCATCGCACGTAGGGCGAGTTGGCTGATTCAGGCGTGTCGTACGGTCCACAAAGCGACACCCACGTCCAGACACGAGTTGGAAAGGTGCAGCGATATCATCGCTCGGGGATCTCTTGCCTCGTTTCTGGTCAACCAGCTCGTCGTGGGGGGAGATGAAGCAGTAAGTACAGACCACGGGCATAGAGCCCAAGACTGCGACGGAGAACGTGGTCCCAATGAACCTTGAAAGCCGACACACCGCGTGTACCATCAGCGCCCCGTAGCAAGAACTTTGTGACATGCTTGAATGGAACTCTTCTGGAGACGTCGCCATCCTCGGGCTTCGTCAGTTTCCAGCAAACAGCCCGGTCAGCACGCGGCCAGGTTAGGCGCAGGCAACCGGCAACGAAGTAACCAAGCATATGCGAGATCGTCGCAAGGCGCTGCACGTCAAACTGAGCCCCTTTTGTCATTCTTCTTTTGTCCATTTACGGTGACAATCAATCCCCAGTAAAGCATGTCCTTGAAGGCAGCACGCATACGTGTGATGGTAGGCCAAGGTGGCAGACCTGCATCTGACGGGCTGCCCTGACAACACGATCACGATGAGATGGAAGCTGCCCGCCATTGGACAAGGCGCGCAGAGCAATTCAAAATACTATGAGCGACACAAGCAAGCATGGAGAGCAAATGAACAGTGAGAGAAGGGACGTATCCCATGTGATGTGATTGATGATGACCTTGTAGGTGTTCAACTCCAGATAATCCCCAGCACAATGCTCCGCTTCATCTCAAAGTCCCAGACAAACATTTTCCAACCCATGTACATATATCCATAAACCAAATCATTTCCCAGTTCCATATCCTTCACAAATTGTACAAAGACCAAGTTTCTTCTTCCCCGCCCCAAGTCTTGAAGTGCAGCCAGCCCGCGATCGGTTGTGTGTGTGTGTGTGTGTGTGTGTGTGTGTTTGTTCGATCGGTGTTTTCGCAATCGGTTGTGTGTCTTCGGTCGATCGGTAGGTAGGCAGGAGGAGCTGTCACTGTGATTGTTTGTGGGTTCTCGGGCTGGTCAGCAATTGGTATCAAGGTCAGAAAAGGGAAAACTCACTCTCTTGGGGCAGGGAATCAGCTGGTTTGCCATCGCCCACCTGAGACTCCTGAAGCTGCTGGCTGTGTCGACTGAAACCATGACCAAAGAACTGCTTTGAGGAGGTTCCGCGAGGTGAATAGGCCTTACCACGCTATATAGAGGCCGATCGCACACGCAGTTAAGGCCAGCCAAGATAGGGAACGATTTTACTGCCATCCAAGCTTACTGGCCAAAAAGCAGTTCTCTCGCCAAGGCTTCTGTCGACACAATCAGCAGGCAGGCAGGTCAGGTGGACTTACTGTGATGGCAAACAGGTGGGAGTTGTTGTTTCGGATGATGCGACAAAGGCATCGCCCACCAGAGGACGACTGCAGGCTTGTGTCGGTAGAAGCGATCGGGAAGCTGCGAGGAAGGTTCCGCAAGGTGATAGGCCTTACCACGCTATATAGAGGCCAATCGCACACGCAGTTTAGGCCAGCCAAGATAGGGAACGATTTTACTGCCATCCAAGCTTACTGACCCAAGCAGCTTCCCGGGCTTCTATCGACACAATTAGCAAGCAGGTCAACTGGTGGACTCACAATGATGGCAGGCGTGTGGAGGACGTGTGTTGTTGGCTGTTGTTGTTTGGAGGACGCGACAAGTGTCGCGAGGCTAGAGAAGGTCAGCATGGCAAAAAAGAGCAGTCGAGGGGCGATCATACTTGAATGAGAGCCTGCCATCAAGTGAGAGTGTCAAGTGATTGGAGACATGTTGAGCGAAGTGCGATCAAAAGTCGGGTACTGGAAAAGAGGTCAAAAGGTCAGTTCGCGATGAGTCAGACCTGCACAAGTGAGCTTACCGGGTTGTTTGTTTGAAGTGATCATCTCTGCCTCGACAAGAGCGCAGAAGATGAGAGGCGCGTCATGTTGTGGTGGTGGTGGTAGAAGTGGTAGAGGTGGAGGTGGAGGTAGAGGTGGTGGAGGCAGAGAGTCGGAGTTGTTTTGGGAGGAAGGCAGGTGAAGATGCCTTTGTTGATTGAAGAGGAAAGAGATCTTCGAGGAGATGGTTGTTTGTTTGAAGAGAAGAAGAGAAGAAGAAGTTGTTGAAGAGCCAGGATGTTGAGGCTGCTGGATGATGAGGAGGGGAAGAAGAGAGGAAGGAGGGGAAGAGAGGAGGGGTTTAAATAAGTGTGAGTGGGTCCAGGCTGATCTGACAGCTGATCTGCAGGAACCGCTGGTCCCTGCGCGCGCGCGCCCGAATAAAAAAATCGGGCGCAGGGGTGCCGGCATTTTTTTTGGTGGGGCACGCCTATTTTTTGGACGCGTTTTTGGAGGGGACGCGTTTTTTTGGTGCGCGCCCCACCCATTTTTGGAAAATCAGGCGAGCACATTTTTTTTTCCGCGGGCAGATTGCCGACGGGACGCAGGGGACTCCTGGTCGCGTGCCCGCCGTCGCACCCCTCGTGGATCTGGCTGATCTGCCCGGTCTCACCGCCCGCCCGTCGACTGGGTGCCTCTCCCACGTCGCACGTCAAAGGTGAACAGGGCATCACAGATGGCAGTTGGAATTCTGAGCTGGCAAGGACGCATGGTAGATTTAACTAAGTAGCGTGAGGCAGACAGTCCTAGAATTACATTTATTTCTACGTGCATTGCCTTTATGACTTCGCCTTCGATGCCTCGCGGCCCTGCTTGGCCGCTGGCGAAGTGAGACAGCCGACGAGAGGAGACTGCCGCTGCGGCGGCTGGCCGTTTAACGCTCCCGCGCCAAGGTGAGGTGGGGTTGCCCAGCGATTTTCAGCGGCCACGCGTCACGCGCCCAACAGGGTCGCGTCGTCCACGGCTGTGTTTGCCGAGAAGCGGCAACGCGCGCGAGTCACTGGGGCAGCCACGAAATTGGCCAAGCGTTTTGCAGCGCAAATCTGCTGGAGCGCGACAGACTTTGGGGAGAAATGCACGAAGCAAGGCTTGACATAGCTTAGAGAACTGGCCTTTGCGGCTGCTGTACGTAGAAGACCCTGTGGGGGATTGGATTCATAACGTGAACGGGGTTCGGCAGTTGTGAGACATGGAGCCTGGGGGGCGTGCTAGGTTAGCTTCCGCGTCTCCAGGGTCCATCGTGATCCCGGAAGTCTCACGCCTTGTGGAGTGGTAGTGAACCTTGTCTGGGACGATGTAAGACAATTGGACAGCGTGCCACATGGACTGATGTTAAATCTGATACTCTACGTTTTGATATGACCTCTTTTCTCGTGTGTTGAACGGGCAGTCAGATGCGAGACGATCAGGGATCTTGTTTTGCCGGGCTCTTTCTCCCCCAGTGACAGCTTCACGTACTAATCTCAAACGTCCTCCACCCCTTTTGCAGCTCAATTCTGTCAAATTTTATTTTCCCCATTTATCACAACATGGCAAGCATTTCATTCTTCAATTAAGGCCGTAATCTCGCTACAGCTTCCTCAAACTGTCTGGGCATTTCTGGCTCTAGGGTATGGGGCATCGCAGCGTGGCGGACGCTCCAGCACAAGGCACGTGATTGTCACGCTGTCGAGGAAACCAATGAACAGAGACGGACGTACTGCCAGCCAGTGGGAATCAAGCAGTATGGGAAGAAAAGAACTGGGATTGATGGAACATAGGAGCTTTTATCTCCGCCCTTAATTTATTCAGGTATTCCTCGCCCTGCCTCGATGCGCTTGTTGAGCCTCTACTTGATGCTCGTTCAAATACTCAAATCACACCGTGTTCCACCAAAGACCCGAACCCAAAAGATGCCAACGCAGACCGCGCTCAGTTGGAAAGAATATCAATTTGAAAGGCAGAAGAGAACATTAAATATTAAACCAATCTCGACTTCAAAGTATGCCCCCATGGCCCAGAAAATATAAGAAAGCAGGCAAGGGAGTGACAAGCTCGTAAACCCTCCACCTATTACCCCAAGCCTCAACCCCGGAACGAATATTAAATAAGGCTTTGGCACTGTCCACTATTGCAACGACATGTGACGCCTGGAATGAGACAGCTGCAGTCCTGATCAACGGTGCATTGCGGTGCCGGCGTACTTCCTCCGAAACCGCAAATGCCATTGACACAGACACACAAGCCTGGAAGAATGCAAACATCGAGTTGCGCGACACACGACGCAGCTCCCGTGCAACCGACCTGATCAACACATACTCCTTGCTGGCATAGTGCGCCAGCGCTGCACTGGTCGTTCGTAGTGCAAGTCTGAACGTTGGGGTTCGGTGCACAGACCGCGTCGACACAAACACACAGCCCAAGGACGCAAAGAGGATTGACTGAAAGAACGCAGTCATTTGCATCGATACACGGATCACCCCCTCCCGGTGTAGGAGTGCTGCAGACCCCATTGTCGCACGTTTCCCCACTATTGCAATCAGAATCGACGTTGCATGACTGTGGTGGAGGAGGATCAACGCAGGTGCCTGACTCGCAGACCTGACCTCCCGAGCAGTCAGAATCGAGGGTACACTGTCCTCCTGGAGTGGGAACACTGCAAACCCCGTTGACGCAGGTTTCCCCTTGGCCAGTACAATCGGAATCAACAGCGCACGATGGAGGATCGACGCATGTATTTGATTCACAGACCTGACCACCTGAGCAGTCACCATCGACGGTACACTGCCCTCCTGGCGTGGGGACGGTGCAGACTCCATTGACACATGTTTCTCCTTGCCCAGTACAATCAGAATCAACAGCGCATGATGGAGGATCGACGCAGGTATTTGATTCACAGACCTGGCCACCTGAACAGTCACCATCAACGGTACACTGTCCGCCTGGAGTGGTAACGGTGCAGACTCCGCTGACGCAGGTCTCCCCTTGGCCAGTACAATCGGCATCAACGGCGCATTGTGGCCCAGTGGGAACGGTACAGACCCCGTTGACACAGGTTTCCCCTTGCCCTGTACAATCGGAGTCAACAGCGCATGATGCAGGATCGACACATGTATTCGATTCGCAGATCTGGCCGCCTGAGCAATCGGCATTGACGGTGCATTGCGGACCAGTGGAAACAGTGCAAACCCCGTTGACGCAGGTTTCCCCTGGGTTGGTGCAATCGGCATCGGCGGTGCATTGTGGACCAGTGGAAACGGTACAGACTCCGTTGACGCAGGTTTCCCCTGGGTTCGTGCAGTCAGAATCAACCGCGCACGACGGAGGATCGACACATGTATTCGATTCGCAGACCTGACCTCCTGAGCAATCGGCATCAACGCTGCATTGTGGCCCGGTGGGAACAGTGCAAACCCCGCTAACGCAGGTCTCCCCCGGGTTCGTGCAGTCAGAATCAACAGCGCACGATGGAGGAACGGTGCAGACTCCATTGACGCAGGTTTCTCCTTGGCCGGTACAGTCAGAATCGACGTTGCATGACTGTGCTGGTGGATCGACGCATGTCCCCGATTCGCAAATCTGACCTCCTGAGCAATCCGCATCGAGACTGCACTGTGGCCCAGTGGAAACGGTACAGACCCCGTTGACGCAGGTTTCCCCTGGGTTGGTGCAGTCCGAATCGACGTTGCACTGTCCTCCTGGCGTGGGAACACTACAGACCCCTTGATCGCAGACTTCTCCTTGCCCGGTACAATCAGCGTTCGTCGAGCATGACTGCTGGGCTGGAGGGTCAACGCATAGATTCGACTCGCAAATCTGACCTCCCGAACAATCAGCATTTGTAGTGCATGCTTGTTGGACTGGAGGATCGACACAAATGTTCGATTCACAGATTCGTCCTCCCGTGCAGTCGGCGTTTGTCGTGCATGACTGTTGTGCTGGAGGATCAACGCATACATTCGAGTCACATATCTGACCTCCGGAGCATTCAGCATTTGTAGTGCATGACTGTTGCGCAGGCGGGTCAACACATAGATTCGACTCGCAAATCTGTCCTCCAGAGCAATCGGCATTCGTCGTGCATGCTTGCTGTGCTGGAGGGTCGACGCAAATACTCGATTCGCAGATCTGGCCTCCCGTACAGTCGGAATCTGTAGTGCATGATGCGGGCTGAGCCGCCTCTTGACACAAAAGATTAACGCAAACACAGAGTCCCAGAGCACAAGCTGGGTTGACATCCAACAAGCAGTCAGAGTCTGTACTGCATGGAGATTGCGGTGGCGGATCAACGCAGACGTTTGAGTCGCAGATCTGCCCCCCAGTGCAATCCCCATCTGTCGTGCATGCTTGTTGTGCTGGAGGATCAACGCAAATACTCGATTCGCAGATCTGGCCTCCCGTACAGTCGGAATCTGTAGTGCATGATGCGGGCTGAGTCGTCTCTTGACACAAAAGATTGACGCAAATGCACAGTCCCGAAACACAAGCCTGAACATCAGTGTTCAGCAGACAGTCTGCGTTTGTATTGCATGGAAATTGCGATGGCGGATCAGTGCATATGTTTGAGTCGCAAATCTGGCCCCCTGTACAATCGGAATCTGCTATGCAAGATTGTGCTGGCGGATCAACGCATATGTTGGATTCGCAGACCTGGCCACCTGAGCAGTCAGAATCCACCTCGCATGCCGTGGGCTGGGTGGTCGTCTCCTGGCATAAAAGGTTGACGCAAATGCAGAGTCCCGCAGCGCAAGCCTGAACATCAGTGTTCAGTAGACAGTCAGAGTCTGTAGAGCATGGGAACTGTGATGCCGGATCTGTAGGCTCAACCACATCCGAAGTTGCAGTTGTAACCTGAGTGATAAAGCTTGTAGGAATGATGGTATCTTCGGTAATGGTATCGGGCCCGGCATTCCCAAGAGTAGACGTTGTTTCACCAGGTTCGCCGTCTTCAGTGTTGCTGGAGTCTATCGACCGGACGCATACCGCGTCGACACAGCCGCACAAGTTCAATCCCCCAACAACACAAAGCGAGATGTCGACAACACAATCATTGTCCACGGAACAAGGTGTCAGAGAAGCCGTGTCGGTAGGGGATACTGCCGAAGATGTGATGTCAACCGTCGGTTCGGGAGCCTCGGGGTCTGGTTGGCATAGTGCATCCAGACAGATACAGATCGAAAGTGCGCAAAGCCCTCCAGTTACCCCAAAGCAATCAGCATCCACGCTGCAGGCGACGGGGTCGTTTGTCTCCACAGGCAGGTCGCTTGTTGCAGATGCCTCGCTGTCATCCGATGCAGTTCCACTTGCAACGTTGTTCGTAGATTGGCCTTGAGACTGACTCGCTCCAGTCTGGTCAGCAGTAGTTTCAGGGACAGAAGTCAAGCTTGCGACTTGCTGACAAGTTGACTGAATGCACACACAGCGCCCAGGCGGGCATGAGCTGGAGGCCAAGCAATCGGAGTCCGTCACGCAACGGATCTCCACGGTGCCGTCATCTGTGGTAGTAGGACTAGGCTCTGTATCGGTTGCGGTGCCATCGGGGTTGTCGGTGTTTGCTTGAGAGTTGCCCGTGCCAGTTCCGGTTTGTCCAGCTGAAGCCGCTGTTGAGCCAGCATTGGTTGCGCTCGTACCCGCAGGTCTGGTACCACCTTGTGTCGTCGCCGTTGAAGGACTCGTTCCGGAGGGGTTGCCGTTTGATGGATTTTCTGAAGGATTGCCAGCTGTTGACTGGCCAGGTCCTACTGAGCCAGAGTCTTCAGTTGAAGACGCTGCCACAGGTCCCACGAGGACGCAGAAGCTATCCAAGCAAAGCTCATCTTCCAAGCATTCAATATCCTCGGAACACCCTTGTGGTCGGATATTAGAGCAAACACCGTTCTCACAAGTCCCTGCGAATCCTTCTACCGAGCAATCTTCGTCCCTCATACATCTGACTCCGATGACGCATGTTGAATCGCGGCAGATCTCCTCCTCCAAGCAATCAGAGTTGATGGAGCAGGGGGTACCGCTACCAGGAACGCAACGCCCTTGGAGGCACGTGTCTTCGGAGCTTTGACAGTCTGTATCGGCCTCACAGTCCTCGAATCCTTCGACGTTGCCTCTCACCCCAGATGTCGTGGCCGTCTGAGAGTTTCTTGGGCGAGATGTCGTGGCTGCGGCCGCCGGGTTGGTAGTCCGAGATGGATTGTTTTGTTGCGATGTTGCTTGGGTGCGTGTAGCGGACGCCAAGACTGAGTCTCTGGTCAATGAACCCTGGCCGGTTGCTGCTCCAGTCGTTCCGAGTCCATTGCCATTCGAAGGACCTGTAGGTGGGTCTTCTGGGAAGCAGAGGTTACTGCGGCAAGTCTCATCTGTTGCGCAATCGGAATCATCGATACATGGCGTCAAGAGGGGACTTTCGCAACGGTTGTTCCTGCAAACGCCTCCAAAGCAGTCCGAATCGGTAGTGCAAGCGATGACTGGTGGTGTTGAGGTTGGAGAGGAGGCTGTCCCTTGGCCGCTTGCCGACAAGTTGTTGGTCTGGCCCGGAGATTGGGAAGTCCTTGAAGCTCCAGAAGGGTTTCCGTTTCCAGAGTCTGTATTACTGCCCGAGTTGGCAGTAGTTGGGCCATTGGAACCATTGTCCCCGTCGTCATCGTCATCGTCGTCAGTTCCAGGGCCCAACGACCTCACGCAAACTTGATCCTGGCATATCTCTCCGTTTCCGCAGACAGACGACCCGCAGAGAGCGCTTTCTGGGAGGCAGCCCTGATTGTCGACACATACCTGGCCGGTCTCGCATGACGTTCCGGCACAGTTGGTAGGGTCTGTCAAACGGCGACAGCTTCCATCATAGCAGATTTCATCTGTGCCGCACGTGACTCCCTCGCATCTGTCGAAACCCTGCACCTGAGCAGGGCGGCAGTTGCCATCAACGCAACTTTGAGACAAGCATTCGGAATCGTCAGAGCAGGGAAGATTCGCTCCTCCCCCGTTGCTTGGTCCATTCCCTGAGCCGTTGCCGCCGGTGTTTCCATTTCCAGACCCAGAGCCGCCAGGGTCCGATCCGCCTCCAGAGCTTCCGTTGGAGCCGCCTGAGCCTCCGCCTGAGCCTCCGCTGGAACCACCATTGGAACCGCCATTCGAGCCTCCGCCCGAGCCTCCGTTGGAACCGCCATTCGAGCCACTCCCCGGGCTGCCATTCGAACCACCGCTTGAGCCGCTGCTTCCAGGCTCGGATCCAGTTCCTGGTGATGATGCGCCTCCGAATCCATTGCCTGATGAACCGTCGCCTGGGGATGAATCGCCTCCAGAGTCTTCACCCGAAGAGCCGCCGCCCTGAACACTCCCGCTCTGACCCGGACCGTCATCTCCTGATCCATTTCCGGAGCCATTCCCAGAAGAGCCATTTCCAGCAGAGCCCCCATCAGACGAGCCATCATCAGAAGAACCGTCACCGGAAGAGCCATCGCCAGAACCGGCACCCGGAACTCCTCCACTCTGGTCCGGAGCAACGCCATCTCCCGAATCAGACCCAGACCCAGAGCCTGAACCAGAGCCTGAACCAGATCCAGAAGAGCCGTCTCCCCCGTCGTCAGAGCCTCCGCTCCCGCCAGAGTTGTTTCCTGAACCACTCCCTCCAGGAGAGGCACCCCCCGGTCCTCCATTGTTGGTAGACTGGCCGTTGCCGTCCCCAGACCCAGTTCCTTGAGAGCCAGATCCGTTCGAGCCGGACCCTCCCTGGTCAGATTGGTTTCCATTGTCGGAGGCTCCGTCAGGCAAGCCATTGCCATCATTGCCATCATTGCCGTCATTGCCGCCACTGCCGCCAGAGGAGTTACCCCCATCAGCATTTCCGTCTCCGCCTGAGGAGTTGTTGGCTCCATCAGAGCCGCTGCCACCTGAGCCAGACCCTCCTGGGCCGTCATCTCCAGATGAGCCAGATTGGCTTCCAGAATTGTCGCCCGAGCCATTCGAGCCTGCGCCTTGGGATCCTGGGCCAGATTGCCCTCCCGAGGCATCACCTGAAGCACCACCACCTGAGCCTGATTGGCCTCCCTGGTCACTCTGACCCCCAGCAGCATCTCCGTTCTCGCCTTGGCCGCCGTTGCTGGAATCGCCTTGACCATCCCCAGGTTGTCCAGATCCGGATCCATCATTGCCTGTTCCCTGGGCTGAGTAGCTGCCGTCTTGACCGCCAGATTGGCTCCCATCAGAGCCATCGCTGTCTCCTGCGCCTTGGCCAGAGCCGGACGAGCCACTGTCACTGGACTGACCACCAGATTGTTGATTGTCCGAGCCGTCATCATCGTTGCCCTGACCAGATGATCCGCTACCATCTC